ACGGCACTAGACACTGTCTAGTTAGCCTGGCCAGTTAGCAGAGCAGAGCTGTGTGCTGGCCGAGTGCAGGATTAATTAATTGCCGCTGCCTCGTCAGCAGAGCGGCAGACATGACGTATACGTGACATTTGAGATATGTTCAGACGCTTAATGTGCGACATTTTGTTTGTTTTGTTGCGGGCTACTATGCCTGTTGCTGTTGCTGCTGCTGCTGCTGTTCCTTCTGGCTCTGCTAACAACTTTCGACAATCATCAGTAGCTGCTTTGCATATTTGCGGATGCCTTGCAGTCGACTCTACGAGTATAATGATGCAGCAGTTGCAGCGTTGTCAAATGACTTGCGTAAATTTATCGTAAATGCCATCAGCTGAAGCCAGAGCCAGAGCCTGAGCCTGAGACGAGCCGAGCCAAGTCGAGTCGAGTCTCCTCTCCTCTCCTTAGATTCTTCAGTCACTTGAGCCGACTGTCAGACAGAGAGACAGTCAGCTCGTCAGTCAGTCAGTTAGTGACTGGAGTTGGCCAATTGCCTGGAGTTGGCTGTGCCTCTGGCTCTGGTGCCTCTGGCAAGGCTACTAATCCTCGTTAATCCCTTTGACTGTTGTGCCTCGCATAGCTGCACATAAATTTGACTCTGATTGTAGTCTTTGTTACGGCTGTGCTGTGGCTTCTGTGGCTTCGGCCTTTCCGATGATATGCTAATGCAATTCAGTTCGAGACGAGATTCCCTTGCACGAGGAATCGGCCACAAATAAGCCACCCCCACCCCCCACTCGGCGTGTTAACGGTCTGTGTCGTTTGACACATTTAATTGGAAGTCAATTGGCTTGGCCCCGACTGATTGCTGAGGTGGCAATTGGCAGTGCCACAAAGGTGTTGCTAATGTGAGTGCGATATCTCTGGTGAACCACTTAATCACTTAATCGATCAAGGAAGTCGTCTCGAATTCTAAGCATTAGAATTGCAAATTTCTAAGTATTAATGTTTGAGTCATCCACTTTCTGTGGCATCGATCGTAGAAGATTTCAAATCAAACCCAAAAAGTATTTCACGTATACACGTATATATCTGTATATGTAGCTGTATTATATACAAATTATATAAGCCATGAAAATATAAATGAAAATAAACGAAAGAATTCCAAACAACTGTATCTTATGCGATCGCTTGAACATTCAAATCTAATTTGAATTAAATTCTGAAATATTTCCCAAAATTCTTTATGCCCCCGAAAAAGGAAACCCAGCCCTTTGCAGGCCCCTTGGTCCAACCCCCAAAGGACGGCGGCGACAACGGCGCTCCGCACAAACACCAGAACAGGGAGACACGAACAGGGACGCGGACAAAGACAAAGACACACATTTGCGACATTCAATGGAGCTTGTAGCCCGGTCTGTCTCATTGTCATGCCCGGCTTATTGATTGGAATACAATGGATCCTTAAAGTGTGCTTACAAGCGCCGTAACTCAAACAAATTGCAGCGCCCAAACGCCTGACCTGACTCAAATGGACGGGCGGCAACGGCAACGGCAACAACTACAACAGGAACGAAAGCGACGACGACGACGACGAAGCGAACGACGACACTGATCAACAGGCGCGGCGACGTGGATGGGTCCAAGTCGTACAAGTCAAAGAAAGAGCAAAAGAAACAAGGGGGATGCGGAGAGACCGAGAGAGAGAGAGGGGGCTATGGGCCAGGCCAATGCGTTTTACATGATGCCTACACGACAGGACAGGAGCGGCCACTCAGACAACCGGCCGGCTTAACAAGATAAGCCCGCGCCCCACTGCACAGTGGTACAAATTGGGCTCAAAAATGTTAAGAAATTTTTGAATAAATATGTGAAATTCTTTGTGTCTGAAAGAGACTGGGAATATAAAATGCAACATAGAGATAACTCACTCGGCAGATCAAGAAAATAGTAGCAGTAGAAAAAGTTCAGTAGAAATCTATTTCCGATCATTTAAAATGCAAAACTTGATTCTATCATCGTTAAGGTCAATCATTTAAATTGCAACCCATTCAATCTGTGAACCACTGTACCCATTGCCTGATTGTTTGGTTTTGTGGCTGCCTCTTGGCTGCTTTAAATTATTCCAAGCTTGCCACAGAAACACACGGACACGGACCAGAGGCGCTACTGACGCGCTTATGTTAAATTTACCAAACAACCGATTTGTATGCAATTTTGCGATCAAGAAGACTTGAGGATGAGGGGTGAGCCAGAACCAGGGCTTGAGCCAGAGCTCGAGCTGAAATCCAAATCCCAGCGAGACATCATGACGTCGTGGATTTGCAGGGTCGACTGCTCCCAGTCCCAGTCGCATTGTCATTGTCTGAGTCTGAGTCTGCGCCGCCGTCGCCGTCGCGAAGTCTAGTTTATTGGCGCGACTTTTTATTTGCATTCGAAATTTGTACCATTTTTTTTTCTCTGTTTTTGGTGGCCTCCTCCTGCACGTGATGTATGCGACGTGAGCCGCCCCAGCTCCAAAGCAGAGCCGTTCCATGGAGTTGCTTGCCTGCCTGACTGCCTGCCTGCTTGACCACACAATTGCCATAAGTTTTGGCCGCTCTGCAATTATTTGCGGAATTCCTTTTGGAATATATATTGACTCGGACTACCCAGCCCAGACACGGGCAGGACAGGAGGAGACTTGGACTCGGACTTGGACACTCGTACTCGCACTCGCACTGGCACTCACTCTGCTCACTGGCACTGGCACACTCTCGCTCTCCCCGTGCCCTGGCACGGCACATGCCTGTGTGCATGTCTTCTCCATAAGCCAAACTCCCCGAATACCGAATACCGAATACCACCCCGACCGACTAGCTTTGACAGCCCATACAAGGAAGCCCAACAGCCAACAATCCCTGGTGTTTGTTGTCGCTTTTTCGACTGCGACTCTGACTTTGACTTTGACTTGGGGCTGAGACGGAGACTGAAGCTGAGACTGTGGCGTTTCTGGTTTCTGGACGTTTTACACTCGCTTTATTCTTTTGTTAATTTGTCATGAAATTTGCTGCTTAACGCATGGCTTGCATGCAAGTTAAATTCTGAGATGGGAAAGCACTTGGCAAGGCATGGGCATATACTCTGCAGATTGGAGCAACATTGGAGCAACCCACATCAAATCACAATCAAATTGAATTTTGCCAACAATCAAAACAAACGCTTGACTCATTAAAAATAATTATCTAATCGACATTTTGTTTGGGCAACTGGCCAAACAAGTTTCCAAATCTCGCAAAGCAACCAAGATCGAAGATCATGAGAGACTTTTAATGGACTTAACAAGGTGATTCAATCATAGACAAGATGGCCAGTTCAAGACAAAACCCAGCATTAGCACCCATTGCCATAGCCAATCTTTGAATACCAAATGCTAACAAAGCGCCCCGCACCGCACCCACCTACACAGATCTGTTCGATCCATCGATGTACGAGTATAAGCGAAATTGTGCAACTGCCCCGAGTGTCAAATTAGACAAACAGCAAGAACTGAATGCCAACTGGTAGACAAAAGGCAAAGCCAAAGCCAAATCAAATGTGCAATGCAAATTGCATTGGGCACACTCGCTGCTGGCCATTTGGGGGGCTGTGGGGCTGCTAATTTTCTGCGAATCGCGTTCGGAAAGCCCCCAGAAGGATCGAAGATATATACATATACTATGGAGTGGTTTCAGTGGATGTGGATTTGCATGTGGGTGGTCGGCAAATTGCCAGAACGTGAGCACAATTTTTAAATTAACGGCCCAAAAGTGGTTAGAACGGCAGCAGAAACGGTTCGCAATGGATTGGATTGGATTGGAGTTGCGAAGTGGACTCAGTGGATTGAGTGGACTCAGTGGGTGCTGGTGGTAAGGGGAAGTGCATGGTGGAAGGTGGAACCTCTGAGGCGCATTCCAGCCACAAAACTGTTGCAATTAATTGCATTAAAGTTCTAAATTGTTCGCCTTCGCCTTCCCCTGCGATAACTCCCACCAGCAATGGCGTCTCTTTGCGTCTCTTAGACAAACTTGCAACTTTGCAACTGCAACTGCAACTGCCAAGCGCCGCATTATTGAAGACGCATCGCACAGTGGCACCACAGTGCGTTATAAAGTGGGCGATTTTTAGAGGGATTGAAGTCGAAATTTTAGTCTCGATTCAACTCATTGAAATCCAAATGTTTGTGGAATATTCTTCCCTATTCTCCATTCCCTATACCCTTTAGCCACTGTGCGGATTGCTTTGTTGTCATGGTCGTGCCTTTCAGTTTGAAACGTGATCGATAGACAGAGTCAGACTACCAGCCATCTCCCGTCCAGCAACAAGAACTGCAAATTGGCCAACTGCAGTTGGCCCGCTGCCTGTGCCTGTGCCTTTGCCGTTTGCCGTTTGCCGTTGCCAAATGTTTGGCCTTAGTCAAATTATGTTCTTTGGCTCGTTTGATAATGAAACTGCAAATTGAAGCTGTGCTCCAATCCGTTCCCTTCCGTTCCTTTTGTGCTTTGTGCTTTTGTAGCCCCTCAAATTGTTTGCTCACACCGTACCAGCGTCCTCTGTGGCTTCGTCTCGGAGCCAACAACGCTAATGATTACGTGTTATCGTGTTGTAATTTTACACAAAGCCCTAATGATGAGTCTGGCTATGCCCTGGACCGGGCCTCCACATTCACATCCATCTCCATCTACCTCTGCATCGGCATCTGCATCGATCCAGCCGAACGATCGAATCGATCTGGCTTCGGGTTATATGGTTTAGATCATGGCAGCAGACACTAACTGGGCTCATCATGGAGCGTTAACAAGCTCATTTTTCTAAACTTGACGTGCTGAGTCCACCAACCAACCACCAAGGCAACCAAGCAACCAAGCAAACGATCATCCTCCAGCGGGCCATCCACTTAGCCAAAAGATCTTGAGCGATCTTCGGCCAAGCCAATTTGCTCGGCCACTCTGTGACGTTCCCAGTGGTTGGGCTCATAAATTGTTTATTATGGTATTGAGCGTGTTATGTCCAGGCACCATCAATATACGATGGGCATATATTTATTGTACATATAAATATTCAAAAACAAAAAATAGAAACAGAAATAAGCCCATCCCTTACAGTTCATCCTGCACGGCGGCAGTTTCGTGCTGCAGGAGGGCTTTGATGTATTTCTGCTGCTTATCGCACTCCTCGGGACCGGCTTCGGGATTGTGATCCAGCCAAGAGATCGCCTTTTCGATGGCCTTCTTCAGTTTGGGCTTCGAGTCGCCGTGCGCCTTCAGCAGACCGTAAGCGTAGGACTCCAGTGTGTGGCGGGTCATCAGGCTCTCCAAGAGCTTCTTATCCTTGTCGGCGAATATCTCGGCGTCGTGGATCATGCGATCAATTTCGTCGGGCATCAGGCGGTACTTGTCGCTGGTGACGACAACCTTCATGTCCATGTCGGGGCCAACTCCATTGGCGCTGACTTCCAGAATCCCGTGGACGTCCACGGCAAAGGTCACCTGAATTGGGAAGCTTTTGTATGGCACCGGCGGGACGCCACTCAACTTGAATGTGCCCAACAGATGGTTGTCCTTTGTCAGGGGTCGCTCCCCCTCGTACACCTGAATGGTGACGGAGGTCTGGTTGTCCAGGACGGTCAAGGTGCGCGTCCGCTTGGTGGGGATGACGGTGTTGCGCGGAATCAGCTGACTCATAATGCCGCCCAAAGTTTCGACGCCCAAGGACAGTGGGATGACATCGAGCAGAACGGTGGTGTTGGTGGTCTGGTCGCCGGAGAGAGCGCCAGCGTGGATAGCGGCCCCGCAGGCCACAGCCTCGTCGGCATTGATGCTGCGCGAGAGCTGCTTGCCGTCGAAGAAATCCTGGACCAGCTGCTGGATCTTGGGGATGCGGGTGGAGCCGCCAATCATCACAATCTCATCGACGTCCGACTTGTTCAGCTTGGCATCCTCCAGCACCGTCTGCACGGTCTTCAGGGTGGAGTTGAAGAGCTCCTCGTTGAGCTCCTCGAACTTGGCTCGGGTCAGCATCTGGTTGAAGTGATGGCCCTCGTGGAAGGCCTGAATGTGGATGCGCGCCTGCAGGGCGCCGGACAGGATCCGCTTGGCCTTCTCCACCTTGTGGCGCAGCTTCTGCATGGCGCAGTGATCCTTGCGTAGGTCCTTGCCCTCGTTCTCGTACTGCTCCACGAAGTAGTCAATCACGCGCTGGTCAAAGTCCTGGCCGCCCAAGTGCGTGTCCCCGTTGGTGGCCACCACCTCGAGCACACCGTTGTCAATGCTCACTACGGAGACATCGAAGGTGCCGCCGCCCAGATCGAACACCAGCACTTTCTTGGCCGCCTCCTTTCGGTCGAAACCGTAGGCTATGGCTGCTGCTGTCGGCTCGTTGATGAAGCGCAGCACATTGAGGCCGGCAATCTTTGCCGCATTCTTTGTGGCTTGGCGCTGGGCGTCGTTGAAGCGCGCTGGCACTGTGACCACAGCGTCGGTGACCTTCTTGCCCAGGAAATCCTCGGCCGTCTGCTTCATCTTGGCCAGCACCATGGCCGAGATCTCCTCCGGTGCAAACTCCCGGACGCCCTGGCCAGTGTTCACGCGTATGTGCGGCCTCGAGTTCTTTTTGAACACCTTGAAGGGGAACAGCTTGATGTCCATCTGCACGTTCTGTTCGAACCACTCGCGTCCGATCAGTCGCTTCACGTCGTAGATTGTGTTCTCCGGATTGATGGTCAGCTGGTTCTGGGCGGCTTCACCAATCAGACGCTCGCCATCGTCGGCGAAGGACACAAACGAGGGCGTCAGACGGCTGCCCCAATCGTTGGCAATAATCTCGGCTCGTCCCTTCAGGAAAACTCCGACGCAGGAGTATGTGGTTCCCAGATCAATGCCAATAACTGTGCGCAATTTGTGGTCTTGCTGCATGGCTTTTGCGCCTGCCGTTAAGGCGCAAAGTAGGAATAAAATATTGTTCATTCTCATTAATTTGAAATTTCAATTTGAAAGGCTTTTGAAACTAGCTACAGTTAAAGTTGGTGAGTGATAAAGCCAGAGGTTGCTCATCATGAAATTAGCTAACAGTTCGGTGTATTCCAGGATGACTTCATCCCATTAGTTGCAGATCTCTATGGTGGCTCACGCAGCTGAGGAAAATGTTTCTGTTCGTTTGCAGAGCAATAAAAGTCTGGAAATTCCTCTAGCCATATAATTACATATAAAACTGTCGCAGATCTGGCTAAAGAACACAACACACACAATAAAAATCGAATGCCTCCATAACCAGCATTCAATGCGATCCAAAGACAAAACGTTTTCCAGCTAAAACCCAAACCGAAAGGAGTGGGCTGTGAAGATCTGGGCAGTGGATGATCTGGGGAGCATATTAAATTGAATTTTTATGTTCTCACAGCCCTGGAAAATCATGTGCCGGGCCATAAAAGCCAGCCACGGACTCAGTTTTCTTGGGGTTTCCGTTGGGCTTGAGGTTGAGTGTGTGGGTTAATAAATAGCCCCCGAACTCGAACCAGAACCACAGCAAGTGCTACATGGAGTGGGAAGGGAAGGGAAGGGAAGGGAGGGAAGTGCAGTGAGGCAGATGCGGTGCGGTAAATTATGGTTATTTAAATAAACAGCACACGATTTGATTTGGCGGCCCAAAAGTGTTGCCAGCTCGCCTCCGAAATTGGAAGAGCGACGCGTCGACGTCTGGAAATTATGTTGTAGTTGCTCTGATCATGCACCCAGTCTCAGGCTCAGCTCGGTGTCTGCATCTGCGTCCAGGGCCAGGCGCAGGCGCAGGCTCAGGAGGATAGTTACCTCTGATGATGATGATGATGCTGTTGCTCTGCGCCGCTCCGCTCTACTCTGCTCTGTATAGAGGGTTGTGCCATCAAGTCTTGATTGAGTAACGCCCCAGAACTGGCGTCTAATTATGAGTTGCAGGATCAGCAGCAGCAGCAGCGGTATCGGCAGACCCATTGGAATGGAGCACAGCTGTGGCAATGCCTGACGGATGGGTAGCATCATTAGCTGATGTGCTGCATTGACCCGGTCTAATCGCCGATAAGGCTTGTGATAAGCAAACACACATAAAAGCCAATGTGCGTTGAGACTGGTGTGACCTTTTTGGCTGCTGCCGAGGATTGGAATGGAATGGACTGGACTGGACTGGACTGGTACGGTTACTGATCGCCCCCAAATGGGTGAGGTAGAACAGGATCTGATTCACGTTGGCGTTGCGGTGTTTTGTTTATTTTGAGGCTATAATTTAAGCGGGTAATTGCACGCTGGCGGCCAGAATTTGTAACTAAACTGCAAATTAGCAGCCAATTCTCAGGCCGATTAATAACCATAATTATTGGCTCAAGCGCTGACGAGCGAACGTCTCTGCCTGCTGGAGGATCTTGATGAGGAGGCTGGGCTCTGTCTCTGACTCTGTCTCACCATCCAAGGCTGCTGGGGCCCCCGTCCAAATTGCACTCGGCCTGAGCCCTGCTGTACCCTGGACCTGAAACTGATTCTGTTGGCTCCTCAATTGCCAATTCGTGATACACCGAGGCGCGTATGGGTATGGGGGCCCAGAGTTGCAGTCCCCACTGTTCCGTTTCGTCCAGCAGCAATTTAAATAGTGAGCGCCTGGCTTAATTACATAAAACAGGCAACACAAGATGCAGCCGAGGTCCGTTCGAGCTTCGCTTCTCTTGCCGCCGGCGCAGACGTCGTCAAGGCTTGGTCCTCTCTTCCTCTTCCTGGGCCACTTTTGATGGACATGTGTCTAATGAACCAGCCTAATTAATGTGCATGGCTGACGCTTGTCTCCGGCTGGCTCTCATCCTCTCTCTCTCTCGGTTTGGCAGCACCTCTTGAAAGCGAAACCCCAAGAAAAACCAAAGAGTATACGGAAAGTGTTGAAAGCCCTGAGTGGGCAAAAGGATTCAGATTGGCCGGCAAATTACGGACATTAAAATAAAACAGTCTGAACAAATTAATAAACGTCGATACCCAATTAAACTGTCCGGATATAATGCACGCTATAAATTTGTACCCATTGGTTGTGGGGGGTGGGTGGGGAAACGGAGAACAGAACGAACGAGAATAGAGACATCCACTATCCAATTATCAATCGGGATGATTAACTGCGCGAGGTCAACGGCGAAACGAAGAAAAATGCGGCAAGAAAATAATTGCACAGTCTTTGGTTCGCTTAGCCGAATACTACTATGTCGTGTAACATGTGTGAGGGAAGCAGGGGAAGTCTTTGGAGCACCAAAGTCGTTTTACCAAAATCTTAATTAATAAACTCCAATAGTAACATTAGTTGTAAAACCAAATATTTTAAAAGATTGTGGCGGTTGGGCGACTATTTTAAAAAGAATTAGGAGCTATCGATATTGTCAAGACAACGCTGAGTGTATCATGTTAAAATTGTCAAGCATGTAAATCTACATTTAATCTACATACAAAAGCCATGGCGCACTGGTGCCCTCTACATTTATGTAGATGGCGGCAGTTGTAAAAATTTTCAAATGTTCAAAAGCGGTTACTTGAGGTGGAGCCTCTCGACCCTCACTCCTGGGCTGCCGCTTCCACGGATGTTGGATGTTTGACTTATTGGTTATTTTATAAGTATTTTAGCGCAGCTCGGGTTAAATATATCGTGGTCCAGTTGTTTGCGAAAGGCTGTATCTACAAGCATAATTCTTCCTCAACAATTTGATTTTTTGTATGTTACTACCCGTTAGGATTTTGGATTTCCATTTCCCTATTACGTTTTCTAGCCTTCGAAGGTTTTTAGATGGTTTTGCAGATATATTTGTGCGATAAGTCCGCTGTCACACTGCTGATAAGTATTTGACTTAAAACATCGATGATTTTTCTCAAACATCGATGACAGCGATGTTAACATCGCATGTTAACATACTCCAGCTCCCAGCTCTAGTTTTATTTGTTGTTTTTATCGCGAAATGTTCAAAAATAAATGCAATACCTGAAAGAGTAAACAGCAGTGATAAAGCTTGAAATGTGTCAGCTGGCTACAGCAGCACCGCTTCCATAGAACTGTCAAGGTACGGCCCCAGAACGGTGCTCGCCCTGTGTGGGAGTCTCGAATTGGAATCATCTTCCCCGTGTGTGTGTGTTCTTGTGCGTGGGAGAGTTTGTGACAATAAATATGAAAATACGCGTAGAATGTTTACTAAATAATTTGCACCGCCTTTTGTTGAGCATAACCAAATAGGGTAAAAGTTATGTGGCGGGGATTGTTTTATTACTGATACAATTTTGGTTACGAGTGTTTTTTGGGCGATTTCTCGTTCTCCGCGCAGGAAAAATCAATAAATGTCCAATTGGGACATTGTATGAATCCGTGTTTTTGTGTGTGTATGTGTCTGTGAGAAGGGAGGGATCGAATACTCCTTTATCAGCATTTATCTCTTACTCTTTCTGATTTTTTGTTGCTGCAACAGCAGCAAAGTGATTGTGAGGCACGCCTAATTGATAAGTATTTCGGGTTATTTTTCCCATTTCCCCCTACCCCTCTCACTCTCTCTGTCGAAACATATAATCAATCATTTGCCTACATTTCGCACCGTACTAACATATTTATGTATCTCTATCTCTGGGTGTTGCACGAGCAGCCAAGCCACTTAACTATTAATATATTTACCATGGAACGGTCGGAAGTTATATAGGGTATACAGTACATGACATGCTGTAGGATATCTTATCAAAATATGATCCAAATCGGGCTACTATATCAAACATCCAAAAGACAGTCAAGATTTTGTTTCTGCGGCAACTCTTTTACCAATCTCTGTAAATAATCAATATATTAACTCAGTAGAATCAGCTAACTATATCTTATATTTATGTATCCAGGGTATCAACATCTTCGAACTCTATATCCATATTTCCTTTGCCTGTTGTTTCCGTTTTGCTGCAACATGCTACAACAAACAGCACCACATACCAGAGAAACAATAAAACACAACAAAAAACAATACGAGAGTACCATAATAGCATACCATACTGTTCCATATGATAGGCAATGGTATTTAGTTTCCCTTTTACTTTTCTACAATTTACATAATCATCATTATCATCATCATCGTCAGCAGTAGCAGCAGCAGCAGCTGTAGTGGCGCAAAGACATCAGCAACGTCCACTAACTACTAACAATAAAAACAACAGCGGAGTGGCGTCGTTCATTAAACTAACTCACACCATGGGGGAAAACAGACAGACGGACGGACAGAAAAATACTTTTATTATTTATGTTGCCCGTTTGCCTGTTTAATTGCCTTCGGTTCCATAGTCAAAGGCCATTCCATAGCAGCCATATTCATTCTTTCCTCCCGTACATCTTTTCGTGGTTTCTTTCTTTTGATTATGCTCTGCCATTTGAAATATATTCGGTATGCAAAATTTGTGCCAAACAAACTGATGTACAGTGGGATTATTTGGGGGACTTTGGTGAGGGAAGAATTAAAGTGCCAAAGGAATGGCACTTCCTAATACGATTTAGGACTTAAAAGCCACCTAATCCGCACACTTTTAGTGATTATATTTCATAAATTAAATACGTTTATTGATAACATTTCAATGATTCCCCATTCTTTTATTTGCTATGGTTTATCAAATAATTCATTCTGGACTCTGGGGAACCCACTAAATGACAATTTTGTATTCCCTTGGGGCACTGACAATGCCACTCCACTGTGCTGGCGGCGGATTCCTTTTTCGTAATGGCTTTTGGCTGTGCCCCGCGGTTAATGACACAACGAGAGAGAGGGTATAGAGAACGGGAAGTGTCTAGCGGCTAGACAAGTGACGCATATTTTAGCATTCTTTGTGGCGGTACTTGGGTGCCGGGCACACAGCACAGCACATCCATCCATCTATCCCGTACACTACCACGTAGGTAAAGGCGGATCCATATATAAACACAAACTATATGCGGATTTCTCCTTTACTTTGTCCAATTGTTGGACTGTTGATTCATCGAAAGAGCCATATGAATGGCTAGTTGCTCAATAGAACCACTGATATCGCGGGTTCCACCTCTGGCACTGTAACTAAATGATTAATCATAGTACAGGGAGCCAGCCAGCACACCTTATCAACGATAAGGGGACTCAAACTAAGTTTGAAGGCCTAGGCAAACAATCGAATGGATTGGGCCTGGTGAATGATTGGCCCCGCGGTTTGGTCAGTCAGTCCAACATTCCATTTCCACTTCCATTCCGTTGCATTTCCTTCCTCTCTGGCGAAATATTACACAATCGATTTGCGGATTTGCATTCAAATTGTGGCGGTTGGTTTGCCAACCTCTTTCGTTAGTCGGGCAATTAAATTTTGATTAATTTGCCAATTGGAGCTTGAAACAAGATTTGTGCGACGTCAGAGAGGGAACTGGCACACATGCGGTACAACGCAGTACACGACGATTCCACGGGTCATTCCCCAAATCATACACTGACTTCTAAGAGTATATACACACTAGTATGCTGTGTATGTGTGTGTGTGTGTGCATGCTCAATTTTACGGCACATGCGCCGCTGCAAATAAGAAATGTGAAGAAAATGCAGCAGCTCCAGATTGCATTTTGCGCATAATTCAAACGGTAGCCTCAAATGAGAAAATACTTACACAGACGGGAGTATATACATATGTGTAGCATCTACAGAAGTGTAGCATCCACATCTACTCCACACACTCCTCCTCTGTAGCTGGAACTGAAGCTGAAGACGCATCTGTATCTTTTTCATGCACTGGAAATTCCGCAAAGACTATGACGACGACGCCGTGTGCCGCTAACTTTCTAAAAGATGCAGCCACCAGCAACAGCAGCAGCAGCAGCTAATCATGATAATGATTTAGTTGATTATTGTTGTTGCCAATGGATAAAGTAGTCTGCGTACAATAGCTGAAAGTTGCATTTATTTCATTGTTACATGCTGCAGAGTAATAGAAGAGTCACTTTTGGGGCCAGCCAAGAATTGGAGTTCTCCGCGAAAGTTGATTCGGAAAATATGTAGACCTAAATGTAGGTCTAAATGTGTCTTCAAAATCATATATTAAATTTCAATAACGAAGACTTGGGATTAGGTAGAAAAACCTATTAAATATGGAATCCTTTCAAAAAACGAGATGTAATTTTTGGCATATTCTTGGGCATTCTCTTTTGAAAGCATTCGCTTGTGCGTCTCGAGTCAAGTAGCACATTGCAAGCGAGAACGTGCCCAGTATCCATCACCTAAACTGAACACAGAAACAGAACCAAAACGTATCCGAAGCAATAAGAAAACTCTCGCTCACATTTCGTAAACAATTAGCAGATATACGAGTATGATCTGAACAAAATAAAAATAAAAGAAACAAATTACCTTACCTTAGAAAATTCGAATTTGTGTGCAAAACCAAATTTAATTCAACGATTCAACGACTGACTGTCTTCAATTATCTTTTTCTCAGAGTCATATTTCTGAGTAAACTAAAAATAAAACCTTCCCACCGAATGTGTGGGGCTCTCAGATCAGAGACGAGGCTACACCTGATATGGCGTGGGCGTCAGGCCGTCTCCATTTCAGCTGCGCTCAGCGCCTCGCTCAGGGGAAAGAATATTCTATTTAATCTGTCAAGTGATGACGCGGACAAAAGGCGTTTGGTGGCTATAATTAGCCCACGCCATGGTCCGATCGCCACTAGTCACTAAATTTATAACAAAAACAAAACAAAAACGTCTCATGTTCCGCCTCTCACTTCCCTTCCCTTTGCTTTACTTGCAGGCCATGGAGCATTGACTTGAGGCAGCTTCAGAGCAAGAGCCCAAAGCACAACAAAGCACAGCACAAACAGAGATCTTCCCCTTGAGGCTTCTCCGTCATGTTGGAGCCAACGCTGACGCCCGAGCTGGAGGATGTGGATGGCACGAGCCTGGTGGCGGCGGCCATTGCCGGCCTCAGCATAGACGATGTGCCCGATGTGCGCAAGCCGCACTTCCTGGACTACGACGCAGTGCCGCCGCCCGATTACGAGGATGGCTTCGGGGCGGCTGCCGGCGAGCAGCTGAAAATGGACAAGAAGTACGAGCGCGATGGAGAGATCAGCGACTACGAGCTGGCCGCCAGCGGCTACACCAAGAAGGAGTTCACGCAGGACGACAACACCCTCAACTTCACACAGAACGGCGTCGGGGCAGTGGGTGTCGTGGGCAAGAAGCCGGGGGCAAAGCATTTCCTGGACGAGAATCCCATTCCGCCCGACTACATGCTGGCCCAGGAGCTGCGCGAGATGCGGGAGCATCGCAGTCTGGACAGGAACTTTGAGCGCAAGTCCGCCCAGCAGCAGCAGCTGGAGGAGCTGCCACAGCGGAACGGTGGCTCGCCGGCCAGCTCGGGACGAGCCTCGCGCAGCAAGGAGCCCTCCTATACGCTGTCGCGCTTCCTCGATGGCGACAATCCAGCGCCGCCGCGTCTGCCGAAGGGAGCCGCCTGGACGACAAGCTTCGACGAGCGCTACGGCACGGCAGCAGCGGCAGCCGTGGATGCCACACTGGGCTCCAAGGTGGAGTGCGTGTACTCGCTGCTCTCGATGCTGGGCTCCAACGATCCCCTGGAGATGGCCAAGAAGTTTCTGGAGCTCTCCGGCAATGGCCAGAGCTGTGCCACGCTGCGGCGCTCCGGCTGCATGCCGCTGCTCGTCCAAATGATGCATGCCCCCGACAACGAGCCGGAGGTGAGGAAATGCGCCAGCCAGGCGCTGCACAATGTAGTGCACACACATCCGGACGAGAAGTCCGGCCGCAGGGAGGCCAAGGTGTTGCGCCTGCTCGACCAGATCCTCGACTACTGCGCCTTCCTGAAGACGCTGCTCCAGAGCGGCGGCGAGGCCATAGCCGACGACTCGGACAGGCATCCGCTGGCCGCGATCTCGTCCCTGATGAAGATCAGCTTCGACGAGGACCATCGCCATGCCATGTGCGCCCTGGGGGCCCTGCATGCCATTCCGAATCTGGTCCATCTGGACCATGCCGCCCATGGGCCCAAGCCCGAGGATCAGTGCTGCAATTCGCTGCGTCGCTACGCCCTGATGGCCCTCACCAATCTCACGTTTGGGGATGAGAACAACAAGGCGCTGCTCTGCGGTCAGAAGCAGTTCATGGAGGCCCTGGTGGCCCAGCTGGACTCGGCGCCCGACGATCTCCTCCAGGTGACGGCCAGTGTGCTGCGCAACCTCTCCTGGCGGGCGGACAGCAACATGAAGGCGGTGCTCAACGAGATTGGCACGGTGACGGCCCTGGCCCTGGCGGCCATGCGCAACAAGAGCGAGAACACCCTGAAGGCCATACTCTCGGCCCTCTGGAATCTCTCCGCCCACTGCAGCACCAACAAGGCGGAGTTCTGTGCCGTGGGCGGTGCCCTGGCCTTCCTGGTGGGCATGCTCAGCTACGAGGGACCCAGCAAGACCCTCAAGATCATCGAGAATGCGGGCGGCATACTCCGGAACGTCTCCAGCCACATTGCCGTCTGCGAACCGTACCGGCAGGTGCTGCGCCAGCACAACTGTCTGGCCATTCTCCTGCAGCAGCTTAAGTCCGAGAGCCTGACGGTCGTCAGCAACTCCTGCGGCACACTGTGGAATCTGTCGGCCCGCTGTCCGGAGGACCAGAAGTTCCTGTGGGACAATGGGGCAGTGCCGATGCTGCGCTCCCTCATCCACTCGAAGCATGCCATGATCTCGGAGGGCAGCTCCTCGGCCCTCAAGAACCTGCTGAACTTTCGTCCGGCCGTGCAAAATCAGCATCAGCTGGATCCCATTGCCCGCTCCATGGGCCTGAAGGCGCTGCCCACGCTGGAGGCACGCAAGGCCAAGGCCCTGCAGCAGGAGCTGGGCGAACGCCACTCGGAGACGTGCGACAACCTGGACTCGGGGGGCAAACGAGCCTCCAGTTCGTCGCGGCGTCACCCGGCCGTGCCCCGCCTAACCCGATCCACAATGCTGACGAAGAGCGAGAGCCGGGATTCGGTTTACTCGGCCAAATCGGACTCTGCCTACGAGCATCTGATGCGCTCCGCCTCGGCGTCGGATGCCCAGCGCAAGGGGCAGCCGAAGCTAACGGACTTTGAGCTGGAAATGGAGCAGGATGCCGAGGCCACCGAGGAGCAGCCCATCGACTACTCGGCCAAGTACAGCGAGAGCGCCACCAAGACCGGACTGGCCGGCACATCGACATATCAGGAGACGGACCTCGACCAGCCCACAGACTTTAGTCTGCGCTACGCCGAGAATCAGCTGGAAGCCGACATCCTGGACATATCAGCGAAGAGCACAGCAACGAAGACGACAGCGAACGCGACTCCCGTGAAAGTGGAGGGTCAGGAGATACTGCTCATCCTGGACGATAGTGTCAAGTGCTATCAGACCGAGGACACGCCGTATGTCATCTCCAATGCAGCCTCTGTCACGGATCTGCGGCTGACTGCGGCCAAGACTGAAGTCGAAGCCGAAGCCGAAGTCGAAGTCGATTCGGAGGTAAAGCCGGAAGCCAAGGCGGCCGCTGCCTCTGTCGCGCCCAAGAAACTACCAAAGCTATCGCAGTGCAGTGGCTCCGGTTCGTATACGCCGGAGAAGCCCATCAACTACTGCGAGGAGGGTACACCGGGCTACTTCAGTCGCTACGATTCCCTCAGCAGTCTGGACGAGTCGGGCATCAAGGCCATGCAGCTGGCAGCTGGTCCACTCGGTGCAGAGGCCAAAGCCAAGCCTGTGAAGCAGCTGCTGCCAGAGGTGAAGCCCTCCTCTGCCCTGGAGACGCCGCTAATGTTCTCGCGCCGCAGCTCCATGGATTCGCTGGTGCACTATCCCGATGTGGATGTGGCCAATTGCGATGACAAGAGTTCGGTGGTCAGTGAATTCAGTCGGCTGGCGAGTGGCGTAATCTCGCCATCGGAGCTGCCCGACTCCCCCACCCAAAGCATGCCGCAGTCGCCCAGGCGCAACAGTGTTAACCGACAGTCTCCAGGTCCCGCCGTGCCTGCCAGCATGCGTCCCCTGCGCAGCGTCTTTGAGGACGATCTGAGCAGCTTCAATGTGGAGCACACACCGGCACAGTTCTCAACGGCCACCAGTTTGAGCAGCCTCAGCATCGTGGACGATGAAAAGGAGGCGGCGGCGGCACAGCAGGCGGCGGTGCACTACAACGATGATGAACTGCTGCTGGCCAACTGCATCAACATGGGCATGCAAAGGAAGCCCACGGAGGCGGAGGCGGAAGCGGAGGAAACCACTCGCAGCTACTGCACCGAAGACACGCCCGCACTGCTCTCAAAGGTGGGCAGCCACACCAATCTGTCGGCCATCTCGGTGAACTCGTGCAACGAGCTAAAGGATCCGGATCCGCCCTCCTCGAATACCTCGGACTGTGGCGGTGCCGCGGGGCAGCATCTGCTGCAGCAATGCATACGCGATGGCATGCAGAAGCAGCAGTCCACGCCCGAAGATCCCATTGCGATGATGCGGCGTGGAGGAGGCAGCCTGCTGCCCGGCTATCTGCCCTCCAGCGATGAAATGAGCAAATACCTGGTAGAGGATAGTCCCTGCAACTTTTCGGTGGTCTCCGGTCTCTCCAATCTCACTGTGGGCTCCAGTCTGGTGGGTCCAGCGGTGCAGCTTAAGGAATCAACTGTGGGGTAAGTATTTGCCAGCTGTCAAAGAATTTTATTTAATTTTTGTGTATTTGCTTTTCCCCAGCCCCAGCATGGAACCCAAAGCACCTGTCGAGCAATCTTCAGCCCGGCCGCCGCACTGGCAAGACGATTCGCTGAGTTCCCTCTCCATTGACTCTGAGGACGATACCAATTTGTTGAGTCAGGTAAGGGGCACCCGGTCGATCTCCTTTCGCCTTGGACAGCCACTGATTTCACCGCTTTTCCTTTCCCTAGGCTATCGCCGCTGGCTGCAATAGGCCCAAATCGAATCTGGGCTTCAGCTCGAATGGCAAGCGCTCCAGTTCGTTGAGCTCCTCGCAGCCCATGGCCATCAATGGGGCCACCTCGGCGTGCTCCTTGAACTCTGCAATGACGGTGCGCAAGAATCAGCAGGAGTCATACAGCTCGGTGGACTCCAGCGACTCGAACGACAACCAATCCAAGTCGCTGTTTGAGCTGTGCATCCTCAAGGGCATGTACAAGTCAAAGCAGACTCAGTCCCAATCCCAGCAGCAGACGCAGCCCCAGCTGCCGCCTCCCCTGCCTGTGACATCGAATCACAAGCAGTTCGATTCGCTGCCCATGCAGCTGCCATCGTCCGGTGGCCAGCAGCAGCAGCACCAGCTGACAAAGCGTCAGCGCAGCAGCCACCATCATCACAGCCATAGCCACCATAATCACCACCATCATCGAGAGAGGGAGCGCGAGAGGAAGGACGAGAAACTGCTGCAGGAGTGCATCAATACGGGCATCTCCAAGAAGATCAACGCCGTGCCAAAAAACGTACTGGCTACGTCTGCAGCTGCATTGGAACCGTGTCACCCAATGGCAGCTACTACATCAGCAAGTGCCCCCAGCACAGCAGCAGCTCCAGACGTAGAGCAGAAAGCGCACGCCAACAGCAGCAGCAACAACAACAGCAGCAGCAGCAACAACAACAGCAGCAGCAGCAGCAACAACAGCAGCTGCACTGCCAGCCCGAACAGCCTGCCACTGAGCAGTCATATCGGCGCCATCGGCACAGGCATCGACACAGCAAAAAGCCCAGCAGCAGCTCCAGGTCGAGAGAACGGGAACGCTCTCGCGACAGGTATTGGGTCTAAGCTGGAGCTAGACTCGGATCGATCCAGCGATGAGTCGAACCAGTCCTTCATCATGGACACCATGGTACGGCTGGACAGTGCGCCACCCAGTGCCAGCTGCAGCTCGGGCTCGGCCACGGCCAATGAGAAGCACAAGGATCCCGATCTGATGCTCAAATCCGTGGAGCGGCTCACCCTGGAGTTTGTCACATCCGCGGAGCAGCTGAGGAGCAACAGTCAGAGCCACAGCAAGAATCACAACCACACGAATACCAACAGTCACAACACCTGGAACGAGAACACCTGTCCCAATGATGTGTCCTTTCCCAGTGTCAGCCAAACGGCACCAGTACTCCAGGCCTCGCTGAGCTTCGATGGTGACGTGGATGTGGATGGGGATGTGGATGATGATGCCACAGAGGCCAAGTCTTTGGTTAACGAAATGGCAGAGATCACGCCCACCAGCGAGGAGCAGCCATCGCAGCCGGCATCCCTGGAAACGGAGACGGAAACGCAAACCCTAATGAACGGAACTCACTCGGACAGCTCCTCGGGCGGCGGACTGAACTTTCAGCTGGGTGGACAGGTGCAGAATGCAGGCGTGCCGTCGCGGAGTCTGCTGTTCAATGGCACCAGCTCTTCCATGATGACCAACTCCACGATAATTGCATTTGAGGCGCGTGCCGTGGCCGAGAATCTGCTGCAGAATCTCCAAAATGCAGACGAGGACAACACCGAGCAGACGTTCAGCATCAACAGCCTGGATCTGGACAATGTGCGGCCGCCCTCGGGCATGGAATCGCTGAACAGCTGCTATCAGGATCACTCACAACCCAGCTCCCTGCGGCTGCAGTTGCCCAGCAAATCGCCGAGATTCGCACGCAAGGTATTCCCCGCCAATCTGGTGGCCCGGCGGGCCCTTGGCCATCTGGCTGGCAGCGCGGAGAGCGTGAACTCCAGCTGCAATCTGCTGGACAACATCAAGCCGCCGTCGCTGATGGACGAGCTGCTCGACTCGATGATCAGCGTGGACAGCATCCAGTCGGAGGTGGCCGATGGCGAGCAGGACTGCAGCATGGCCACCACCATTTCGGTGTCGAACTACGAGACGGCCGCCTGCGATGACCAGTCGTTCACAGTGCTCCAGAGCTGCTTCGACGATGAGGAGGATGGCGATGAAGATGCCACCATGAATGACTTTAGCTCAGCCGAGTCAACGCCCAAGCAGGGATCCACGCCCTCCCCCAATCGCCGCTCGCTGACACCCAAACAGAAGCGGCGGCTGGCCAAGGATCGCTTCAAGACCTACACCATTGTCAGCAAGAGCCAAGAGCTGGAGGGCACGGAATTCAACGAGACGCTGCAGATTGAAATTGTGGAGACGACGGTGGCCAATGTGGCCGCCACGCCATCGCCACCGCGCGCTAATGGCCGGCGGAGAGGCAGTGCCGAGCGGTACAAGACCCAACTGATTGAGTGTCCCCTGGCGCTCATCCAGGGACAGGGGCAGGCCATGGCAGACGATTGTCCCAGCGAACAGTTGTCCTCCATTCGCGCCATGATGCAGCAGTTCACCTACATCACGGACATCAACATTGGCCACGACCACGAGGAGGGAGGAACGGAGGAGCACCAGGGGGATCATCCGGAATGCGATCAGAACTCGGAGACAGAGTCGTGTCATGGCCAGGAGCCAGAGTTGCCGCCTCCGCCGTCAGTGCTGGATATCAAATCCCCCGTTGCCGTGCAGCCCCCAACCCTGGAGCCGGCCACAGCCGTTAAGGTGGTGAGGGGACGCAAGAAGCCCGCCTACGTGTCGCCCTACAGCATGCAGAGTCAGCGGAACAGCAGCAGCAGTGCCGCCAATCCCAAGAAGAAGACCCTCTCCCCCACCATTGCCAAGCGGACTGGGCTGCCGCTCAAAAAGAAGACCACACCGCCGCCAGTCTCGACTCCAGCAGCAGCAGCAGCAGCACCGGCACGTCTGGAACGCCAGGGAACCTTTGTGAAGGACGAGCCCACAAATAGCAACGTCGAGGTGCCCGTCGTGGAGGCAAAGCCGGCCAACACCAGTCCCAGCCATCGCGTGTCCAAGCTGCCCACAAAAAAGGCCACTGGAGGCGACACTCCAAAGTCAATCGCCGGATCTCCGAAGCGCACTGCGGCAGCTTCTGCTGCGCGACGGGTGACGCCACAGCGTGCCAATACCAGCCTCCGTCTGGCCGGAACAAAGTCAGCGGGCACCTCGCGCGTGGCCCCCACCCGCGTGTCCACCACCACACCGCCCTCCCGCAGCAATTCCAATCTGAACGGAAGCAGTGCAGCCGCTGCGGCGGCGGCCAAGATCAATCAGGCACAAAGTCGCATTGCCAACATCTGGAAGCGCGTGGACGAAGCCAAAACGAAGCAATCGTCCAATCTGAGGACACAGCAAACGAAATCTTCCAATACGCTCAACGGAGCGGGTACGGGTGCGGGAACGGGAGCGGGAGCGGGTACAGGAGCTCCCAAGCCGAAGCCCACTCTGCTGCGCAGCTCCACATTTGATAACACGCCCGAACCGGCGGTAGGTGGCAGCGTCAAGTCCAAGCTGCCCGTTGTGGGTGCACGTAAATAGATTCCCAGATCCATTTTTTTGTATATTTCTCGCATTTTGAGGAACGGAAAACGCACAAGCAGAACGAGCACGAGAAGCAGCGCTAGAGTCAGAGTAAAAATCAAAGAGTTTATAGGATAGAAGAAGGCAATATACATATACGATACATACATACGATATCCACTATATAGTACTACATACATATATACATATTTCTCCTTCTACTTGATATATACATATATATATATATATAAATCCCATGTACTTTGTAAGCAACCAGTCTAGCATAGCGATAGCGCAAAAACTCCTAGTGACTCGAACTAATCCAAAATCACAGTCCGAGCTCCCACCACCCTGTAAGAGCAGGGGAGGGGGGGACTCGTGTGTGTGTAGCCAAATGTACTAGATCTTCAGGCCTTTCAAAATGTGTACAACTCTCCCCTATATACAATATATATACGAATGCATATGTAATTGCTATATACTCGGTAGAAAATGTTCTTCAGAGAGAGAGAGGTTTAATTCGATTTAGTTTTTACATTTAGTTAGAGAGACGAGAGCGAGAGAGAGCTCTCACTCCCCCCAAGAGACGGCATCGTATGCGTAAATATTTTACGATGCTTGTCCCATCTGGGGAACTCTTTTTTTTATTATTATTATTGTGCAAGAAAACCAAAAAATATTTGAAATACCCGATTTTGTAGTCACTGCTTTTTAAGTAATCCTCTTTTTAAATAGACAGGCCTCTACGGCGTTGAGTTGATCTTTTAGCAATATGGGCATTATTAAGTATCAGAACAGGCCAAGCAGCTTTTGTATTAACTATTCTGTTATTTTCGATTCAAGGCGATTAACAATTTGAATATTAAATAAAACGGAATGCTTTTCAGCAAAAAAACAAACAAGGCAAAGCGTACACAATCATTGGATTTGCCATCTAGTAGCGCAGATCTGAACGTATTTAAATATCCTATTCATATATATATATAAAGCCTATGCTTATGCGAATCTGGAATGTCTTTGCACTGGAAATGGCACCCAAGAAGGAGAATCAAACTGTCAGCCAGCCGCAGCAGCAGCAGCTGCAGCCCGAGGTTCAAGATGAGGACGAGGATGCCATTTACCGCGAACCCTGGTACTCGACATTCATTCAGATTGTCATACCATTCTTTCTGGCCGGCATGGGCACCACCACGGCGGGCATTATGCTGGGCAGCGTCCAGCACTGGACCGTCTACAAGCAAATGAGCGAGCTGTTCGTGATGGTGCCAGTGCTATGCGGCCTCAAGGGCAATCTGGATATGTGCGTGGCAGCGCGTTTCTGCACGCACTCGAATCTGGGACACATGAAGCACAAAGGCGACATCTGGAAGATAGTCATCGGCAATATGGCGCTAGTTCAGGTGCAGGCCATTGTCTGCTCCCTGCTGCTGTCCACGTTCACGCTGAGCATCAGCTCCGCGGTGGCCCACAAGCTGAGTTTCGATAACTTTTCGACGCTGACGGCGGCGGCCCTGGTCACATCCAGCACCGCGTGCATGATCCTCGACTCGGTGCTGATGGTTACCATTCTGTTCTCGCAGCGCTACAGCTTCAATCCGGACTACATGGCCACGCCGATTGTGGCCTCCATCGGGGATGTAGTGACTATCAGTCTGCTATCGTTCAGCGCCGCCTACATGCACGCCCTGGGCAAGTCGTACATGTGGATTAGTGTTTGCGTCATGGTCTTCTATCTGGTGGTCTTGCTGCCCCTCTGGCTGGTAGTGGTGCTGCGCAACACCTACACCCGCCCGCTGCTCATGATGAGCTGGATACCAGTGCTGGCGGCGCTGTGCATCAGTGCGTTTGGGGGCTTTGTGCTGCGCTCGTCGGTGGAGCAGTTTCCGGGATTCGCCATCTTCTCGCCCATCATCAATGGCATCGGCGGGAATCTGGTCTGCGTGCAGACCAGCAACATGGGCACCATCCTCTACAGACGCTCCAAGCTCGGCCAGCTGCCCAGGGACACGCGCATCTGCGAGTGGCCTCACAGGGTGTACTTCTATGGCACCGTCTACTCCCGCGTCTCGCGTATTCTGATTATTCTCTCCATTCCGGGCAACATTATTCTCGTGTACATTGCCGATTATCTCTACAAGTCGCGCATTACTGTTGGTGTCGTGTTCCTCGGTTCCTTTGCTCTGACCAGCCTGCTGCAGCTGCTCATTCTGCTGTGGAGCGCCCACTTCCTGGTTCATCTGTTTTGGAGGCACAGGATCGATCCGGACAGTTCTGCCATTCCCTATCTGACGGCTCTGGGAGATGGCCTGGGCACGGGTCTGCTCGCCATCATGTTCCGACTGCTGCGCTCCGCCGACCAGGAATACAGTGCCAACCAGCCTTGGCTCAAGTTCAACTTGGGCATCTAACTGAAATTTTTACATTTTCCATTTGTTCCATAGAAGTGGAAGACTTAAATATATGTGAAACCGCGGCCACATCGATAGTTACATAGGTAAGACAAATATGTACGATATATAAGCGAGAAGTCAGTCAGCGATAATGATTGGAGGGGAAACAACTGATGGAGTGGAGATTTGAATTATATTTTACACATTCAATTCATTTAAATAAAATGTAAAATAAATATTATAAATTGAAAATTTCGATACTTCCACAGTGGAAAAACATCGATACTATCGAGGTTTTGCCAGCTCTAAAAGTGAGTCAGGCGGTTCTCAGTTCATCACCAGCGTGCGGTTGCAATTTAATTTATTTCGTTTTTTCTATTAAAAGTCATAAAAAACACACAGCAAAATGTCGACCATGGCAAGTCCTTTATCCATTGCGGGCACGCGGCAGTCTGGAGCGCCGGTGCGCACACAGAATGGTAAGAAACATTTGCTATTAACAACAGCTGCAGAGTCGCGTCTGTATGTCTGCCGGTGGGGCGAAGCACGTTTCTGGTCAGGCGGTCTCTGGCGGGCTCGAGAATGTTCCGGAACAAAGTTGTGGGAGGGCTTCCCAATGAGAAGCGATGGTTCAGACAATGAATTCTTACTGTAAATGAAGATAGACTGAGTTATCCCGTAAACATTGCAAAGTGAGGTTATGACTACATTTTCCTTTCTTTCTTTTCTTTAGTCATGGCAGCTCTGTCCATATCCAACATCGTGAAGAGCTCCCTGGGGCCGGTTGGCCTGGACAAAATGCTGGTGGACGACATCGGTGATGTCACGGTGACCAACGATGGAGCCACCATTTTGCGTTTGCTCGAGGTGGAGCACCCAGCAGCCAAGTAAGTAGATTGCAACAGGCACACATGTGAATGAAGATTAATTGTGGTGTCTCTCAAGGGTTTTGGTTGAGCTGGCGCAGCTGCAGGACGAGGAGGTCGGAGATGGCACCACATCTGTGGTCATTTTGGCCGCCGAACTGCTGAAGAATGCCGACGAGTTGGTCAAGCAAAAGATCCATCCCACTTCGATCATCTCCGGCTACCGCATTGCCTGCAAGGAGGCATGCAAGTACATCTCGGAGCATCTGACTGCCCCCGTGGACGAGTTGAGTCGCGACACCCTGATCAACATTGCCAAGACCTCGATGAGCTCCAAGATTATTGGCGCTGATGCCGATTTCTTCTCCACCATGGTTGTGGATGCCGCTCATTCCGTCAAGATTACAGATCCCAGGGGCCAGACCGCCTACTCGATCAAGGCCATCAATGTGCTGAAGGCCCACGGAAAGTCGGCCCGTGAATCTGTGCTGATCCCTGGATACGCACTCAATTGCACCATTGCCTCCCAGCAGATGCCGAAGAAGATTGTCAATGCAAAGATTGCCTGCTTGGACTTTTCGCTGCAGAAGACCAAGATGAAGATGGGTGTGCAGGTGCTGATCAACGATCCCGACAAGCTGGAGGCCATTCGTGCGCGTGAGTTGGACATCACCAAGGAGCGCATCAACATGATTCTGGGCACTGGTGTCAACGTGGTCCTGGTCAGCGGTGGCGTCGATGATCTCTGCATGAAGTATTTCGTTGAGGCCGGAGCCATGGCTGTGCGCCGCGTGAAGAAGAGTGATCTGAAGATCATTGCAAAGGCCACTGGAGCCGCCTTCCTTACCTCTCTGACGAATATGGATGGTGAGGAGAGCTTCGATGCCTCCATGGTGGGTGAAGCCGCCGAAATCGCACAGGAGCGTATCTGCGATGATGAGCTCATCCTGATCAAGGGCACAAAGGCGCGGTAAGCAACAGATTGAAAATCTCCTCCGATGGATAAAATTTAAATATAAATTCTTATTTAGTGCTGCCGCTTCCATCATTCTCCGTGGTCCCAATGACTTCTACTGTGATGAGATGGAGCGTTCTGTTCACGATGCCCTGTGCGTTGTGAAGCGCGTGCTGGAGAGCAAAAAAGTTGTTGCTGGCGGCGGCTGCGTGGAGGCCGCTCTGTCCATCTACCTGGAGAACTTCGCCACATCGATTGCCTCCCGCGAGCAGCTGGCCATTGCCGAGTTCGCCAAATCGCTGTTGGTCATTCCCAAGACACTGTCCGTGAATGCGGCCAAGGATGCCACGGATCTGGTGGCCAAGCTGCGCTCCTACCACAACTCCAGTCAGACCAAGCCCGAGCACGCTGAGCTCAAGTGGACCGGCCTGGATTTGATCGAGGGCGTGGTCAGGGACAACAAGAAGGCTGGCGTCCTGGAGCCCGCCATGTCGAAGATCAAATCGCTGAAGTTTGCCACTGAGGCAGCCATCACCATTTTGCGCATTGACGACATGATCAAGCTGAATCCGGAGGACAAGAGCGGCAAGAGCTATGCCGATGCCTGTGCCGCCGGCGAGCTGGATGGCTAAGGCGTACGCACTTATGACACTTCTACTGTTTTTAGGCATTTAATTTTAATCAAAACACAACACAACCCCACGCAACGCCACTCACTTTCAATTGTCGCCCCCCACATTTCCCATTTCATGTAATAACAATTGAATTGTTTTGCTAATTGCGATTTGTATTAACACCGCACATCTGTAATCTGTAATCCCTTCTCATTCACGCTTCAAGGCAAGGCATAATAAATGAAACTTCAGGATATGCTGAGGCGCCAACTAAACTGGAGATCAATATTGTTTATGTTTCTCCAATTCTTTTCGGGGGAGAGCAATCGCCTGCCGAGAGAGCGTTCTCCGCGCCGGAGAGTCGATATCCTATAAATAGCGTATGCATCTATTTCGTTTCGTTCCGTCTATTAATACGGAAAAAGAAAACATCAAATAGCCAGAGCAGCAGCCATAACGCACATTGGTCAGAGGAAAATTCCTCTTCTTTTCGTACATTTTGGGGTAATATTTTTCCATAAAAATAAAATGTCAGGAACTATTGACGAGGGCGCTGCTGCTGTTGGAGGCGATGGCGATGTGAACAATAATGACACAGATTTGGCCACCGCCAACGAGCATGAGGAAGTGCAGCCACAGCCACAGCTGGAACAGCAACAGCAGCCACAAAATGAGCTGCTCGATATGGTTTTCACATTGGAGAGCGAGAAACAGGCGTTGCTAGAGGAGTCTCGCAAGAGAATCGGAGCACTACGAAAAGATTTTGAGGTTAGTATCGAACATGATCCATCCCATCCATTGATTGAATCTGCATCGAATTTCTGCATTCAAGGAGGCGAAATTCGAGAATGAGCGCTTGAAGAGGCGTGTGGTTCAGCTGGAGCAGTCCCTCAAGCAGTCCGTCATGCTGGGCGGCACAGAGGCGCCCAAGTCACGCCAAGAACAGGAGGAGCTGCTGCTCAAGGCAAAGACGCTGCTGTTCGAGAAGACCAAGGTGAACAAGCAGCAGGAACAGCAGATCTCTGTGCTGAAGCAGCAGGTGGAGTCCGTAAAGGAGGTGGTGCAAGTGACCAAGGACATGCTGCAGCTGAAGACGACAGAGTGCGAGCACACAGAGGAGCGACTGGAGAAGAGCCAGCTGTGGATCAAGGCCGAGCAGGACAAGTGTGCGCTGACCGAAAAGAAGCTGGTCATATCCAAGGGTGTGTACGACAAGTTGCGGGCGGAGTACGACACACAGTCGAAGATATTCAAGGTAAGTTACGTTTTCAGGCCCCATTAATGTTACACGCCAACTCCATTGATTATGGTTCATTTGCAGGAGCTTCGGTCCGCCTACGAGCAGAAGCTAAAGGTTCTGAGCATTGCATTGGAGGAGGCCAAAAAATAGTGGAACAATTTAATAAACTATGTTAATTAAATGCACACATCGTGTTTATAAGTTTAATAATTTAATTTTTGTTCTGCTTCGTTGCCCGATCACGTCAGTCCAGTCCAGTCCAGAGCCTAGGCGCTCTGATTGGACTGCTGCTGCTGTTGCTGGGCCTGCATCATCTTCACGGCGGCCGCCTGCTTCATTTCCAGCACGCCCACCACAGAGTTCAGGAAACGCGTCTTTTGCAGGTGTATCTTTTCAATTTTCTCAATCTGCTCCTGCACGTACTCGACGCGACGCTTGAAGTAGTCCTTGGAGCCCTCCAGATCCTATCAAACAAACAGATGTTGCAAGAGCCAGTCTGGGACAGTAGTATGGATATTAAAGTTACCTTCTCGATGTAGTAGCCGGTGCCGATGTCTATGACAAAGTTGTTGAGGTCCTTCACGCGTCCGGGCACGTACATGCTGCTCGTCAGCGGCACCAGTATCTGACGGTTCTCCCAGTCCGGCTGGAATGTTTCCAGCGCCTCTTTGGAGCCAGCGTATTTGGCTTTGCACCCATGCAGAGTCGACAGCGACTCCTGTATGTTGCCCATCTCCTGCGGAAACACAGGCAAAGACGAGTTTTATTAGCATGTGCTGCATTCCATTCTCCCACACTCGCACTCCCCCGCACCAACCATCCTGACTCACACACGCCGCTACACAGCAACACCCACATGCGCGACTTACCTGCTCGAACTCTTGCTTGATCTGCATCAGCTGGTCCGGACTGAGCTTGGTGAGATCAATCATCTCAGGCTTTGCGGATGCGCTTGAGGTACCAGCCATTTTTAGTGATAATTTATTATTTTTATAATTTTAAAAATTTCCAATTCTGTCACACGCAAGTATAGAGATGTGCAATTTGTATCGATATCTATTTAAGTCATATTTTTTGTGGGATATTTTTGTATGTGGTAGGTGATATTTCTGTGCGATTAAAACTACCAGCCAATACGAGGTACTGGAAAACGCTGGGAACAGTGCTACCAATGCTAGGGACAGAAAACACATATTAAAATGTATGAAAAATGTAAAAAAAATGTAACGATGTAAGAAAATTGTAACAAAAACTTAAAATGTAATAAAAACTTAAAAAAAACAAATAAAAATGTTTTAATTGCTCATTGACAATAGCTGACTGATATAAAACTAAAAAATTTAAATGCTCGCTGACAAAAGCTGACTGATATAAAACAAAAAGAATTCGAATTGCTCGCTGACAAAAGCTGACTGATATGAAACGAATAATTCTAATTGCTGGCTGACAAAAGCTGACTGATATGAAACGAAAAATTATAATTGCTCGCTGACAAAAGCTGACTGATATGAAACGATAAATTCTAATTGCTCGCTGACAAAAGCTGACTGATATGAATCGAAAATTTCTAATTGCTCGCTGACAAGAGCTGACTGATATGAAACGAAAAAATTATAATTGCTCGCTGACAAAAGCTGACTGATCTGAAACGAAAAATTCTAATTGCTCGCTGACAAGAGCTGACTGATATGAAACGAAAAAATTATAATTGCTCGCTGAAAAAAGCTGACTGATATGAAACGAATAATTCGAATTGCTCGCTGACAAAAGCTGACTGATATGAAACGATAAATTCTAATTGCTCGCTGACAAAAGTTGACTGATATGAAACGAAAATTCTAATTGCTCGCTGACAAAAGCTGACTGATATGAAACGAAAAATTATAATTGCTCGCTGACAAAAGCTGACTGATATGAAACGAAAAATTCTAGTTGCTCGCTGACAAAAGCTGACTGATATGAAACAAAAAATTCTAATTGCTCACTGACAAAAGCTCACTGATATGAAATAAAAAAAAATTATAACTGCTCACTGACAAAAGCTGACTGATATGAAACGAAAAATTAAAACATTTAAACATATGTACATATTTAATCTTAGGATGATGTCTTCCACAATACTATGAGAAAACCACCGATTGGGGCTTTCTTCTACGATAACTGTCCAATGATTGGCGCAGTCCTGCCGATCTACTGCGATATCAGTTTGGTGTTTACATAATTTTGTAAATTAAAGGTATAAAATTTAAATACGATATTTGGGCTAAAAAACTCGTATTTAACGGCTCTAACGGAAACATAAATCTTTAGTTTTTTTTTTTAATTATATTTTATTGTATTTATTATATGCAATGTTATAATTCTGTGTTTTGTCAGTCATTCTGTATTTGTATGCATTTCGTATTTGTTTTTCTCGTAAATTATAAAATCTAACATAAAACAAAGCAATTTCTTTAACAATCACTGCCGCTACATATACATATACACGTTACAATTTGTTAATTACATATATATGCAATATATATATATATATATTTGTGGGTGTTTTTTGGGTGTTGTTGTCTGTTTATATATGTATATATTAGATAACAATGATATTAAGCCTAAGTAGAAGTAATTTTTAGTACTGATATTCGTACCTCGGTCTCTGCAATTTGCAATCTCGCAATCACCCCTCCATATCCTTCCTCTTCCAATGATCAATGACCATTGATCTATTTCTGGTAAGTTACATGCATTAACTATTTACTGTTACCCATACAACTAACTGTACTTGCCTTGCCCTTACCATACATAAGTACATAAATATATATCATACATACACATAACATTTACGAGTTTATCTTGATTCAATTTGGGGTTTTTTGGGAGTGGATTCTCTAATATATTTGTATCTTATTTGGAAAACGTAAACGTTACATGGCGTGTATGAAATTTTGCTGTATAGTAGTTTCGCAATACATATATGTGTTTGAACTCTCATTCGGATTTCGTTATCGAGACGGTGTGTATGTGTGGGTTTGTGTTGCAAAGCAAATTTGTTATATACGTAGTATCTATAAGTACATATTGAATTTGGTTTTTCTCTGGAATCGAAATGAATAAACTTTTGTGGTTTACGAGTAGTTTAAATGCAGAGTTTTCCATGTGCAGCATTAACATTGTGAGGAGATAGAGAGAAAGTTGGTTGGGAGAGAGTGTTGCATATACATACATATATAATATATCATTAAGTGGGAATGGCTTTTCCTTATCGAAACTCTGTTGCTTCTCGTTTGGTTTCCATTATCGAATCGAAGGGACGTACGTAATACACAGTAATCATAGTTTTTATTTTTATTTTCTTTGTTTGTTTTGTTAATTATACATTTTAGCATATGCAAGTATTGTACATGTCGTATAGATGTACATATATAAATAGTATAGTTTTGTTTTGTTTGGTTTTGTGTATGTTTCTTGTATAATAGTTTTATGTGTGTGTGTGTGTGTGTGAGTGTGTTTACTTGTAGTTGTAATTGTCCTAGGTGTCGATTTTAGCTAGATTGGCTAATTTGTCTTGTGGTTTTGGTTTCTATCGCCTCGGTACTCCGTTCCGTTCTTTTTGTATACAAGTTTGAGGGTTTTAAAAAACTCGAAAATATATCAAAAATTTCTTGAAATGCAGTATATATGTATGTATGTATTTTGTTGTTGTTAAATATATATGTATATAAGTGTGTGTGTATATATTTGTTCGTGTATAAGTAATTTTTTCTTTACATTAAGATTTTTGAGAGAAATATATGAATGTCCATGTAATTTCGCTAGTGAGTGAATGATAGTGTGTGTGTGAGTGTTAGTGTGCGTGTATAAGTAAGTGTATATAGGTTGTCTTGTATATAGAGTCCAAAATGATACACTAACTGGTATACATACTTAAATATCGTGGCAATAAGTGTTTAATATAGAGCATCAAAACGATATACATATGTGATTACGAGTATAGTATATATGTATGCTATGGTATACATGATACAGTTACCAATAAACAATAAAAATAAAAACAAAAAACGAAGTTTCGCTCCTAACTGTCTTGTGTCTGTGTGTGTGTGTGTGTGTGTATGTCCGTGAGAGTAACTGTGTGGGTGTAAGCATGTCTGTGTGCTGGCTGCTGCTGCTGTTGCTGATTGTGTATACGTCACGTATGCCGCCTCGAAAAATACGCTTAAAGCTGCTTTTAATACTGTAAAATTGTTGCTTGGGTTGTTCTTTCCGGTTTCATTGTTTGTTTGTTTGTTTGCTTGTTCGTTTTTGTTCAGTAAAGTAATGTCTTTCGCTCACATCTGATAGCAGTTGTTGTAAAAAAGCTAGGTAGGTTCGCTTCAGTGTCAAAGTGTGTGTCATAGAGTGTGTCGTAAGTGTGTTAGAAATAGAAAGTGTTGTGTTCTGGTGTCTTGTCACTTGATATGTCTGAGTTCATATTGCACACAAGTCGCTGGCAATATATAGTCTCAAATACATATACACATTAAAAAGTATATATTTGTGGGTCTGGGAATGGTTGGGACTAACTCAAAGTCGCATCGAGTCGCGAATGCTGCACGCAAAACGAAAAAGTCGCCGCACGCATCAACCAAAATCGAGTGTTTCTACTGGGTATAAGTATTCGTGTATTTGTTGTGTACTGTACTGTTGTGTACGATTACTAATACGATTAATACTAATCTCCATATTTTGCATTTTCACATTTGGTGAATCGATTTTGATTTCGATTCACATTTTTGTTTTTTGTTATTATTACTAATCTCCTTGTTTGCATTTTCAACATTTTGTTAATCGAATTCGATTCACATTTACAATTTAACTAATTAAAGCCGGTTTCAATTCAACAAACAATCTGTAGCTTAAATTCTTGCATTCATCGTTATCATTATTGTAAATGTATTCCCCCCGCTCCATTCCAATCCGAACCGAAGCGAACCAAACCGATCCTGGAGGGGAGGAACACATCTACAGCACCACATTTTGTAACTTTACACGCTGCCCCTAGGCAAAGGAAAATAACCCATACAGAATCTCATTATTTAATGCATTTAATTAAAGTACTCTATACGTATGTATTGTATTTGTATTGTATGTATATAAATATATTTTTGTAATTACTTTTACATATGTATATTGAATTTCTTCTAAATTGTTTTTAGTGTTTAGTTTAGTGGCTTTTCTAGTAGATTTGTTGCAGTTGAATTGTTTGCTTGACACGTTTTGTAGCGTACTTTTTGTGGCGAAATATTTTACACAATTACTTGATTGGCTAGTGGCATAATTTATCATAACGTAGTGATATATATAATATATATATATATATAGTGTGGTATATATGCTTATACGCTGGCTGATGGTTGTGGCTCTGTGGCTGTATATCTTTTTAGCAAGTCTTGAGTTTGAAGCTATAATTTCTTAGGCATAATTTAAAGTTGACTTGTGTTTGGTATTAAGTATCTGTCCATCTGCCGTCTTAATTGTTCGTATATCTGCTTGCTAACATTATGTATTATTATTGCCAACAAAACCGACCTAACCCACCCGAATCTATCTCTTATTATCCTTCCATTCATTTGTACACTCCTGTCACACTCCACCTTCCTCCTCTGACTGAGTCTGCATTTAATTAACGTTATGAGGCTGCTAAATAAATACATATTTATATTTATATATGTGTGTGTATATATATATATATATAGGTATATGTGGTTGGTTGTATGCATCTATGGGTACACATGTGGGGTATGGTATATTTTCTTAGGGGGGACTTTCACTTTCGGCTCGCTTTGCACTAATTGCATTTTATTGCTAATTTGACGATAATTCCTAGCTCCTCTTTCCTCTTTCGTTTTTCCTGTTTTCTTTTACCTTACACATACCACTCCTTGACGTCCTTGGAGTCGCGCTTTTTGGCCTTTGGCTGGACGGGACCAGCCATCTGTGGCCTGCCATCGCTGCCGTAGCCCAGAGATCCGCTGCCGCTGGACATCATGCCGCCACCGCCTCCTCCTCCGCCCCCGCCGCCACCATTGCCGTTGCCTTGGTGTCCATTGTGCATTTGCTGCTGGCCATGGAGCTGCTGCTGGCCTACGGCTCCGCCCTGATGGTGCTGGCGCTGTTGGTGGTAGGATCCATTGGTGCTGGTGTTGCCCAGCAGCGCCGCGTTCGGGTTGTGCGATCCGTAGGCGGCTGCCTTCTCGCTCTCCGTCTTGTAGCCGCGATCCCCGTTCGACTTGAGCCACAGCACCAGGAGAATGACCAGAACGACGGCTATGAGTATGCCGGCCACAATGCCGATGATCATGGCCGTGCGCTCCTCCTCGATCGAGTTGATGCGGCCGCCCTTGGCCTTGGGCCGGTAGTTGTTCACATTCGTATTATACGTGGTGCCGCCATAGGGTCCGTACGGTGGAGGATCCTGCGGTGGCAATGGTGGCGGAAGCGGTGGCAACGGGTGATGCTCGTCCGGCAGCTGCATGCGATCGTGATCGTTCCTGCCAGCCCCACCCATGCCACCGCCGGCAATGTAGATATCGAAGGGCGTTGTCTCTCGCTCCGTGACGGTGCTCCTAATCTCCGGTGGTGCCGTGGCCTGCGTCGTGGTTGTCGTCGTTGTCGTGATGGTTGTGCTGGTGCTGCTGCTCGTGCTGCTGCTTGTGGCGCGTTGCGTCGAGGAGGTGGATCCCACGCTGCTGGTGGTGCTCGTCTGGCTCGGAGCACTGCTGCTGCTTCCCCCGCTGCCGCTGCCGCTGCTGCTACTGCTGCTGCTGCTTCCGCCACTCGATTGGGTGGTTATGTAGGTGGGCGTGCTGCCACTGCTGGAGCCGTGCTGCTGCTGCTGCTGCTCCGTGGTCACATCGCTGCGTCCCGTGGTGGTGGCTGTAACCATCTCATTGTTGGACTCTGCAAGTGGTTAGGCAGTCGTTTTGTGAGTTAAGTGTTCGATTGTGTCTGGCATTTGGTTGGGTCTGGTCTGGCGTTTTCTGGTGCCGAGTGGTGCAGAGTGTTTTGTGGGTGCATTATACGTTTGTACATATACATATGTATGTATCTGCGTGTGCCCGCCCAGAAAATATTGGAAACACCCAGTTTGCTTTTCATAGTTTATTCAACACAGATAGAGAGGATAGAGATTTAGATATTGAGAGATATGTATGCGCTGGTGTGTGGCTTTAAGGCTTAACCGTCTTTGCTTCGTCTTTGCTCAACTCTTGCCTGATATATACGAGTATGTTTGTAAGTACTGCCGATATGTACAAATTGGAATTCGAATAACTAGAGAACTATGCAATCAAGACGAGAGTCAAACAAATACATACAAACATATATACGAGTATGCAGATGGTGGGGTAGTGGGGTAGAACAGGAAGAGATCGATTAACACAAAAACACACTTCTCCGTTACGTTACACAGTTTATCGCTACTATATACAAGACATATAGTACATACAGATTTGATTTGCTAACACCTTTGTCCTAACCATTAACCTTTAACGTGTCACGTTTAACCCTTAACTTTACCGATGAATACGAACTCTCGAGCTCTCGAACACGAACCCCTCGCAATGCTTTGGCGTGCATACGCTTTGTTGTGATCGGTGTGGTTGGTTGTACTGGTTGGTTGTTGTTGTTGTTGTTGTTCTGGTTGTTTGTTGTTGTAGTTGCATTTTGTTGTTGTTGTTGTTGTTTGTTGGTGGTTTAGCTCTCGTAATGCTAGAGTTAGTTATACATTTTAGACAATGGTCTAGTTGGAAGCTTATAGCCTAAGTGCATTCTGTATTGGTTGTAATTTCTTGGTTGGTTGCATTTGGTTTTATGGAAATTTACAGAGTATCCAAGGCGCAATCACAGTCAGAAATATGAAGACGATTTCACATTCTGAAAGAGACACATAAGGCGTACTCATTGTCAGTTCAAATTAGAAGGCAACAATCATCAACAACTGAATTGATGATGATGAAGAGGCGGCGATTGTTGAAAATATATTTTTTGATTTTATCTGATCTGAAGATGACACGAGGGAGCGAGAGCGAGCGATCTGAATCTGAATCTGAATTGGAGTTGGATTGGTTCATTGATTGCTGATTGTTGGTTGTTGGTTGTTGATTGTTGGTTGTTGAGGTTGTTGGTTGGGTTGATGCATTGCGAGAGGTGCGAGGCGATATAGTTACATTTGTCTCAGAGCTGTTTTGGGGCTGTTCTATGTGATTGGGTTGGGTGGTGTAAGCAGTTCAAGCAGTGGCATTGCATAGTTCAAGGCGCGCACACACCTAACCTAACTTCTGCCATAGACTCTGGGGTCGACTGTACTTATTGAACGGCAATATTGAACGATAGCGACAACGATAAACATTAAAAGCAAAGCAGCGGTATCTAGCTAATCGATTATACGAGTATAGGTCAACTGGTTAACACAACAGAACCCACAGCGTCATGTCATGGTTATAACGTTCTCTATATACATACATGGATCTCTATAAGTAGTATTTTACATAGGTATATCTGCATATATCAAGAGTTTTGCTAGCTAATTTCTGGGATGATGTGTGTGTGTCTGTGTGTTGCTGTGTGTGTGTATCTGTGAACGATCCAAATGCCAATGACATAATGACACCACCACCAACACGGGTCAATGGCCCCCCGATTACTCACCTGCGCCTCTGGCCGTGCTGGTCGACGTGAATTGTTCCGTGGTCTCCCCGTAATCCCCAGAGCCGTGCACGCAGTCCTCGTCATCGCAGGCCCGTTCCGTGCCGTTGTTGTTGCTGCCGCCACTGCCACTCCCATTGCCATTATTGCCGCTGCTCGGATTGCCGCCCTGCTGTGAGGTGGTTGTCTGCTTGGTGGGTGGCACATACACGGGCGTGATGAGGTCATCGCCGCTGCCCGACTCAAAGGGTGGCGTGCACTCGTCCTCGTCGTCGCCGCGACACCCGGACCCGGCACCCGAGAATATTAGATCGTCAATGGTGCCCGGATAGCCGCTGGCCGGCGTCTGTCGAGTAGAGTTCAAAGTCTAATTTTACTTCAGTGATCTGGTGGCCAGGCTGCCAAGCGGTTATTGTATGAGGATTTGTTAATTCGATTAGTTAGTTAGTTAGGTGCTGAAATACGTGTATTACGTATGTATGTATGTATATGTAAGTGTTTTTGGTTAGGTATATATTATGTGCGTGTGTGTGTGAGTGTATGAAGCCACCAAAGTTCGAATGCATTGTAAAACCCTTTGCAATTTTGGGTAGTGATACCAGATCCTCACAAAATCAATTGTAAATGAGAATCAGAAGAGTATTTCCATGCATATTTGGAGCTATGCGAAATCTTTGTAGAGAATGGGAGAGTAAAACTCAGAAATAATATGGAACATACCATAAAGATGTGGATTGTAAACTTTTTCGATCTTGCTCGAATATTTAGTTCAGACTGGATTCTTTTAAATGCGGAAATATAATGACTACAAGTAATCTGGTATGAACCGCTTTCCCTGAACGAGTTTATAGCGTATTATATCTGCACTCCGATTGATCCACTGGTAAACCCTCAGTGACTTCATTGGTTTTTTTGCGAGTATACAAGTACGAGTATACGAGTACGAGTATATATGTTTATGTATGTGTTTGATGTGTAATTGCTTTGTGTAGAGTCATGCAGCATTAGTGCGGACGAGTTCTAGTGCATAGTAAATCATATATACAAATTTGTATATACATTTATACATATGTTTGTATATCAGTACAGTATATATGTGTGTGTATGTATGTATATATTCACAATTATTCGGTTAATGCTGTGCAGCGATTGAAACAAATCGAAGGAAACTAAAATCATAGCTGGTTAGTGGAAAAATCGTATAAATATTTCATTTGATTTATGATTTTAGTAGTAGGTGCGTGAAAAGCGTTACAGAAATCAAGGCGACCCCGAGGCAAATCTAAATCAAAAATCATAAATTCAATTCAAATGCAGCATTTACACTAGGATTATAGTACATTGAGTAAGCTAATACTTTTTGTTGTTGTTGTTGTTAATGGTTTTAGTCGGAACGCTTAGCGTCGAACCCGAATTTCCCGGATTTGATTTGTGATGACAATGTGATGGCTTTTGCTTTGACTCTTTGGCTACTTCAATATACAGATGATGAACGATTTAAGGTAGAGTAGAGAGTGCTTAGGAAGGAAGTGCTGCATGGTTGAGCATAATATAATTGTGGTGCAATCAAATCATTTCATTTCAAATCGGTTTGGGGAAATGGGGTTCCACAACACATTAAGCGGATTATTACAATACAATTTTTTGGTTAGATTAAACTTGTAGGTTTTTTTTCTGGGGGGTTTTTTTTTAAGAAAGACTTTTTTTTTTGGTTTTGAATAAACTTTTGGGTTTTTTGTTACGATGAGAAAAATACTTGAAAAGTTGAAAGTTGAGAGGAATTCAAATAAAATTTCAAATAAATTCCCTAACCTGCTGCATTCTCTGCAGATCATTTCTATCTAATACTCCAGTTACCAATTGAACGTCTCCTCGAATGGTGATATGTGGATCGCGCTCAACGGCCAAATCCAAGATGCGCAACTTGTTCACCGAGAGTCCGGCAATGACGCCAGCGAACGGCCGCTCGATGCGATTGCGGCCGTTGCGACTGAACTTGCCGCCGACTTGGACATTGGACATGGTATTGAAAACGGTCGAATGGTGGCCTGCAAATCAAAACAGAATCACAAGAAAAAGAATTTGTATTATTACAGACATATGGGACTCCGTCTTAGAGGTATTCGTGAGCAAGAGAGTTAGAAAGAGCAGAGTCATCCACTTACTCTGCGGAGTCAGTGCCTGCACATTGTAGTCATCGAGCTGGAGAGTGGCGTTGCCTCCCTTGCGCTGGAACCGCACCACGTGATAGGAGTTGTCGTTGACCTTGGTGCCAATCTCGCCCAGCGGCAGATCCACGCTGCCAATGTTGTACACCATGAAGATGTTGCCCTCGACTATCTCCAGCTCCATGTAGTCCTGTGTGGTGGCACTCTCGATGCGCAGCAGCACTGCATCCGGCTTGGTGGTTATAAATCCCATCGCCACGTTGTCCTCCTCGGTGTCTGCCTGGGCGTTCTCGGGATAGGTATACTGTACCATTCCCTTGTTGTTGCCAAACTCATATGCAATGGATTCTGTGGGTAAAAATACATCTTATACATGTCCCATTGATTCCGTGGAATGTGTGTGTGTGTGTATGCATTACCATCGTAGCAAGTGGGTCCTGTGTAGGAGGTCATGTCGCACTCGCAGGCATAGGCATTCCACTGCTGCACGCACACGCCCCGATTGGCGCAGGCGTTCTGGCTGCACTTGGTGGGTCCCTCGCAGCCGCTGACCACCAAAGAGCTCGGCACCACCGCATCGCTGGTGAGCGAGGGCGAGGCATCGCCCAGATCCAGCGAGGACAGGCAGCCCTCGAAGCCGGAACGCGATGAAATGGAGGCGGGCAGCTTCGAGTACATGTCCTTGAAGACGCCACCAATGTAGAGGATGCCGGCCAGCTCCAGATGCATATTATTGCCGGTCAGGGTGATGATCTCAAAGGAGTCATCCACGGTCAGCGTGTGGGTCTTGGGTCCAGGCCGTCGAATGCTGACCTGATGCCAGCGGTTGTCGTTCATGTGGATGCGCGACTTGTCCCTCATGGTCACCGGGCCATCGCCCAGATCGAAAGTGTAGTGGATGTGGCCATTCACCAGCTCCACGGCCACGAAGTCGCTGCGGCGGCCCCCGTTGAAGACGAGCAGTCCGTTCGGCTCCACCGTCTTGAAGCGGAAGTCAATGGAGATGCTGTTGTAGGCCTTGAGCATGGCCAGTCCCACGTAGGAGTGCTTGGAGCGGAAGGTGGCCGCGTGGTAGGGCTGTCCGGCTGGCGAGTTCACAAAGCGGGCTGTCAGCTTGAAGGTGGCGCTCGGCAGAGCCGACAACTCCGGTCCCAGGCTCTTCACAATGTCCAAATAACTATTGGATAATATGAGAATAGTGTGTGAATCTTCGCTGAAGGAGATGGAGGAGGAGGAGTCTCACCGCTGTCCGTTAAACACAAAGCCCTGCATTTGACCCACGAAATTCGGCATGGTCGAGGTCATTTGGATCTCCTCCTCGGCATGGAAGAGACCGCCCAGATGAATGGAACGTATCTCCATGGTGCTGTGTCGTCCCAGGATCGTTTCGGCTGCACAAAGAATATTTCCAAAAACAAGAAATGGATAAAACTCGGGGGCCTCGCCAGGGGTTGGTCAAGCCAGGCTTGGCTTTGCGCTAAAGTATTAAATTGTTCACTAGGCAGAGTACCATTAAGATATGGATATTGTATATATGGGTATTGGGTAGTAGGTAGTAGGGTATTAGGGTACTGGTAGATATGGATTATAGTTGGTGACAAGAAGCACATACGCATATATAGTCAAAGAGTATATAGTAGAGTATATAAGTAGTATATAGAGTAGATATAGGTATGCGATTTTTAGTAGACATTTATCTAAGTTTTTTTTTTTCAAAAGATTGTTTTTTTTGTTCAAGCATTTTGTAGTCTTCACTCGACAGTGGCTGAATGTATTTGGAATTTGAATTGAGTATTAGTTGATTGATTGATTGGTTTTTTTGGTAGTTGTTATTTTCGATTTTGTTGCAGCTTGGTACATACTAAATAAAGGGTGCAGATTACAATACATATGTACTGGTACGGATAGTAGTTAGTTATAAGTTAGTTATATTGATTAAGACAAAACCAAAGGTAATTCTCGACGCTTCAGCGCAAAACCAAAGGAAAGTAGTACGAGTAGTAGTAGTAGTAGTGGTAGTATTAGTTAAATTAAATTAAAGAGTTCGCTAAAGTTGGTTAGTTATGCAAGTTTTGGTGCGCTTTTTGGATTCATTTTGGTTGGTTTCATTGGCATGGTACGAGTATAAGAGAGATACGAGTATCTTTTTTATTTTTTTTTTCCCTTTTTTTTTTGGAGTGTGTGAGATACATTTTCAATACGAGTACAGTGGCGGTGACATTTCATTTTTTTAAATTTTTGTTTTCATTTTTTTTTTTTTTACTATCATCTGTGCATTGCTCAAAAAGGAAACAAATAAAATAAACGCAAGAAAGGTTTTGCTCTAACGCTAAAGACAATCATTATCGAAATGAATATGGGTGGGGGGATCGAAATAATGATACCAAAAAAGTAAAAGAAAAAGAGTAATTTTTGCGATTGGTTTGAACGACATTGAAACTAAACATCGATTGGTTGGTTGGTTGGTTTCGTTTGGTTTGGTTGTCAATGTATTTTGTATGTACGAGTAATTGGGTTTTATTCCTGTAAATGTGTGTGTTAATCTGTGACCTAAAGAGTGTTCCGAGTATGTGTATGTGTGTGTGTGTGTGCGGCGACTACGTCTAAGTTAATAACGGTGCATTAGCCTTAACGAGCGACCACATTGCGCATACGACGCGCTGGCCCGCTGAATGATTGACATCTTTACATGCAAATGACTGCAGCGACAGAGACAGAGCAGAGACATGGCAATAGCAAGAGAGAAAGAGACAGCTACAGAGCTACAGAGCGAAAGAGAGAGACAGAGAGTTGGGTGGTTGGGTGGGTCAGAGTGAAATAAGAGTGAAGTGGTTGTGAAAGTAGCAGTAGAATTAGGACGCTTGGTACACTCGAATTTGCTGGGGTGATTTGCTGTAGTGATACGAGGCGATGGCGATGGCGGTACGATACGATACGATATACGATATGCAATATACGGTACACGGTATACATAGGTCGTGAGCTGGTCATGCGCTTAACTATTGTTCCTTTACAGTTATTAGTTTTGGCCTGTTATTATTGCTTTTGCGGCTTATCGTTCAGAGGTGAGGTGCGGTGCTCACATGCAAACGCTTCATTTGTGTGTGTGTGTGTGGGTGTGTGTGCCTGTGCTCTAGAGTTCAGTGTGTGTGTTTTTGTGTGCCTGTGCTCTGTGGTGTGCTAGAGGGTGAGAGTGTGAGTGTCGGCAGTGTGTTGGCCGGGAGCGGACTGTGGCAAACAGGACCCTTCAGCATTTGATGCCACTGATTGCCATCGCCCCCCCCACAATAGCCGAATACCGATACGGTATCGATACTCATTCGGAACACACTGGCCCAACGGAAAAACTAATTTGTTACGTGGCACACGATTGCTCGTATTTTTTTTTTTTTTTGGCTTGCAATTGTATTGTTGGACTGATGTTGCGGATAGTTGAGTTGAGTTTACTTAACACAAAGCTAATTACATATTAAGTGGTGCAAATTACGGCCCTGGGCGCTTCTAAACATTGCTTTGCCCTTTCTCGTCTCAATAAGTCCGCCGCCGCCGCCCGATTCCCACTCAATAAAAGTACCGTATAGAATATCGGTCTGTGGGTGTCTCTGCGGTTTTTCAATCGCTTTTCTCCGGGGCATGGTGGCGTGACTTTCATCGAGCGATTCGGGCAAAAAAATGTTTCCCCGCGTTCTTGCGTGTCGATTTTTTTTCTCTCGCCTAAAGTATGAAACGGAAAAAAACAATATTGTACATTGGAATCATTTACGTTGGCTTGGCTTTCTCCCGTCATGTGGCATGGTTCGCTCATGGTTTCGTTTCATTTCATTTTCTTTTCTCTGTGGCAGTGGACTGTATTTTTATTTTTCTGTATTAGTCTCTCTTCATTTTTCAAGAAGGTCGTTTAGATCACGTTTGTGATTAGAAAATTGCATTTGCATTTGCCTTTGCATTTGACATTGTATATTTGTTGTTGGAGTTGGTTTGGTTTCGTTTCGTTTCGCTGAGGTCTAATTACCATAAATGACCGTCTGAAACAAACACTTTTGAACATACCGCACGTGTGTGGTTTATGGTACAGCAATTATTTAAATGCATTTTCATTGTTTAGATTACGATAAAATGCTTGTAAAACTCTTGTCCATACATATATAAATGTATATATATATATATTTACATGAAATTATAATACAAAGTAATTTCAGGAAATTGTTGTAAAAATCAATTATTTAGTTTCAAATTTGAAAGAAACAAAAAAAAAAGGGAAAATAATCATTAGTAAAAGTAAAAATAACCCAATTACCCAATATAAATAAAATTACGTGGGACAAAATCATTTACAAGACAATCAATATAATCGTATTTAAAACTTTAAAACACTGAAGGCTTTTTATTTAAGAGAGGCGCTGAAATGCGACTCCTCTCTGTTCAACGGTTTTTTGGTCTTATTTATTCATCATTGGGAGTAATACTCATAGCTATCGAATTCAAATTCGAATTTGTATTTGAATTTTTTGACTGTGTGGGGAATTTGAATTGTAATTGTAATTGGAATTGGCAATCTTAATTTGGAAATCAAACAAAGTAATTAAGTAATTAAGTATCGCAAATGAAAACACAACATCGAGATGTTTGAAAGAGGTTTGAGAGTAACTTACAAAGAGCAAAAAATATGTAAAATGTAAAAATTACGAATGAGTTAGTAGAATATTTTTCTTTTGGGGCAGGATCATCTTCCTCTTATGTTCGGTTAGTAATTCATAATCTGGTGAATTGAATGGTAGAGTAGTCGGTATGTATGAGGGAAGGACATGAATCAAACAAACTTTCAGAGAGGCGTACAATGTGTGGAATGGTGTATGGTGGTGGTGGTGGTAAATGTGGAACCTGGCTTGGCTTGGTGTCGTACGAGTATGATGTTTCAAAACTATGTATATTGCAGATGCTTAACGATGTTCACAGAGCGATACAGAGCGAGATAGATACAGATATAGATAGATTCAGATAGATAGATAGAGAGAGAGAGAGAGAGCTGTCTAATTCAAATCGGTATTCGAGAAATTCGAGAAAGTGTGTCATGAGAAATGAGTATCGAAGTAGAATGTTTTGATAGAGAAATAAACTTTGCTAAATACGTTTTTTTTCCTTTTTGTTTAATTTAATTTCTTTTGTCGATTTTAAACTGCATTTTTCTTTTGCTGTGTGTTCGGTGTATATGTATATGTGTTTTGTCTGTGTACGTGTGTGTGTAGTAGTAGTAGTTAACTGAAAAGCTCTCAAATGAAAAGTTTTAAGTCGAACATAAAAGTGGATAACGCGCCGCTGACTGCACTTTCGTCGTTTTTTCATTGATTTTTTTTGTCTGCTTTTCTGCTTTTCTGCTTTTGTTTTTCTTGATTTTCTTTTAAGTTTTATCATTTCGACTGTCCTGAAGCACCTTCACACACCTTCCTGGATTCTGGCTGGGGGTGTTGAGTTGAGTGGGAAACTTTGAACTTGAACCTCGATGTTTGTGGTGCGTGGAGCACTCTGAGAACTGGAAACTACTCGGATGGATATGCTTTGCTGAGGCGGAGACAGTCAGGACAGGAGAGTTGGTTTGGTTGGTAAAAAAAACGACACGGCACGACACGTAGTAGGGCAATAGATGTGCTGTTGATACATACATAACATACCCCTGACGGGGGGAGCCCCGTCGACTTGTAGCCGCAGATTCGATGCCCGGCGCGAGAACCGGATGGTGTGCCAATTATTGTCATTGAGCACAGACTGGCCAGCCAGGAGATTCTGCAAGTTATCCATCACAGAGTCAGTGTCAGTGTCGGAGTTGGGCCTCCTCTTGCCCCTTTCACTGGGGGTGGAGTCAGGACTCACCTTCTCCCTATCACTGAGCCGCACGCTGGCACGAATTCTACCCGCCACAAGAGCGATCTCCAGGCGGTCCGGCGAGTTGGACTCCGCGCTGGTTAGCAGCAGCAGACCCGCCGGACGAGACGTCTTAAAGCGTATGACTAGCTCCTCGGTCTGCGTCTTGGTTCCCTGTCCATTGCCCAGCCAGACGGTCATGTGCTGGCTGCCGTTGAAGGCCACGGTGGCCAGCTCCCGGCCGCATGTGGGTCCCCCGTAGAGTGTCGACGAGCAGTCGCAGATGGGGCGGTTCCAGCCCTCAAGACAGGTGCCACCGTTCAGACAGGGATTGGCCGTGCACACATTCCCCTGCACATGGCACGACGGCTTGACGGAGGCTGATCCAAGTGGTGGGACAGTGTTATCAGTGACACTCCATCTGGTGGCAGGCCAAGTCGTGACTACGCGACTACTTACCCGAATCCTGAACGCGTGCAAAGGCGGCTATATCGATTGCCTTGCCACTCAGCACCAGGTCACGCAAGCAGCCCACGAATCCTTGGCGCAGGGTGGCCGTCCAGATGGCCGCCGGCCAGGCCACACTATTGTACGCCGGCCCCACACCACCCAGATACATGTGCCCGTCCAGCTCGAGAATGGTTCCGTCCCCGGGCGTGCGGAAATCGTTCCAGACCCCGTCCACGCTCACCTTGGCATCGCGTCCGTTCCGGCGTAGAATCAGGTCGTGCCAGTCCCCATCGTCCACGCGGCGACGCGAGGCTCTGATCTTGGAGGCGCCCGAGCCGAGGTCCAGGTGGATGTAGATGTGTCCGTTGAGCAGCTCAATGGCAATCAGCACGGGCTAGTGGGCAGGGCAGGTAGAGGGGTCAACTCAAATGCAACTCAAAACTCAAAATGGAATGCCCCAGAAATTAACTTACGTTCTTGGCGCGCGGCTGCTTGGAGCCGGTGGCCAGGACAATGATGCCATTGGGCTCCTTGGTGCGGAACTTGAAGCTGATGGAGCTCTGCTTGCCAGTCTCCCAAGGCGGCAGCACCTGAAGCATGCATCAGGATGTGGCCCAAGGATAAAAGGGGAACTCCTGGGAAAGATGATTTTGCACTTACCAAATGCGATTCACGGGTCGTAAAGGTCACAGGATCCTGGGGATCGCCACTGGGACACTGATACTCCAGATTGCCAGCCACCTGGATCAGCTTGGAGCCGCTCTTGGCCAGATCAATCAGGTTGAGATTGAGCGTGTCCGCCGAGAACTCCACCTTGCGCAGGCAGCCCACAAAGTTGTTGTGCACACGGGCGCCCAGCAGGGCTCTCGGATTGACGGCTCCCCCCACATAGACGCGCGAGGAGGACAGCATCGTAAACTTGCCAGCGATGTGGGAGTGATCCGTGTAGACATCGTCCACGACAGTAACCAGCTGCATGACAAAGGGGATTCCCATTATGGATAGAGAGGCACTGGCACAGAGACACTCCCTGCACACACTGCTCGAATACGCACCCGACAGAAGCTGGTTATGGACGAGATCTCCTGTATGCGACGATGAACGGTAACCTTGTGCCACTGGTGGTCATCGAAGCGCACCTTCGACGGCTTAATGTGCATCTCCTGCTTGCCATTGGCCAGGCCCATGGTCAGGGAGACGCCGCCATCGCGCAGTGCCAAATTCAGATAGTCGGTGCCGTGTCCCGTGTAGAAGAGCAGGCCGTTCGGCTGGCGTGTGCGAAAGTAAAAGGATATGGCATCCTGGGCACTCACAATGGGCTCGGCGCCCGTCTGGCCCAAGTCGTACGAGAGGAACTGTGTACCGCGGAACGTTGCTTCCGATGGCGCCTTCTCCTTCTCACAATACTGGCCATCGTACTCGAGGTTTCGGCACTCGCAAATTGGACCGGAATCAGTGGATATGCAGATGCCGCCATGCTGGCAGGGATCGTTCCGTTCGCAGGCATCCGTTGTGTTGCCGCGAACACCCTAATCGCACATGGAGTAGAAGGACAACTTAAATATAGGCACTAGAAATTCCTTACTCTTGGCATAATATAGAATTAATGACTACAAAGTTGTATTAATTTCCCCTACAAGAAATGGTTCATCGCACACCCAATAGATTTTGATAGACTCACCCTGAGAGGCCTCTCCCGTGCAGGCAGCTCGCCATGATCACAGGGCACATCGCCGCACTTGATGTCACGCGGCTGCTTGATCTCTTGGCGCCTGGTGGAGCCTCCAGGCTGATCGGCATAGACCAGGTTGCGGATGGCGCCGCGGAAACGCGGCTCGAATATTACGCTGGGCAGTGCCAGCAGCGCCAGCTTGCTGCTGTACCAGTTGGGCATGCCACCCACATAGACGTCGGAGTTGCTGGCAAACTTTCCGAACTGGAACTCCTTGCCCTTGGTGGAGCGCTGCTGCGACACGCCGTCGACAATCAGCGAGGTCTGGTCATCGTTGCGCAGCACCTGGACCTTGTGCCAGTGCCCGTCGTGGAGCTCGCGGCCCACGGTGATGATCTGGGCACCGCCGCCAAGGTTGTAGCGCAGGCGGAGCGCTCCCTCGACAAGTTTCAGCTCGAAGAAGTCATAGGTGCCGCCATCATCGGTGTAGAGGACCAGGCCATTGGGCTGCTCCGTCTTGAACTCCAACTCGAGGGTGCCGTTCAGGCCGGTGTACCACTTCCTGAAGGTGTAGAACGAGCTCTGCGAGCCGTCCAGCTGGAAGCCAGCGCTGATGGTCACAAAGCTGGCCGCTAGGCTCACCAGCAAGGCGGTGACAATCAGCACGCGGTAGGAGCGTCGGTACTCCACGACCAGCGGGGCACAATGAGTCGGCAGGCTGCGCTCTGGTAGGAGGTCTCTTCGGCGGCGACGTGCCTTGTTAAACAGCAAGTCAGCACTGGGGGAGGAGGAGCTGTTTGCGGCTGGCGCCTCCAGCCGCGGACTGTGCAGCAGCTCAGCAGTTTGATGCTGATCCTTTGTCCATGTCCATGTGCCTGGCTGTCATTGGAGCGCGTGCATATTGCAGATGGGACTGGGGCTGGGGCTGGGACTGGGACTGGGGCTGATATGTTGCACTTGGCGCCTTCATTCACACGCACACGCACACTGGTGCACACGTTCGAGTTGATATACGCACGTTGCGCGCGTAAAACGTAAAATGTCGCCTTGTGCGTATTCGTATTCCAGTCCTTGAGCGGGAGCTTTTGCGCGCGTCCTTGTATTGGTGTCGTGTCCACAATATATTACTACACTCTGGAATTTTATCCGCGCTTCTTCCAACTTTCATTGAGAGAGGAGAGAGTGAAAGCTTGGCCGTGGAGCGAGATTGGCTGCGGCTGTTATTGCTCTGTTTCTGTCACTGTTACTACTCTGGCCACTGTTCTGCCACTGTTAGCACGGGAATTATTTGTTAATTTCGACTGATTTTGTGATGCTTATTGCGGAACTCTTTGAGTTTTTGGCATTTTGTACACTTGATTTGCATAATGTTTGGCAAATTGATTCCTAACGCGCACATTTCGCCGCCGTTGGCCGTTTTTGTATCGTGTCACAGAACCGTTAGCAGCAGCAGCCCGATGCCTGACCGCGAATGGGGCTGATGGGGGTGGTTGTGGCTGCGGCTGTGGGGTTGATGGTGGTGCTGGTGGTGGGGCCGAAAGCTCGCCGGATACCCCTGCCCTCCGATGCTGCTGGGGCGCCCACGAGCGTGTCAACGTACATGTACATACTAAAAATCGGAAAAAATTTTCACTGCATGTCGAGAGTATTGTTGGCGAAAATTTTTCCGTGTGCCACCACAACGAGCCTCTTTTTCACTGACGACCAGCTCTCAATAAAACACAGGCACACAGCAATTAATAATTTATAAGTATTGATTGGGACTATTGATTTGATTTGCGGGGGCTACGGATTTTCGAGTCACTCTGATTTTATCTTACACAATTTTGCCGTGGTGTTTCAGTCGTTTAACGCACTTTTGCCACCAGTTTATTCCTTTTTAGATTTACGTAACTCCCTTTTGTATTCTCGATGTGATGGATACGCGTTTCCGTTTGAATTTTCTGCAGATTTTTTTGGTTCAACTGTGGGGTACAAAAATTTTGTGTGTCGAAATTTGTTCCGCAGCGCCTTCCGCTGCTCTTGGTTTTGATATCGATCCGCACTGCATCCACGACAAGACTGAACTGCAATTTCAAACTTAATTTCTTCGCACTGTTTCCAATGGATAACGAAAGCTCCGCCAGCTTATTCACAAAAAGCCTTGGGTTCGGTCTCGGCGACTCACTTTTGGCGGTTCAGTGCACCTCAAAATGTGAAGTTATGTCAACTTTTTGTTTTATTTTAACACAAAATTGTTGAAGTTTCCCATTTCCGGTGGGGTTTTATGTTTATTTCGCTATGTAGTGGCTATACGCTGGTGGGCCCCAAAAAGTGTGCTAAGAAAAGGACCTCATGGCTGGAGTGTAGCGCATGGGAATGCCAAAAATTAAAAGCTCGCTTACTTCGCACGAGGCATGCATATGCGTACTACTAACACACAAACATCCACAGGCACAGTCACACGCACACAGTCACACAGATACACACATACGGCCCACTCACACATGCGTAATACGCAGGTTCATAACCTGCACCACTCAAAGCGTATTAGAAGGGACACGACACGGACACATACATAGATACACAGAGCCCTCTCTGCCTGTGTTGGTTCATATGCATGTATGTATGTATGTATGTATGTATGTATGTATGTATATATGTATGTAGATACATATGTAATGTGCATGTTTAACCCCCACACACAAGACACCCACACACGAAGACGACCCGTGTAAATGCCTTGACATTTACTACGCAACTTCGACAACTCGGTGTCAAATTCGATTTGCATTTGCCATGAAAATTGTAGCGCGTCCTGTCTCGTCCTTTGTCTGTGTGGGCGGCAGTAATGGTTCCCTCCATCCCTCCCACGTGTGTGCAATTGCAAGGCCAACACTACCATAAATCCACGTCACTCGAGAGTATTAACTTGGGGGACACCAGATACCGACACGCACTCGCACTCCCATGCATTTAGTTTTTAATAATTTTGTCAAAAATGCTCCAGAACGACCAGGAGGAGAGCAGAGCTGCGAATGCCAACACGTGCTGTCCATTGGTCCTTCGCTGCGCTGCTGTGACGTTCGAAATGAAACGTACTCCGGCAGAATGGGAAAAGTAGAGGAAATGGAAAGCTTTTGACTTGCGCGCCAACATAGAGTTGCCACGCTCTCGCACAGTTCTGCTCCCAGCTGTTTCCAGCGATCGATTGGCAGTTATCGGACAGTTGTTGTGCGCACTTCCAGCTGGCTCTTATCAAACATTACAAATCAAAAATCAAATACAACGTCCCTCCAGCTCTCCACCGGACCGGCTAAGGATTTGCACAAGCAAAGCAAACCAAATCTCAATACGTTGGAGTGCACTCCAAACAAACGAAACGACTAGTTTGTTGCCATACTGGAGAGTCACGTCCGCTGCCCGTTGCATAATGCTGAGCCGACTAGGCCGTGTGGCCCCCCGCCTCTCTCGTGCCATACACACGGAGCGCAAAGTGACGGTCCAAGGCATTGATTTGCATATCGTGGAGTGTGGCAGCGGTCCCCGGAGTCTGCTGCTGATGCCCGGTGCCCTGGGATCGGCCTGGACAGACTTTAAGCCCCAGATCGAGCAGCTGCCAAAGCTTATGCCGGAGCACACAATCATCGCCTGGGATCCACCCGGCTACGGTAAGTCTGTGCCGCCCCAGCGCAGATTCGGATTGGAATTCTTTCGGGAGGATGCCCAGGCCGCCGTGGACCTGATGCGGGCCCTGGACAGACCAAAGTTCTCCATACTCGGGTGGAGTGATGGCGGCATCACAGCGCTGATTGTGGCCGGTCGTCATGCAGAGGCCGTCGAGAGGCTTGCCATTTGGGGCGCTGGCGCCTACTTGAACGAGGAGGAAGTGAAGTCTCTCCGCAACATCCGGGACGTGGCCAAGTGGTCGCCACGCATGCGGGAGCCCATGGAGCAGGTGTATGGCGTGGAGCGTTTCGCTCAACTGTGGGGCGAGTGGGTGGATGCCGCCTGTTCGTTTTACGATCAAAGAGACGGGGACTTCTGTCGCTCCGAAGTGGAGCAGGTGAAGGCGCCCACATTCATATTACACGGCAAGAAGGATCCCATGATTGCGGCGGAGCATGTGCCGTGGTTAAAGGAGCGTCTGCCTCAGGCGCAATATCATGAGTTCCCCGAGGGCAAACACAACATCCATCTGCGCTACGCGGACGAATTTAATAAACTTGTGGCGGAGTTCTTTAACAACAAGTCTTGAGAGTACCAAAAAAAGAAAAACATTTAAATTGAAATCGAATGCTCGAATGTTCCATGAATCATGGGGGCAAAGGCAAAAAAAAACCAAATAATTGATAAATATTTCGTATCTATTAACTAATAAACAAGGTATCAGGAAAAGGAAAGCATTGATCCAGTTGTGTGCTTGAATAGTGGACTTTGAGACCCAGATGATGTTCGTATGTCCCTTAACCCAGCTTGAGTGGTGACAAAGAGAAGCCACGGTCTGTTAAACTGATAATTTTGAATGATTTGGACTCCCACCCTTCGACGGGCAAAAATATGGCAAGGTAAGCGATTACGTTTTACATTAAATACGCGGTACAATATTTATTATTTCACAGAATGCTGGACAGTCGGTGCTTAGATTACTTGACCTGGTCAATGAGGGTTTGCACGTAGGCATCGTACTGGGCCTGGAAGAAGTTACCGGCAACGGGAGCACCAAAGTTGTACTTGGTGATGTAGTCGCGAACCTTGACACTGACACGACCTTCGCGAGTCCTGCATGAAGCATGGAAGGGGAAGAAGATAATCAAATTAAGGCGCCAGGGAGGACTAGAAGACTGTACTTACGTCTTGTTGATGAATTTATCGGAGGCGATCTTCTCGTTCTGCTTGAACACGAAGAACACGTAGCGGTGCAGGCCGGATCCCTCGCGGGGACCAGCGCCAATGTACTCGGCGATAACCTGGCCCTGGGAGACCTTGTTGCCGGGAATGTTGATCACGGCCCAGTGAAGGATTTCGCGGAACTTGGGATCCTCGCGACTTGGTGCATCGGGATCGACCAAGAGCAGGGTGTACAGAGAGCCCTCATCGGCGTCATAGACAACGGTGGGCTCATCCTTCACCTGTGTGGGAGTCAGCTCATTGCCCACCTGCACCTGAGCCCCGGAGGGATAGGTGATGGTGGCCCTTGCCTTGGGCTTGACGTCGATGATGTCTGGAATAATACCGGCGGTGTCCATGTTAGCTGATTGCTTGTGTTCGGTCTGGCGTTAAGACAGTGACTCTGGCCCACTTCCCCAGCTGTGCGCCTTTTATCGGCCCGATTCCCAATAACCTGTAATCAGTTGCGTGCACTTTTCGCCTAATGCCCACCCATAGATAGCTTCACGTAGCGATAGCCCGATAAGCGATTGGGTGGGTAGACTTTATTCAGCCGGCGCAGGGAATATACGAACAGAGCATGAGATTGGAAAAACAAAAATATCTAGCCGGTGAACTGCTTATTGCGAATGGGCACATAGTCATCGTACTTTGCTTGGTAATAGTTGGCTGCAATCGGACTGCCCAATCGGTTCTTGGCTGCAAAATCCCTGGCGCTAAAGTTCAGGCGTCCCTTGCGAATGCTGGAAAAATGGAGAGAAAGATTTAAACTGATTTCTCTTGATCTACGATCGATCTCTTACGTTTTTATTATGGGCAATGTCTCCTCGATCTTTCGGCTTTGACGGTAGAGCAGGAATACGTATCGGTGCAGTCCAGTGTTCAGCGGCGGACCCGAGCCCACATATTCCGCCAGAATGTAACCAGCGCGTGGGTCGTCTCCTGGAATATTGACCACAGCCCAGTGCAAGATCTCACGGAATTCAGGATCCTCCCGACTAGGAGCATCTGGATCCACCATGAGCAGGGTAAGCAGGGTCTCGCTTCCCTCCCCCTCGGGGCTTACCCAGGTCACACGCGGCTCATCCTTCACCTGAGTGGGCGTCAACTCGTTGCCCTGCTCTACGAAGAGATTCCCCGGATACAGCACCTGCAGCATGCCCTTGGGCACACTATCCACAACATCGGGAACTATGTCCTCCATTGGTCGGTCTTACGTGTCCGTGCAACCCGCTAACGAAATCACAGCAATGACGCTACCTGTTTTGCGTCTTATCGCTGATGGCCAAGCCGGCTGGGGGCGATAAGTAAAAAAAAAGCTTCCCTCGAGCTATCGCTGGGGAGGAGAGCGAGCCGGAAGCCGTTGACTAATTTAAAAATTTCCAGTCCAATTAATTAATATCTAGATGTTGAAAAACTGTCAAGGTTCCTCCTCGGGGGGATGGGCTGGCAACAGCTGGCAACTTATAGTTTAACCAAAATGAACTTTGTTCGTCGAATTGGATTGATTGGGGCACTTCCAAAACTGATTTGATTTCATTTCAATGGGAAATTATGCAAAAGCCTCTGACAACGATAACAAAGCTTTCCAGTCAAATGTTTCTTTTCGGCATTTTTTAGTGACTTTTTATCATGAACTAGACTGTGCCATAAACAACTTTAAAGCTTGTCGCTACACTAAAATGAGTCATTACACAAAAAACATTCGTGGGCTGTATAAATATGTATGCACAATAACTGAAGAGGGAACTCTGCTCTTTGTATCTTTCAATTAAGGGAAGCATTTGAGCCGCGAAGTAGTGGCTACTTTGCATAAACGATGCTCGTACATTCAACTTTTTTGTTGGGTTGTACATTCACTTCTTTCCATCTTTGATGTCTCTCTTTATATTCGTGTGTAATTAGCATGTTCCTTCAACAACAAATAATCTCTAAAATGCTCCTATTATTATTGTATTAGACAGCATTGTGGACAATCTATCACTCGTCTAATTGATGGGAATTTCAGGAGGCCCTATCTAAACGACAGGGCTACGTTCCAGCCTCAAATGAAGCCAGACCTTACATTCTTTATCCATACCCAATGTTCCAAAGTGGAAATACAATTAGTGGTTGATTAGATACTAGAGATATAGGTCAGGTTTCATAGTACAAAGTGACCAACAAATGATGAATGGGGTCATTTGGTATTCTAAGAATATTAGCATATTATATATTTGTTATATGTATGTATATATCATGCTATTTATTAAACAATTCGAATATTATTAACACTTGAATATCATTATTTATAGCGCTGACAGAGAGATAGAGAGTTGGTCTACTAAATACATTTAGTTGCATCGTTCGCCTTTGTTCTTTGCACAATGAAAAATGTATACATATATAATATCTGTATGTATATATATATATGTATATATGTATAATACGGTTAATACAAATAATAATCAATAGTTGTGAAAACGTGAGCGTGAGATTTGAGAAGCGCCCCGCCGCGCATATAAAACAACAATAGTTTACAATTAAATAGTAATGGTAAATAATAGTAGGTAATGGTATGTGTATAGGGAGCACAGCACAGCACGCCCCGCCCGCATAGCCAGCGCGCCTGCGGAGCGGAGGCTGTGGCGGCAGTATACAAATTACGATTTACGATATATGTATCTATGTATGGTGGTGGCGGGATCCATCCACTACTTGGAGGCCCGCCGTCTTGCTGGAACTAATTTTGGAATACATTAACTGCTTGTTCAATTTGATTGAGGAAATACCAATAAGGGGCGATTATACGCTTTCCTTTCCTTTCCCTTCATTTCAATTTAACTGTGACACTCTTGCTGCAGGATTGGTTGATTGTCTAGCATCTGGTCTCGTAGAGGCCGCTGCGCCCGATGTAGCGCACCCATTTGACCACGTCGTGATCGGAGTAGTTCAGCTTTGGCTCGAACACCTTCAGATAGCGAACCTTGAAGCCGGATGGGGCGAAGGGCACTTCGAAATTCATGGAAATCGGTGGTCGTGTCCATTTCTTCTTGGTGTCGGTTTCAAGCAGTTCTATTTCGGCCGACAGCTGAGTCTCCTTCATGCCCGCCATGCGCTTGATCTTCCACACAATGGCGTTCTCGGAGGCCTTGTACTTGGCCTTGCCCTTGAGGCAGATCAATTGCACACCCGAGGTATTCAGAGGCGTGGGTATTTTCACCTCAATCTTCTGGCCCAGCAGCGAGGGCTTGAAGTTGGACTTGAGCACCACCTTCACCTCCATCTTGGTGCGCCCCACCTCGCGCACCAGCGGAATAACACGGAATGGCAACGAAATGTCTTTGGTGGTGCGATACCGCATCAGCTCGAATTCACCGTCCGGCGGGATAAAGCTGATCGAGTGTTCCGTCTCGAACTTGCTCAGCTTGACGCACTGATGGAATTGACAATCGTCAATGACGACCACCGGCTTGCCGGAACGTGATGTTTCCGCCTCGGTGTTGCCCGAGAGGCCTCGTCCCTTCGACTCCATTACGATTTTGTCGTTGATGCCAAACTTGCACTCGGGCATGCCTAAAGAGAAGGATTATCACGACAATGAGACCTGACCTCCATTACTGGTTTTCAAATCCTTACCCGACAAATAAGACTTCATCACTACCTTGCCGGCCACATGAGCCGACAGTACCTGGCCCTGGGGGCTCATCAACAGATTGACATACTCAAGCACATCCAGGAATAGTTCGTTGCGTCGGTATTTGATGCCCTCGCGGCGCCAGCCAATCTGTCCAGTCACCTGGGAGGTGATCTGCATCTGCTCCTCCTTTGTGGCCGACTTGATGCCCTGCTGCGTTATGAATGTCTTCAGAGTGCCCGAGTCCGTATTCTGGGGATAGCCAAAGTCCAGAATCTCGTCCAGCAGCTCGTAGATGAGCACAAAGTTGTTCTTGATGTTCTCCTCGGAGATCTTGCCAAAGTACGATTGCATCACCTCGATGATCTTCAGCAAGAACTCGAACACCATCGCAGCGTTGACATTTTGTTTGGTGACCGCCGCCAGCCAAATGTTGGCACGCTGCAAGATTCATGTGGATGATTAATCGAATAGTTATAGTGCATCCGGTGGACGTGGCATGGGCATACCTTGATGTGGAAGAAGCTCGTCCTCGCAATGTTGGTCACCGGCGATCGCACCTGCTGGCGGGCATGGATGACGTTGACCCTAAAGGCGTCCACGGCGTTGCGTCCGATGTCATCGCGATAAACTCGCGAGATTAGAACCTCGCCCTTGTGGTTGTACACGAACAAACCACCAATCATTTTGTGCGCTGTGGGCTGCTGTGAAGTCTGGCCAGAGAACCTGTATGCTAAGTTTGCCCCAAAGGATTCAGGAGATCCAAGCGAAAAGCGAAAATTTTTATCAGAAAATCAATTTCACTCCCCTTTTCAGTGTGACCGCGGATGTGTCGATAAAATATACCGCCTGACCCACAGAAATATACCCAAATATACCATGCCACTATCAAAATATACTGACGGGTTCAAACAAAAACGGCCAAAGCATAAAACGTAAATGTTGACTAAATGTGACGTCATTGTTGCTGGTCAACCAAGTTTCTTCTATGCGTATGTACTTGTGTATACTGTATTTCCTTTAATTGATGTTAAATTTGTTGTTCCAAGCTGCTTTAAGACATTAATAATGATTTGATCCTAGATTGACATATTTTTTACCTTTTAATGCATATGTTTTGTGTTTTATGAATACAAAACAATATCCCGGTTCTGATACCTGTTATTGGTTCCCGCGAGCTGCAAAATTTCGTTAATATCTCTAAAACAGAGACTGAGTAGTTTCTGCATTAATTGGAGCATGATATTACAAAAATTATTATTCTAAATTCTAGTAACAATACTCTTAAGAGTCTTGATTTGGGCGATCTTGTTTTGTATGTTTAAATTACTTACCGACTCCAAACTTTCGCGACTTGCTGAAGGGCACTAAAAATATAATGGAGCACTCGGCTTACGGCTGACTCTTCCCTGAAAATAATAATACAAATTTAAATATATTTATCTTGTCAAAATTAAATATGGTTCTCAGTATTGAAAACCTGTTGGCAGTTTTGTTAAAACGGCCAAAATAGAATGGAAAGAAAAGAAAAGAAACATAGAAAATTGGGTATGCTTGCTCTGATTTAGTGGATGTTTCCGAGGAAATTACATGGCAAAACTGAGTAAATCATATGAGTAGAAAAGGATTTTGAAAAACAGTGCAAGCCGAAAGAAGAATGTTTACATTATGGAGCTATTTCAGGCTCGGGTTTTGATTTCAAGCAGAGGGTGAGAAAACGTTGAATAGTCTTGACCACGGGCACACACATATCTGGATGCTCGCACATCTTGATTAGCCGACTCTTGATTATGTCTAAGTCCTCGAAATGAACAAACAGAAAGTCTTCCAGTCTGCCCAGCATCCATTTGGAACCAATAATCATTGTCCAGATTGTGGACGGACGTCTTATTTTCTTCGAATGAAACATTCAGTACCTTGATAATGCGCTGAACAGCGTCCACCATGAGATTCTTGAGTGCTTTGCTTTGCTCAATTTCGTCGTCTACAATGATCATACCTCGTTCGGGATTCTTGATGTGGCGCAGAACCGCGTAAAGCAGCTCCCATAAATACATTTTGGTTAGGTCCTTTTTTAGCCTCGGCGTAAAGATCCAGGACACTATGTACATGGCATTAACGATATTCATTCTCAGCAGCTTCTCGGCCACCACGTACTGGAACTGTTCATTGGCGACCCACACGTCGAACAGTCCGGCCATGATGGCGTGGCTGTCCGTCTCGCTCGAGGCTAAAGCCTGAAATATTACAAAATTTAGTGCCATTATTGAATCGAATCGAAAACAAAACCTTACCGAGAGCGTTGTTTTTATGGATTGGAGGGCGGCAAATGTGTGAGTGAATGATGCGCAGCCCATTCGGAGGACACACGTGGTCAACACGTGGATCTTAAGCTGCTTGTCCAGGTCGCTGCGTGCCATTATTCCCTCTATGATCTCCGGTTTTTTGCGCCTCAGTTGCATCTCCTTATTTATTTCGTGGGCCAGCTGGGCGCCGGGCATCGCGCCATCGGAATACGGGAAGTGAGCTTCCGGTACTGGCGGCATGTACTTATGGAGCGAGACCGGCACGATCTGGCGAATACCTTCGTAAAAGTTCAATCTGTTGTGGGAGGTGACATTGAATAGGGCTCACACACTATAGGTAGAAAAGGGTGAAGGATCTGCACATACCGAACGCATTTCTTGAGCAGCTCCCGCATGAAAATCGCACGGGGGTTGAGCTCACAATCGATACTAGACTCCAAGAAGAAAGACTCCCAGTGTCGCCAGCCAGCGGCGAAGCGAAAGTTACTCATGTAGTGGGACAGCCAGTTGATCAGCCGATTGAAGCAGGCCACACGCAAAGAGCTCATCTTCGTGATGATAACCAATGTGGCCTCGGCGATCACCTTGTGCATAAGGTCGGGACGGCGCTTGCACATCTCCACCAGGATGCTGCCGTAGCTCAAGGTGATCAGCGGCGACTTTGGCAGCGCCAGCATCTGTCCGAGGATGACCTCCACGATGCAGTGAGCGACGAAATCGGAATTGGAATTTCGTTCCATGAAATTCACTAGACTGTCGGCGCAGACCTTCCGATCCAAATAGGTTTGCTCGAAAAGCTCAAGTATCTCGCACTCGAGAAAGTAGCGTTCAGTGCCAGTGGACAGCTCAATGTCCAGCTGATCGAAGTCGAAAATGCGGAAGACCACCCAGGGACGCGGGTACGCGAGCACCAGATTAATCTCCGGCATTTCCATATCCGGCAGATCGTGCTGCAGGGAAGTACTCAGTCTTGTTTCGTAGTGCATGGATGGACGCATTCTGCCATGCTTCAGCCAGTTGTTTTGACGTAATTGAACGATCTGCCTCCAGTATGTGTCCAGGTAGTCCTCCTGGTGGTCAGTGCCTTCGAATATGCTGAGCAGGGCGCCATGTGAGTGGGTGCGCTTCCGCATATAGATATGCAGTGTGGTGATCAGATGATCAAAGGATTGACCCCTCAGCTGTAGATCGCGCCCGATCAGAGGCAATGCAGTGATCACACTGTACGCAAAGAAATCGCTACGAAGCTGCGGAACAATGCCGTCCATTTCGTCTGACACACAATGCAGGGCGAAGGTCAGGTACAGACGTAATATCGAGGAGCCGTTGATGACGTTGCAGTTGTATAGTTCGGTGAAGAAGTGCAGCAGGCCGCGCGCATTCTCCCACTTGCCATGGACGAGTGCTTTCCGGAGGGATTGCAACAAGGCGCCGAGAAACTCGGCAATGATTGGGTAAAAGCCGATGTTGAGGAGTCCCACAATGGTGGCGTAGGAGCCTGTGGCGTGGCTGGGGGGCCGGTTTACACAGCTTTTGAGAATACTGAGCACCTGCTCCTTGTGGTCGGGCAGGCATTTGCTGATCAACAATTCCAGTTGCGGGATGCGCAGCAAGACGCCGACGATATTGAATCTGCCTAATTTGGCCATCAACATGTTAATAGATTCAATACGATCTTCGGTGACATGGCTCTGCCTGCGACGCTTGCAGGGGACAGAGTCCACCGACTCACGGCGCTGACGTTTGCGAAAACGATCGCCCATTCTGAAATTAAAGTCTAATTTTCTCTTTTAGCTTGATGCGCTTTTCTCGGCCAATATTTCTTCCTACTGGCAGAATCTATGCGTCAACTTATCCAATCAAGTAAAATTAATTCGTACTTACGTTTCGGATTCCTTTGAACTAAGAACTATTTCACTTTGCACAAAAAATGCTCACTGGTTAATAATTTCCTGTTTTGCTGACAATAATGTGCACTATTAACGAACGAAATCAAAATTCAGTTTAATATATTTCACGAAAAAGCCGGCAATTTTTTTTTCTTAATATTTTTCAGATTTGCTGCCCGATGTTCACCAGTCAAGCAGAGATTAAAAAGTGAAAAATTGAGTTTCTCACAAGCCTTTTCTACTCTGGAGATGTCAAACAAAATGTTTTTCCTGTCCGTCCCTAGCATTGGTAGCACTGTCATGCATTCCCATCGTCATTATTCAACATTTCCTTTTTGTATTTATTGGCGCTTTCGGTGATCCGATTATCGCACAAAAATATCGATATATAAATTATGCAACTAGTCTGCGAAACGAAGGCTAACGTATATCTGAGAGTGTCTAAATATATCTTAATTTAATAGTAAATTGATCAAAAGAAAAATATCATGATATGCTCCGAATTATGAAAAGTAGTTAGGTTAATATATTACAGAAATATATTAACAAAAAAACCTATTATAAAAACAATATATATCGATATACTTATAAATCAAAGTGTCATCTCTGTACATGACTCTGCTGCTTTGAAAAAAAAACACAAAAATTGAATTTTCGTGCGATAAAATAATATAGTTTTTGTGTGAAACGCAACGAAAGGTAATAAATAAACACAATGCCTGCTGAAAACCTCGAAGAGCAGGGTTTGGAGAAGAACCCAAACCTGGAGCTGACCCAGACAAAGTTTTTGCTGACTTTGGCCGAGTACAAACAAGATGTGGCTCTGAAGGCGAAACTTTTGGACGCCATACGGGCCGATAATATGGCTCCATGGTACGAACATATCTGCACGGAGCTCGGCTGGACAGCGGACAAGGATCTGCTGGCGCGCATGAAGGAGAACAACCGCGTGGAGATCGAGCAACTGGATGCGTCCATCGAGGATGCCGACAAGAATCTGGGCGAAATGGAGGTTCGCGAGGCGAACCTGAAGAAGTCTGAGTATTTGTGCCGCATCGGTGACAAAGCCGCTGCCGAGACAGCGTTCCGCAAGACATACGAGAAGACCGTCTCCCTGGGCCATCGCCTGGACATTGTGTTCCACCTCATCCGCTTGGGACTGTTCTATTTGGATCACGACCTAATCACACGCAACATCGACAAGGCAAAATACCTGATTGAGGAAGGCGGCGACTGGGATCGCCGCAATCGTCTGAAGGTGTACCAGGGTGTATATTCCGTTGCCGTGCGCGACTTCAAGGCGGCGGCCACATTCTTCCTGGACACCGTGAGCACCTTCACCTCGTACGAGCTGATGGACTACCCCACATTTGTGCGCTACACCGTGTACGTTTCCATGATAGCCCTGCCGCGCAACGAGCTGCGCGACAAAGTCATCAAGGGCTCGGAGATTCAGGAGGTTCTGCACGGCCTGCCCGATGTCAAGCAGTTCCTCTTCTCGCTGTACAACTGTCAGTATGAGAGTTTCTACGTACATTTGGCTGTGGTCGAGAAGCAGCTGCGTTCCGACTACCTCATCCACCCCCACTACCGCTACTACGTGCGCGAGATGCGCATCCTTGGGTACACCCAACTGCTGGAGTCCTATCGCTCCCTTACGCTGCAGTACATGGCCGAGTCTTTTGGAGTCACTGTGGACTACATCGACCAGGAGCTGGCACGCTTCATCGCCGCTGGTAGGCTGCATGCCAAGGTGGATCGCGTGGGCGGCATTGTGGAGACGAATCGTCCGGACAACAAGAATTGGCAGTACCAAGCCACCATCAAGCAGGGCGATCTGCTGCTCAATCGCATCCAGAAGCTGAGTCGCGTGATAAATATTTAATTAGGATGTAGAGCCGTCGATGTTTATATAAAAAAGTTTTATTAAAATTCAACATTTATTACAGTGTAAAACTAACGTAACGTACAATAAAAACGATAAAAAATTCATGTATACGCGCGCGCGCGCGTTTGCTGGAAATTCACTAATAAATTGTACGTTTACATATGTATTTAATTATTTATCTAAATTCTTTGGAATTGGTTTGGTTATGTTGTCTTTTAGTGTATTGTATTTGAGTATTATTGCAATCATTCCATTTTTGTACTTAACTGTCCTCGTTCTAAATTTAAGACTAACCCGCCAAAGCGGCGCTGCGGAAATGAAACTGTTTAATGCACATCGCCGTCGTTCTTCTCCTTCCACGTCTCGTCCTTGGTCATGTCATTGATATTGTGACCGCTGGATTCGTGTCCTGGAAAGGCAATGGAGGGCTTGTTGGCCATGAAGCTGCGTGCCATCTCCTCGAGCGTCGCCGAACTGCGCAGCCCACAGTCCAACGGTTCGTCCATGTCATGTTTCATGGCCTCGTGCGCCCGCTGCTGCTGCTGCTGCTGCTGTTGCTGACTGGCCTCCGCCGATGCCTTGGCCAGATCGTGCAGATTCTGCACAACCTCATCTATGGGCGATCCCTGGGACAGGCCGCCCGGCACCATGGGCAGAGCCCCCAATCCGGCCAGATTGTGCCGCCGCAGATCGGCGAATCGGTTCGTACTCAAGTTGATCAGCGCATTCATCATGACCTTGTTGCGCTGGTAGTCCTTGCGCAGGTGCTGTCTGATCTCCGTGTGGCAGTGCTCGTTGTTCGTCACAATAATCTCGCCCGTGTCCGTGGTGGTCACCCGGGCCTTGCAGTTGAACTTGCGCGACAGATTGCACTGCCAGTACTTCTTGTCCTTGCGCACGTACTGGATGCCGAAGGTGTGGCCGTCGTGCACCAGCAGCGGCTTGCCCCGCTGGCTCAGCATGAACTCCAGTTTGCCCTGGAACCAGTGCTCGCCGGGTGCGACTATAATACAGGACAAGATTGCAGTTGAGGAGAGGCTGCTTGCTGTTGTGTGGATTCAGTGTGTTTGTGGTGTGTGTGTGTTTGTGTGTGTATGTATGGGTGGTTGGTTGGTTGGCCTATGGATTGTTTCTTTACTTTCATTGAGGTTATGTTTTTGGGATGCCAGGACGTACACGAATGAGCCCAATTATTGTAAGAGTAAGAGTGTGTGTTGTACGTTGTACGTGTTGGTGTACGTGTCATGCAGATCAGACTTACCTGACGGATCGGATGGTTAGTGGAGATCATACCCCTTAGCATATACCCAGCAACATACATACAAAATATACGCCCAGCGGCGTGGAACAAGTCCAAGATTAATGCACCCAGCATGGAGGGTTAATCTGGAACTCATTCCACAGCGCCCTCTGCTGCATGAATGCTATTAGTTTATCATTTTGCATTAGTTTATCAAACAGATAGATATTCACATCGATCAGTATGTACACGTGGGGGGAGGGGACTCGAATCAAATTCAATTTCTACTACAGACACTAGCTACACGTGGCTTCAGCCGCAATAAATTACTCCTCCTTAAGGCCTAGCCCCCCAGAGCCCAGCGCAAGGCCTGCATGCCCTTACATGTTCTCCATCTTGAAGCTGTGCCTGCTGCTGGGGGATATCGTAATGGAGTTGATGACATGCGCCGTACCCGGGGCGGCACTCTCCGCCGACCCGTCGGCACTCGAGCTGATGTCCACTCGCTGCTGCTGTTGTTGCTGCTGCTGTTGCTCCTCTACGGGCGGTGGGGGCGGACTCTTCATGCCCAGCGGCGACTCCTGGGCATGCATGGAGTGGCTGCTTCGATTCGACAGCGGACTCTGCTGCATATGAGCGGGTGAGAGGAGCACGCCATGTCCCCCTCCCAGCTCTAGATGATGCTGGGACGGAGGCGGTGGCGGGGCTCCTGCCGCATGGTGGGTGTGTGGAGAGTGCTGCTGTTGCTGCTGCTGTTGGTGGTGGTGATGGGCTTGCGACTGCATGGGCAGATGCATCAGGTTGGGATTGTGCATGATATTCGAGGGCGGCGCTCCACTCCCCATGCCGCTGTGCTGCTCCATATGCGTCGCCGTCGGATGATGCTGCACCAGAAGGTTGGGCAGCGGCTGGCCCAGGTGATGGTGATGATGTGAGGCTGCCGCCGGCGGTGGCGTCTGATTGGCAAACATGTTGCCGGCCGCGCCCAGCCGACTACTGGCAGGGGCAACGCTGTGGTTCAGATCCGCTCCAATGTGACTCCCGTCCGCAATGGAGTAGCCGCCGGGCTGATTATGATTCGGTAGGGACGCCAGCGAGACCGTCACTGGAGGAGTGCCGCCACTGCCCGCCGTGGCGGGTGCTGCTGCAGCCGCCCCCTGGCTGCCGCGCATATGGGGCGTGTGGTTGTGGACGCCCGTGGCGGAGATTATTCGGCCGAGGTGGGTGATGCAGCGGGCCCGGCACATGCTGATCCGGTAGGACTTGCACAGCCAGTAGGTCTTCATGCCCTGCTGCGTGGCCACCGTGTTGTTGCGATTGAACACGCAGTTGCCATGGAGCAGCGAGGTGGTGGACAGCATCACCATATTGCTGCCATCTGCTCCAGCGCCAAGCAGCGTCCGCAGCGGGCAACAAACAAACGTACAATGATGGAACGACATTAGTGGACAGTTCTTCACTGGGAACGTCTTAACGGATGTTATTTACAGAGAGCGGGGGGAGCAGTGGTGTGGTTTGGGGTGGGGTTGCTGTTCAGGTAAGTGGAGGTTGTGCCACTAGGTGCCTGCTACCTTTTGCTGGGCTAAGCGGCTGTGTGGGTGTGTGTGTGTGTGTGTGTGTGTGTGTGCGTGTGTTCGGACTGTGTGCGGGGGTGGTGGTTAGGCGTCGGTTCGGTTAATAAGCCAAAGGTTAGCAGCAAATTATTTATGGCGGCCACTAAGTTCTATATGATTCCAATGGCTTCTTTTAGTTTGGTTTAGTTCGATTAATAAGCCTTAGTCATGGGAGAGATATTGCAATGGTAGCCCCAATACACGCAGATTCATTCAGCTTGGGCCTGGCCCTTAAAAAGGGCTACATTTGGCTATGATAATCGGAAGATTTAATTAATGAATGGAATTAACACCACCCACAATCTCATTCCAAAGTAAATCTCAATCAGTGATCGGCACCAATACAAAAACATTTGTCCGTTTGGCTGTGTGCGAAGACAACAAGCACGAAGCCTGTAGCTTCTCTTGCCTCTTCCCAGCCTCCCAAGGTACGGCCGTGGTCTGCTGTTCAACTTCAAGCTCATAATAAACGGACGAATAGATATCAACGGGCACCGTGTGCATATTTAACAGACAAATGGAGAAGGGGAATAATATTGTTCTTTCACACGATCCACAGTCTCCTGTCTATTTCCAATTAAATCTTCCCCACTTTAATGAATTATTCCCATTGCATTCCCATTCGTTCTGCCAATTCCTGATGCCTGAATCTTCATTTAGGGGGCAGTGTTATCAATGGGCTAGTAAGTACTTGGTGTACATGGCGAATGATGATGATGATGTGTGGATGGGGGAGCCGCAGTGGGATGCAAAGAAAAAAAAAGAGCCCATATTAAGCTTAAAATGAAAATCAAAATCAAAATCAGAAAATGAAAGCCAAGCTACGTGCAACATAAAAGTGAAACATAAATTGAGTGAGTCGGAAGGGAGATTCGTGGGACACTTACTTGACGGAATGTCCATATGATTGGCAAAGTTCTTGGAGTAATCATTGGGCATGTAGAGCTCATTGGGGTATTCGTGGCCGGGGCCGAGGCCAGAGGATGGTCCATTGTTGCTGATGCCACCAGGTGCCGCATTATTGGAGCTGCCACTCGGCCCGCCTTGGTTGCCGCTCGGCTTGTAGAAGTTATAGTCCAGATTGAAGGCCGGCCCAAACGGATTGCGCAGCGAGTTGACTGCCGTCGAGGAGGAGGCCGAGGAGCTGAGACTGCCGCCGCCGCCGCTTCCACCGCCACCCGGTCCATGATGGCCATCCTGTTCCCGCTTGAGTCCCCCCAGGTCGTATCGGGGTTCGGCCAGCGAAAGGTGTGGAATCGGGGGCAGGAAGAACTCCTCCGTGTTCAGGGGGTTCTCCAGGTTGGCGCCATTATCCAAATTGTCGCTGCTGCTCTCGTGCTGCTCCTTCATGGAGCGCCGCAGCTGCTTGCCCGAGTAGATGGACAGGGAGTCGTTGCTGAAGTCCGACGGGGCTGGTCGCTTGTTCAGGGCATACAGGTGGCTGGCATCGCTGGAGGCTCTGCTGGCACCGCCTGGCGATGTGGTCCGCGAGTTGCTCTGCGTGCTCTGGCCCTTGGCTTCACTGTGCTCCGCATCCGGTTTGCTGTTAGAGCTACTGCTGCTGTTATTCGTGATGTTATTGTTATTGTTATTGTTGCTGTTGCTGCTGCTGCTGTTGTTGGCGGTGCTGTTGCTGGAGTTGTGATGGTTATTGCTGTGGCTGTTATTGTGGGTATTACTGAGCGATGACGACTCGTCCCCCTGGCCATGGTTGGGCGGTTGACTAGCAGACTTCTCCGATGCACTGGACGCCGGCGAGGCATTGGAATTGGTGGCCAGGCCCTTGATCTGCAGCAGCTGTCCAATCTTCATGAACGACTGCAGCTCCGTGTGCTTCACATTCACCACTCCCTGGTACATGAACTCCAACAGTTCCAGCATTATGTTGAAGCTCACATCTTTGAGTATGACTGTAAATAGAGAGAGAGAGAGAGGAGTTGTTCATCATTTTTTTTGTTCGGGTACATAATTGAATCCCCCAAAGTCCCCAAGCACAACGTTTTCATAAGTCGCCATATGCCTATGCCTGTTCCCCCCACCGCCCGATCGACAATAGCAACAGCAACAGCAACAACAACATTCGACATCATCCACAGAGCGAAAGGAGGTCACATTCATAGTGGAGATGTTATCATCGAAACGTTCAAATACTAAATCAATACATAAAAACAGCTACGATAAGAAATCTGAAAACTTAAATATAAACCTCAACAACAGCAGCAGCAGCAGCAGCAGCGGCTGGATCAGCAGGGAAGCAGCGGGGCAGCAACAGCAATAATTATAAAATAAGTAGCATGACATATCATCGGGGTGCTCTCGACACGGCCTATGGAACTGTGGAACTGTGAAGCTGAAGCTCTGTCCGGGATTCGACACTGATTCCACGAACTACGGACACGGACACGGCACAGTGGGTGCAGATCTTTATACATATAATTTTGAATATATTTTTTAATATCTGCATTAATCAAACAATACTTTAATTTAAAGTTGAATTGGAAATTGGTCTCTGCTGTTTTTTCTTAGCTTTGCTCTTCCATCCATTCCTAGCTTTCTTCCTTTCTCTAACTCCTTCACATACTTCTTTAGCTCTTCAGCTCTCTTTAAATCTACTCTACACAACGACAGAGATTTTCCTAAATATATTCAATCATTATTTACCAAATAGGCCAATAAATACATCATGTGTGTCTGATCCTCTTTAATGATTCTCCCTTTCAATCATTATGCACACATTTATGCAATGGAATCCCCCCACACTTTCGCAGAAATTCCCCGACATTAATCTAGGATTTTTCCCCCTCCAATTCCAATTCCCATTCCCAGACCACTGTGCCCAACTCACAGCATCCACATCTAGTTAAAAACAATATTATCACTTGTTCTCAATAACAATTTAATATACAAACATCCACGTACAATATGCCGTTGGATGTGCAAGTGTGTGTTTGTATGTGTGAATGTACTTATTAATCCGCCGATCAGTTCTCGTCTGTTGCTTAATCTGAGGACGGAGTGACGGAGCAGCAGCCATCAAGCGTGTGCCCTATCATTTGCCGTAGTCGTCATTACGGATCGTTTTGTCTCGTGTCTATCTATCTATCTGGCTGCCAAGTCCGTATTTGCGTTCGCCATTCGCACTGCGAAGATCAAAATCCGGGCAATATACATACATATGTACATATGTATATATGCCTATAGCCTATAGCTCGGAAAGGTACAGTCTGTAATCCTCAACCGATCTGATCTACACATGAGCTTGACTCCTGACGCCAGATAGATACGGAATTACGTGCTTTACGAGTATAGTTCTCGTTTTAATAAACACAAAGTTTATATATTAGTTTTTCTGTGCAAACACAGATACTCATGGACAGCACAGCCCATGGATCGATAGCGATAGAGATTGGCCCTGGATCAGGAGACAAAGAGATCCACAGACACGGCCAAAGCCACAGCCACGTAGTCACACAGCCACACAATGCCTTCCATCGAATCAATAAACCATTTATGTATGTCGGAGCTGTAGATAAACTTTGTCTAAAGTTCACGGAAAATGTGATAAATCCGTGTATGCTGCTGATAAGACACACACCATCCACCCATCCCAGACACCAAAATGTCCAATTCGGGCATCTTTTCTGTGCTCCAACTGATGCGACGCGATGCGACGCCAAGGGGAATTTTTATGTGCCGCTGACCCCCGGAGTGATCTCCGCTGATATCAGAGAGCTCTGATGCCGTCTCAGAAATAGATCAAGACGAGGGTAGGATGTGCTGGATCTTTCGATGACTTGATGGTTCGACAACTCGACAAAGATATCTTTCGTTTAAGGTTTTTTTTGGGTTCGGTTCGGTTTCGATTCGTTTCTTTCGGGACGACCCACAAGTGTATGAGTGGCCAAGATCACGCCCACTGTAGACGCTTCCACCAATCGGATTGCAGGCGATCGATTTCGAAAACAATTTTATTTTATGATTATGATAAATGTTTATCGAATCAGAACGCCAATAGAACTTTTTGTTGTTGTTACCCTCGTTGTGGCCATTGTCGTTTGAGTGTAGTAGTTTTTGAGTGGAGTGGAGTGGGCTGCCCCTCATTTTGACATTCATAAATATTTGTTATCTCTGCAAACGCCATAATAGTCGAGTAGTCGAATAGTCGTACTGGTGGTAGTACAACCTGATAAAATATAAGAAGCCCAGCCCCAACAACAATTGCAGCCAACCCCAAGCCAACAGCACACACACAATGACCAGCCATACAGGGAATAGTGTCTCTTGGACACGATCCTAGACTCGGGCAATTATGATCCCCGATCCGCACTCATCGATATATCACCTCTTACACACAGTGGCAATGTGTCTCCGAGGGGCACAAGGGATTAGGCCCCATAGCTTAGCCGATAACTGGAGCAATCTATTTATGCGGCTACTGCCATTTCGGAGCCAATAAATTACTAATTGTCAACACAAAAGCCCCATAAAGGCCCCATTTATCAAATTTCGTATGCTCAAAGTCAAAGTTTGATATTATATGAAAGGGATCATAAAAATAACAACGTAAGCGGGCAATTAAGGGGTATCGTATGGGCAAGAACCAAAGCGTAAGCCATAGAAGGATTATCCCAGAATAAAAAATAAAAAAAATAAAAAAATCTACACAGATAAAACGTTAAGGTTAATTTCGGAGGGAATAAGACATTGACTTGAATTTAAGCAGTTACCAATTTCAATATATTTGGGATTTATTAATGATTTTAACTAAAAGCTTCAATTTGTAGACACTCGAAGAAGAACAATGGATAGATCTTTAAAATTACATCCGAATCATATAGAACATACAAAAATCAGTTGTACCAGATACATTAATGCTAAAGGATGAGTACACAACATTTGTACGATTTCAGAGCTATTCGATAGATGTTCAACAAAGAGATAGGATCCTACCAATTGGAGGCTTGGCGATCATTTGCACAATTTGTAAGATTTTTCAAAGATCTAAAAATATTCTAAATTCTTTTTAAAATATGTCTAATAAGTAAATATGAATTTCCAGAATTCTGAAGGGTCTCAGTTTTCAAAGGTTATAAGTCCAAGGTTTTTCAAGCATATAATCTATTTTTCTAATTAGTTTTCCACTTGAAACAGAGTATTTGAAAAAGATTACGGATCAAGAACAACTAAGAATTAAACCAAAGTTCATCATTAACATTGATCAACAATTGAATTCTACGACAAATTTATGTTCAAACTAGCCGCACAAGCGAATGCTGCAGAAGAGAATGCCCAAGAATTGAAAAAACAAAATTCATTGCGTTTGCATGTTGCCACAGAGATCTGATGCTTTGACTCGAGTTTCGCTAAGGGAAGGGAGCTCCGCTAATAAGGTAACTGTGGACTTCTCCCAAAATGTAATAATTGGACTGCTCACCGCTGATCAAAACTAAAGGATAAACGGTATTAAAAGTACTTCCCCCTACAAAAATATTCTCAACCCTGCGGGCCTGATAAACATCACGTCTTTGCTTCTGTTTTGGGCACCACAATATACTATAGCATTTGGTATTTTTTTGATATTTACGACAAGTCCATCGATCGATATTATATTATTTCAGCGAAACATTTATGGCTGCTAAGCGAACGCTACTTGAAATTGTGAATGGGTTTGGGGAGTGTGCAGATCGGTATGGGAGGCACACGGATGGCAATGGTGGCATCGCTTTGACTTTGCTTTGCTTTGCTTTGCTTTGGGGGGGACTCATGGCTATTTCCATGGCTGCCTGTTGCCTCGAGAGGCTACCAATATCACACGAGACGGAGACGGAGAAGGAGTCGGAGACCCATTCGCCATTTCGTTTGAGTGCGTTATCTAACACAATGGCAATAAGTTCAAAATCTTATTTTACGATTAAGAGTGATACCCAAAGCAAAGTGGCTGATAAACGACATGGGTTCTGGTCTGTGGGTCTGTTGGTGGAGAACGAAAATGTCCGATGTCCGAGTTGTTGTTTATGCCAATAATAAAAACTTAAACGGGCATGGAAATAGATAATATTCGAGGATTAGCTATGCAAGCAGCTGTGTGTTGTAGATACATACTACATACATATAACCAGCCCCAGCCCCAGCCACTTGGCCACTTGGCCCGGACGGAGAGCGTATCAGAAAACCCGTGCTCGTCGTCGTCTAATCAATATCTCTTCGAGTGGCCAGGGGATTGGATGTCTGGGCTGGGTGGGGTGGTGTTTGGGTTGGGGACCCAGTTGCTCAGTTGGGCAATAAATGATTGTTAAACGCGATAAAAAGATAAAAATATTTAGACTATTGTTGTTGGATGGATGGATGGATGTATGGATGGATGGATGGTACTGTTACTGGTGCCCCATTGAGTGGTTTTTTTGTTTGTGTGTAACACGCACCACATTTGGCTTGTTAGCACCTTGATGATGGCTGTAGTTGTTGGTGTTGCTGCTGCTGTTACTTTATTTGTTGGTTGGTTTATTTTTAATAACTCCCACCCCCCAGCCCACATCGCCTACCAAAGTGTTACCATTATTTATAGGGTATATTAATATTCTTTATCTTTGGAAATACCTCTTGTACCCCATTTGTTGGTAGGTAGCACCTTCCTGCTGCTACTTGAAAAGATAAAACCTTAGTTTTTATTGCCGCTTGATCAGATAAAGCCACCGTTCAGCACAGGGCTGGCCGTGTATAACACGGACTCTGTCCGTCCAGAATTGAACATGGAATAGAGAGTCACCCAGAAAAGCAGGGAGGCAGGCAAGCAAGCAAGTCAGGCAGCGATATCATATCCATATACCATTCTAGAGTAGAGTCCATTCCATTGGAGTACATTTTTGATGAGGTCAGCAACGCACCCAATCTTCGATTGGAGTGGTACCTCTTATCAACAATGCATATGCGTATCCGTGGCGTAAGTAAACAAGCCACCAAAGACACGGGCTCTTGCAGCTACCACACATGGAGAGAGCCATGCAGCCGATGTAGCCCATGCAGCCGGGTGAGACAACGTGGCGGCAATAGCTCAACGTAGGATTATCAGACCTCGATTCGTAGCTCCAACTGCTGCGGCTACTCCTGCTCCTCCTGCTCTTGTTTGTCTTTAGATTTATGACAAGCGAAATCATTTTATTTGCCTCCGAACTGGTACACGTGCTGCCACCATTAGCTGGAGCTGTAGCTGTAGCTGTAGCTCTGGAGTTTTCTGGGTTCTAGGTGTCTGATAACTGTTGAATGTGTCACGGAACTTAATACAGAAGTTGATTTATATCGTGCTGGGTTCTGGCATTTGACAACAGTGACGAACAGACAGACTGACGGGCGCTTTTAGATAAACTGATAGATAGATAGATAGATATGTGGCGGACAGGAGCCACAGAGACGGAGACAAACGACGACCCAGTCCCCCCAGTCCCCCCATTGTGTGCACTTTATCAGTGATAAAATGACAAATATCTATCGCCATTTGGCGATGTTTAGCCATGTCTAACATATGCACTCCACAGAGGAATACATATAGTTTGCACTTATGTATATTTGCCGCCGTATAACTTTGCATTTTTAGCGCACTTTGGCTCGACGGACTACGGAGCACAGACGACAGCAGCAATACGGTGGCAGTGTGAACAATTTAAGCAAACAAAGCGGATTGCCTCGTACATAAATTGTATAAGGTGCCTCTCGACATCTGTCAGATGCAGAAATACTCACTTATTGGATGCCGGCAGGGATTGCTGGTGAAGATCTCCTGGAAGTAGGGACTGCAAATGGCCAGGACTATCTTGTGCGCCTGCAGCAGCTTGCCGTCGCAGGCCAAGGTCACGTCCACGAGATCCCCACGATCGTAGAGGTTCTGGAATCCGCTGGCAATGTTTTCTTGGAAGTTCTTCCAGCAGAGTTTGAACTCATCATCCATGGCGCTGCCGTTTAGCCAGCTTTTGGAGTTTACTTGTTTGGTTACTGTCGAATTGGGGGAAGCTGCTGCTGCCGCCGCTGCCTGTCCAGCAGTTTGTATTTCTTTGGCCACAACGCAACTTTTTGATTTTGATTAATTTACGGACGATGATGCCCGCAGCGAGACTGCGTTTTATGGCCGCACTTTTTACGATTCTTGTTTATTTGCTTTGGGCCGTGATTTCTCGGCTCGTCCACTTTGTGGCTACATTCACGAATGTCAGGTAGAACATAAACACAAAATATATGCAAACTTCACTCTTCTCGACACTCACGCACGCCGCTGCTGTTCAATAAATTTGTTTGTTCTTTCGTTTGCTTGATTTGACTGCTGTGTTAATATTCGTTCACGCGCACGATCTCGAGCCGTCACCGTCCACAGGCGCATTGATTTTGATTTTGGCTTTAATTAACACTTTTTGATTTAAAACATTTTTATCACGCTGTTTACGTTCGAGGAGAGAGAGGCGAGAGCGAGCGAGCAGGGTAGATAAGGCAAGAGAGAATCAGCTGTTCGTGTTAAAAACATCGTGAGCGCCAGCAGCAGTGCTGACCCTCAAAAATATACCGAAATATACACACAACATACAATACATATACGTTAGTTGTTTTAGTTTTTGGACCTGCTTGCAAAATAAACATTTCAAGCTTTGAGCGTGAAGTTAAACTTTTGATTGAGCCGCATGCATAAGGTATGAGGTAATTGATTGACGTCACAATATCCGAAGCTTTCAAGGATAAAACCCACCTCACCACATAACTCACCGTGGTATATTTAGTCCTTCTGGTCCTTAAAAAAAAGGTTGGCCGTTTTAATACTGGGGCCATACCTTGCCATGACCCGTTTTTGCGAAAAATATCGATAGTTGGAACGATAGTTTAATTTTGTTGATATTCCTCGATTTTGAAATTCCATTGAATATTACAAGCTAGATAGGTCTCCCACCACTGAAAACATAGTTTTAGCAAATAGATGAATACATTTTTTACAATTTAGCTCATTAAAAGCACTCCCATTTATTGGATGGTTTATAAAACAAGGTTTAACTAAAAAAGATGACAAAAGTGTTTTTGTGACGTTCATATCAGCTGTTCATAGTGATAGTGCTGCAAAGTGAGCGTTTGTGGGCAATGACAGATGAACCGCGAAGCAGATAAAATTCAAATACATAAAAGATAAAATATTAGATATTTCGAACAAATTCTTTTAAATTTGAATACTTTTAACAATAAACCGAATTATTATGATAATTAAAATTAGTAATTGCTTCACAGTGTAATCATTTGTTTCGATATACATCACCTGTGCTCGATACATTTTATACATTTGAAATGAAGTGAAGCGTACCAAACTGTTTGCCCCGATAAGCGCTTATCTTAATTGTCAAGTCCACCATAATGATACGGCTGCAGTAGACTCATAGTGTCCGCTATAACCATACCCCGAAGCTCATTTCCATTGGGCCCATGCAACCCTCACGGACCTGCAAGCTGATAACTGGCGTACCCACGGTCATAAATAACCCACTTTACATTTTAAACAAAAAGAGAATAAAAATAAAAGTACTGCTTATCAATAAGCCATGAATCGTTTGCACGTTAGGTGCACTCATACATACGTACACCAAGTCAATTGGCCACCGATTTGATTTTGCCTGATTTAGTTCTCAGTGCTCAAAGAACTTTCAACAATTTTGCACGCTCTACAGGGGATAGCATAGCGCTGAGAAGTATAATGGGTTGTTGTTTGGGTAAGTTAGTACCGCTTATCTCCATCAGATTAAACATAAACAACGAAGTCTAACTAAAAAAAACATTGACAGCCACAAGTAAATCTGTTGATTTACCTCCTGTTCCCCCTGCGCCGGGCAAACAGCGTTCCACACTGCCGGAGTTCCCAGTGCCCACCACATCTGCCCCAACAACAGGAGGAGGACCCAGTGGCGTTACGAATGATGCGCTGGAGGATGACTAGCTAGCCAATGGACAACTCGCAAAAATGGAACCGATTACGTAGAAGGAAAAAGTGGCAGTTTCAGCCAAAGGGGAAAAACGTTCGCATGAGTCATGCCCATGCGGCATGCGACTCTTGAGTTGTGGCTCATTTCTTAGGACCAACTGTAATTTTACTTTAAATAGCTGGCCAATGCAATACTCAATAAAATGGAACTGATTACGCAGAAGGAACAAATTGAAACTGCCAAAAATGATTGCTCTCATGTAAATTTTAAATTGAGCGGGTAATTTTACTACGAGGAAATGGGCTCTAGCCACGATAGGGTGTCATCCTCTATGGCCAATCAATCAAACCTCGGCCACGTTCCTGCGTGCTGTCGGCTTTTTAGCCAAGCATCGCGGCATGAAGAGCATGCAAGTTTTTCATACTTTCGATGTAAATGTTGCAATTCAAAAAATTAAAAATTCCAACTTGCCGTTATTCCCAAAAAACAGCCAGATTTTACGGGGAAAAAAGCTAAATCGGCAGCACTGCTTCTGAGCGTCAGGCAGTATTTTCGATAGATAAATCCACGGTCCCACTGAGCACGTGTAGCCGCGCCGCAAATTCCTGAAACAAATTCTTAAGTTTATTTATTTAGCAGAAAGGAATCGCTGCTGAATATTGACGGAATTTATGATAAGCGTCTTGTCAACACATAAAAATGGCTATACAACCGAATCGGCGCAAGAGGAAACATGAAGAGACGAACATGGAGCAGCAGCAGCTCGACGATGGCGAGGTAGTGGTGCCGAAGAAGATTCCCAAGGATTCCGACACGCCAAAGAAAAAGAAGGAAAAGGCGATTAAGATAAACGTCACAGCGGAAGAGCCTCCCAAGGAAAAGTTGGAAACACCTGTAGACGATGCAGTAGAAGGGCAACAGGTGGAAATGGATGTTGGCCCTGCATCGCCAGAGAAGAAGAAACGCAAGGAAAGGCACCCAAAGAAAGTGGTTCCGGAGCAAGGCGGCGACGCTGACCACGCTCTTGACGAAGCAGAGATAAGCCCTGATTCGGGATTTGAGCCGGAGGAGAATACACCAAATTTTCCCAATGATTTCAAAATGATGAATTTCCGCACCAAACTCCGTAGCAATAGTTTCATTACCGGTGAGTAGAACAGGACACTCTGCTAGCTGGTTTTATTAATTCCCATATTCTGTCTATTCAGAGCTGCGCCACTTTCTGTTCATGTGCCATACACGTCCCAGGATCGTGGCCAAGTACATTGAGAAGCGAGGTAAACCCTTGGAGCTGGCCGAGGCCTTTGATCGCATCGACAAAAGCAACATTTTGCATGTGGATTACCTCACCGAAGCACTGCATCGCATCGTGATGGAAATACTCAGTAATCAGAAGGGTCACATCGAGTCGGCGGCCCATGGCTGTCGCTACTTTCTGAAAGTCCATGGCGGAGTGCTGGAGAACTTGCTGCAGTCGTCGCGGCCCAGCCATCGCCGCAATGCACTTAAGCTGCTCACGGCGATTGTGTGCGTGGAGCCGCAGCTGGGACGTCAGGTTCTAAACTCCTATGACATCCTCTCGAATGTAAGCGTCATGCATCAGATGCTGTCCCACGCCAAGAATGACTACCAGAACGAGGAGACCGTCCGCAAGGCGTACATACACTTTATTTTGGCCTTTCTGGTCGAGGGCAATGCGCTGCTCATAAGGAACATTCTGGATCGGGGTCAGCTGATTGGTGTGCTGGCCAAGGGACTGGTCTACGACGATCATGTCACCGTCTGCGTGGTGCTGAACGCACTCAGGCAATATGTGCTGGAAAACCCAGACATACAGAAGACGAAGAAGGTCCTGGTCTTTGATCTGGAATGCTGCAAGTCCCTGCGGCGCCTCTACGACTGGGAGGGCCCAAATGGCCTGACAGCTCTGTTCGGCAAGAAGCACTCGAAGGGAAAGCCGAACGAACAGGAAGCCGAATCCGTTGCTGCGGCTGTCCATGAGCTGCTGCTGCTCTTGCTCACCTCCCGCAAGCATGGAATCTGCTTCGATGCCATGACCCACTACCGCCAGAAGCAGAACAAACTCCAAGGCAAAGTGCTGGGCTCGCTCTACAGGCCCTACAGCAATCCACGCAAGACGGAACTGGTCATCAAGACCCTGACAGCGTGTCCCGATCTGGGACGCAATACGGTGCGCAACTTCTCCTGCCTGATGAGTCCCAGTAGGGTGGCGATGAACGACATCCCCCAGGTGGCCCTGTTTCTGGCCCAAATCATAGATGCAGTGCCCCCCAGCTCCCTGTCGGTCGCATTCAACAAGATGACGCTGACGGATCTCGGTTTTTGGATCAAGGAGCTGTGTCTGCCCATTGAGGGACTACTCCACATTACGGGCAAGAGCATGCTGAACAATCAGGACTTCAAACTGCGGCTGGCCGTGCTGCGACTGCTCCTCGCCATGATGAAGCAGTACAGCAACTATGTGGGCGCCATCGCCCTCAGGGAGCAGTCGAAGAAGGCGGGCAACTCGATGCGAAAATTCAAATTTGATCTGCTTAACCACCTGCTGGTGCACTTTCCCACCATCGAGTCGATCCTGTATTCCCTGTATCTGGCCATCAAGCAGCAGAATCAGCCGGGAGTGAATGTCCTGGAGTGCCTGTCCATCACTCTGGATCTGGTTCTGCTCATGTGCAAAGAGAATCGAGCCTTTGTGAACAAAACAAGTAAAATTCTTGATTATCTGGAGGTTCTGCGGCCGCTGTACGAGACCGATTTCGATGCCGTGGATCAGCCCCAAGAGCTCGTCAAAGTTGAACTGGAATTGAAGTCAATCAAGACGATATTGCTGCTCTTCCCGATGTCCCTGAACCCCCAGGAGGAGCTCTTCGGCAAGGTCTTCCGCTCGTTCATCAAGGCCTATATGCTGGAGGATGTGGCCATTAAGGCAGAGGCCGGCAACATATTGAATCGCCTTTTCCTCAACACGGGCCTGTTCGACTCCTGCAGCAACGAGATCAACATCTGGCTGGAGTCGCTCATTGGCTTCGATGCCGAGACTGTGGAGAACGTGGTGAGCATTCTGCTGACCATTCTGTGCCTCGACTGGCGGAAGATCAAGCTGCCGGAACTGGATGCGGCCGCGACCGAAGCCATTAGCAGCGAGAACATACGCAAACTGTTTGCCCAAATCAAGGCCGGCCAGACGGTGCAGTCGTATGTGGAGGTCCTGATGCTCAGCAAGATGATGCCCCTGCTGCTGCAGGGCGTGGACATTGAGGCGCCGTACGATGCCTATGTGGAGCAGGTCTTTGTCATGCTCTTCCACTACCACAGCCAGCCGGAGCAGGTGCTGCAGCTGTACGATGGACACTTGGAGAAATATCATGACTACATGAAGAGCTGGCTGCCCGGCAGCGACAGCGGGGAGGAGAAGCCCAAGAAACTTCCCGCTGCCATTGCCCAGAAATGGCCGCTTCTGAAGGAACTGCGAAAGGTTCTAACCGCTGAGGAATCGCAGGGCTTTCAGCTCACCTTCAAGCCGGAGGATGAGAAACACTTTGAGCTGAAACTGGAGGAGGGACAGACGATGCCGCTGCACTTCAGCCTGAGCAATCCGCGTCGCAACATGATCTATGTCCAAGATCTACTGTTCGTCTTCATCCAATCCTTGTCCAGGCAGAGTCTGACCAAGTCGCAGGCAGAGCAAACGGCCGATTATCTCATCAAATTTGTGCAAATCGCCAGCCAAGTGGATGCTGGCACGGAGGAGATACAACAGGAGGATGATCAGCAGAAGCCCGAGACCCACACCCACCATCTGCTGCATTACATCTACAACAGCCGCCTGGGACCGCTGCATCCCACCCAGATACTGAGCGAGACCAGCGATAATCGCTTGAACTACGTCATCTTCTTGCGCCGCCTGACGGAGCATTGCCGCAGTCTGCCACGGTTTGACAGCTTCACGGCCAAGTATCGCCTGCAGCTGGTCAAGGCCTTGGAGATTGCCTTGGACTCTGCCGTGGAGGAGCATCAGCAGCTCAGCGAGTGTGTGGCACTGGTCGACACATTCGAGTTGAATGCCAGCGGCTGCTCTCAGATGCTGGATTTGCTCACGTCCAAGCTGCAGGCCAAGGATTACGTGGCCAACAGCAAACCGAATCACTACTACGAGCTGCTGCTGTTGCTGCTGAACCGACTGTGCCAGCTAAAGGAGCCCATCGACTGTCGGAAGTGCTTCAGCAGATTACTGGGCTACTATGGCGATTTCTGTGAGCTAAGCGAACAGCAGCTGGAACCCCTGGAGGCGGCTATTCTCCAGTTCCTGGTCAACTTCCATCACCATCTGGCTGGGTGCGACAGCAGCTTCTTCGCCTGCTTCTTCACCTCAACGCGAAAGATAAGCAAGTCGGCCATACGATTGGCCAGTCTGCTTCTCGAACGCCAGCCGCGACTCTCCGTGACGTTTGTCGAACTTCTGCCAGAGAATTTGGAGCAAAAGGAACTTGTCTACCCGCTGCTGGACATTGCCCTGTCCAAGAGCTATCAACTGCCGCAGGCGCTGCTACAGCGCTGCTATCAGACGTACAAGAACGGATTCATGAAGAGCATCGAGAAGCCGCAGAAGGCGGCCCTCATCTATCGGGAGCACGCGGAGGCCAGTGCCCTGCTCATCGCTCAGTGCATGCCCAAGTCGGAGTGCCTCGATTACTGTCAGAAGCAGCTGAAACTCGACTCGGTGGAGCTCTTCCAGATTCGGGTACTGCGCGAGATCTACTGGCAGGCCTCCGCGGCAGCCAAGGATGGCAAGCAGAGGGGCAGTGTCTTCGTCAACTATGTGAACCTGAACGTCCAGATGCTGGCCCTAGATCTGAAGAAACAGGCGCTTGAAATGAGCAAACTGGAGCAGATTAGCTGGAACTGCTACGAGTGGTGGCAGAGTGGGCAGCTGAGCGAGGATCTGCAGCTGGATTGGAGTCGCCTGGTGAATGCCCCGCAATGGCTTAACTTCTGCAAGAGCTGCCTGAAGTTGGCCCTGCATTTGGGCGAGGACCAGCAGCCGCAGCAGGATCAGGCAAATGCACTCATCCTCAAGCTTTTGGCCTTCCTGTGCGATCGTCTCTATGGCGACTACACGCCGGAAGCGCCAGAGGGGGAGGATCCCACGCCAGCTCTGCTCTACGAAATGATCTGCACACATTCATGCTGCTTCGATCATCTCCTGGGTGCGGCCAGCGACACGAAGACACATCTCCTGCAGCTAATGGAGACTCTGGCCAGGAAGGGACCGACAGCATTGCAGGCGTCACACGTGCCCGTGATCCTTGGAGCCTACCATGCCAAGCTCTCGGCTGCCGATCGCTATGCTTTGGCTCTGCTGGAGCACTATGAGCGGCACGATGTGGGCCTGGAAAAGTTCAGACCGTTCATCTGGGGCGAGAGCGCCGTGGCACATTATGCCCTGAGAGCCGCAGACGAGGATGAGCGGGCAAAGCTGCAGCAGCAGGAGACAAATGTGGCCCAGGTGCTGGCCCTGATTGTGCGCGAGACGAGCGTGTACACCATGGAGAATTTCCCAATCTGGAGGAGTCTGCATGCCAGCCAGCAGCTGCCCGAAGTTGAGTTCCTGAATCCCTCGAAGAAATTCCCAGAGATTCGGCGATAATCCACTGGAGAAAATGGTGGAGCAGGGCTGCCACGACTTCGCCCAGGAAGTGCGACGCCTGTGCCCCAAGCGGGAGGAGATCTACGAGTCCTGCTACGACCCGGCCTTCCTGCTGCCCCTGATGATGCACTGCTTCGCCCCCGGCTCTGTGGTGTGGGCCCGCTGGCCCGTCCAGAACGGACTCCTGGCAGTCAGCTTCTGTGCCCTTTCCTCGCTGGACAAGGATATGCGACTGGCGGCCGCCAGCTGCCAGCAACGCTATCGCACCCACTTCGAGCTCTCCAAGTTCTACGAGCGTCCGCTGTGGTCGCAGGCCTACGACAACATCCAGGCGGGACTGAACGAACTACGCACCTCGTGGCTCGCCCAGAGGGGCACGCATGGCGGCACGCCGCGAGTGCCGCTGATACCGGCCCTCTTCATCGCCCACAGCTTCAACCTGAGCACGGAGCCGACGCATCTGCTGTACAAGCGCCTGATGCTGTACCTGCGGCTGAAGCAGAGCTTCAACTTCCAGACGATACCCGACTTCAACGTGTTCTTCTACTCGCACGAACCGGAGCACCATCAGTACCGCAACTTCATGGTGGAGCTGCTGCGGTGCGGCATCAAGTGCAGTGCCGATCTCTTCCAGCTGGTCTCGACGAACACGTTCAAGGTGCTGCTCACCTTCTACACGTGCGAACTGGGCACGCTGGAGACCAGACTGCTGCTGCTGTCGGTGCTCTCCACCTGCGCGAAGATTCCCGGCGCCGTCAAGATCATGCTCGAGCATGTGGGCATCTACTCGTGGCTCGTCGGCGTCATCTGCCACACGGAGTTCCATCAGTTCGACGTCATCGAGGGCATCATCAGCATCCTGAACAATCTGTGGTATGCCGCGGCCGCCTCCCGCTCCGAGCTGCCCAACTATGAGATCATTCAATCGCGCGTTCATTCTCTGATCCTGCAACTGCTGCCGCGGCTCTCGCCGCGCATCTCTGTGCCCAGCCTCGCACGCCTGCTCAACGTGCTCTGGAAGACATCCTCGGTGGACGGCAACCATTGCCTGTTGTCCGCTGACGAGCTGGATGTGCTACTCGAATGCGTTGCGCGGCACTGGCCCGATCAGCTGCCCGGAATCCGCTATGTTAAGAACTTTGGTGGCTCCGCCGCGTGTCCTCGCTCGGAATACTGCGACTGGCTGGCCAAGGAGCAGCAGCTCGATGTTCATGCCGTGCTCGCCCTGTCCAGCCTGAGGGAATACGTCTGCGACTGGTGGCAGTCCCGCCAACCAGCTGAGAAAACACTGTAGGGAAACCATTTTATTTGTTGTTTTTCGCTTAAGTTAAGCTACTGCTATTGAATTGTGTTTATTGTATAGGCATTTCGAGTCTTCAGAATATATATTTGTATGCAATGAATCCCTACAGAAATCATCGAGTTAATGGAACGGGGGAAATACTTTAGCGGCACTCAGATTAAATTGCTCTGTCAGTCTGCTAGTCTGTGATCGGTGAGAAGCCTCCTCTACTGTCCAAACACTAAGCCTGCCATCGATAATACTGATTGAGCATTCCCGTACCAACTGGAGCATGACTTATTGCGGGCTGTAACTCATTTGGTATCAATGTTTGTGGAGGTCGAGACTGATGTCGCCCAAAGCAAATCATTCACAGATTTGTGTTGAAAGCCAACTGTCATGTCTCTGGCTGATCCGTAAGCCTCTTTAACCTTCAGTTGGGCGCCCGAATCGTTTGACAAATTACGGGCCATCAGCATAACAAAAGATCAGCTAGGGCAAAAAGATTTCGAGTATAACCAAAGTAGAAACAACTCCCTAAGTTTTTGTTAATTTGGCCAATCCGTTTTTCACACGCACCGCACCACTTAGCCGCCGCAGTGGGCGTTTGCGCTCCCTTCCTCCCCACCCCCCCATTTGGGTCTCCACCTACAATTTGTTGGGTCAACAAAATGTTAATCACCCGAAAAGGCTTAAGGCGAAACATGTTGATTTTTTGTTGTATTTTCTATCTGCATTTCTGATATGTAAAGCAGAAGTGCGCAGAAGTGATGCGCGACCCCACGAAAATATATTCACAAGATTTATGGTTTTGCTAGATGTCTCGAAATTTAAGCTATCTCCTCGGTTATATCATCACTGGGATCTCAAGAGGAAGCGCTGGTGATGGAAGCCCACATATTGGGATGATGATTGGTGGATATGCAAGTGCACTTCGGTGGATCCAAGAAATGTGTTACGAACATTTAACAGGAACAGGAAATTATTAGTTGGGCTTAAAAAGAATATAATATGTCCATGAAAAGTTTTGTTTAATTGGTTTCTTGTAGATCTTGGGAATGGGTAATAATTTTCACGACCCAAAAATAACACAGATAGAACTCTCTCAGATGTGGCCAAAGTGAAGATAGTTTTTCGCATTATCGTATATGCTTTCGTCACTAGTCACTTGGATGATAAATAGAAGATGACACACACGAGGCTAAGGATGGGCTGTGGCTGTGGCTGTGCCTGTGGTCTCTGTCCCTGGGCCTGAAGTTGCAGATAAACTTGAATTCGACATAATTGATTGATATTGCTGGGCATTTTGTTGTTTATGAGCCGGACGTCATCTCGCAGCGTATCAAATGTGTTTTTTTCTGCCCTGAAATTTTAGTTGATCGAATAAATGTATAAATTTGATCTGAATTTGATCTGCGAGGTAATAAATGAGCTCGGAAATGATTGCAGATTACCTAACTGGATGGATTATTGGTTCATTAGTTTTTGAACTAGTTGGATTTATATAATAATAATAATAAGGCAGCAATCTGTACTCTACTCTTAAGAATCAATCGATCAAATTTCTCTTCATATTGGTTCCCAAGATTTCACTTTTTACACAATATCCAGACACATATCAATCAAAATCAATTCTTCAATTAATTTCCTAGTTTCTCTGGCGTTGGGAACCCAATCAAAGGTTGCACCGGGGTATACCGTGAAAGAAAACAAATTACCCTGACACTGAGCCACGCCACACACACAATGGGCCAATGGAACAGAAGGAGAGTTCAAGAGTTCAGTCAGTAGCAAGGCAAAGGGCCGATATACGATATACCTTGTGGGTGTAACCCCCCAGAGACGTGTAGACAATTAAGCGGTTGTTCCATGATTGATTTAGCTTACTTAAAAACCCATTTCGTCTAATCCGGAACTGACATGGCCACGACAAAATGTAACCGGAGAGCCAATCCCAATCCCAAGCCCAAAGACCAAACCCAATCGAATCGAATCGAATCGAATCCAATCCCCAAGCCCAGAGTGGATGCAAATGATCCACCAAAATGCGTTGGCAAATCTCGAGCTGCGCTGCTGCGTTCATATTTCACACCTTAAACAACAATCCATGAATTTTTGGCTCCATGAGTTTATTCAGTATTTGCATTTTAAATTATTACTGCGGCCCCTCATTGACATGTGTATTTCATGTGGCACAAAGGCCTTTGTGTTATATATCGAATATCAACAATTTATACAAATTTATTTACAAACAAATTTCTCGATTGTTTTCCATGTTTGTCCTATTTATTGTATGGAACAACCCCAAAAGTCTCGGACTCGGACTCGTTGCTCTTTTTGCTCTTTATGGTTTCATTTGACGCCACCACTAATCATAAATGACTGGATGAGTTGATGTCTGAATAGTTGACATAGGAAATCGAATCGAATGGAATGGAATGGAATGGAAGAGAGTGCCCATCACATGTCACAATGGAGCTTCGACTTAAGCCCCTACGATTATCTTTTGGATGACTTTATTATGTATGTGGCTTGTGGAACGGTAGTAGAAACGAGGCGTGGCGAATTAAATCGAATCGAATCCGGCAGCAAGGTCAACAGTTGCCAAACGAAAGGGGAAAGGTCAAAATTGTGGTTAACCCGCGTTATGACAGCTCTGACAGCAGCAGCAGCAGCAGCAGCAGCGCTCCGCTCCCCTCAGCGCTGATCCCAACTTGTATCAGATGCAAATTTGGTAAACCGCAAAACTTCATTAAGAAATCAGTTCACATAGCTGCCCCCTCCCGCCGCAGCTCCAACTTGCAACATGCATTTTCAATTTGCCTCCAGACCATCACGTTCAGCCTGCAGTCCAGGTGGTGGCTGCAGCATGTGCTGCCAGCTGCCGTTCTGGCCACAATCAAAATTTGTTCAGCAATAAAAAAATTACAACAACAAAATGAGAAAATTGAAAACTATTTTTTAAAAGTTTAGCTTGCAGCCAGGGGAAAACGCATGTGGCCACAGATGAAGCATGCAGCATGTAGCATGGAGCATGGAGCAGATGGAAAAGGGTGCAAACGGGTTCAAATGTTCACCAGGCATTGGAATGGCGTCGAGGCGTCTCTCAGCATCTCATTTCAAATATCAAAAGTCACGACGAAGAAAGCTGGTTTTGGGACGACGTGTCTACGTGTATTGCCAGTTCGATGTTTGGCTTTTTTTTCTTTTTTCTTTTTTTTGGGGTTTGTTTCTCCTTTTCTCGTTGGTCTTTACAAAACATTTGGCAAATAATATGCCGCTTAAAGATGTGCCGCAGTGCCTGTGCCTCTGTGCCTGTACCTAAGCCTCTGCCGGCTCTTCTCCTTGTGGCATGTGAAAAACTTGTCATGCTGCAGCAGCAGGAGCAGCAGCCGCAAATGCTTTTCACTGGCTGCCATATTCACATTGACAGTGGATAAGTGTTTGCTGCCCTCCCCCAACGATAGACACCCTTACTTTTATGACATTTACCATAAATGGGAGTGAGTCTCGGTAACATATTAGATGAGTTAGATGAGTATCTCAAACTGCAATAATAAACACGTTAATTATGGTGACATTATAAAAGCGCATTCATACTGAATCAAGTCTCCAAATGTGTTTTATAATTACTAGAAATTATGTATCAAATTTTGTACAATTTGGCACTGCATTTAAGACCATTTCGGTGGCTTCCTCATGTGTGGATCCCATTCAAATAAATCTGCTAACACATACAACAGATTTGGCGCCATTTTCTGTGTATTATTTTCCTTGCTGCTTCATTTTCTTCAGCCATTTATTGCTTCATCAAAAGCCGCATTAAAGCAAATGCTTAGCCACGCAAGAAACAAAACAAAAAAAAAACTGAAATTAAATAATTGCAAGTGGCAAAGTTTAACAAAGATTTGAGCTGAGCGGAAATGGCGGAAAAAAGCGGAAATCGAATATAGAAAATGCGTCTGCAGAAATGAGTTAATTTACATGCAAAACTGGCGCTAATTTGAGAGAAATTTCTACCGCGAATTGCCCGAAAAAATTTGTTTGAGCCACGGGGCCACGCGGAAGTCCAACTCTGATCTGTGGCACGTGTGTGGGGCACTAACTGTGTGGTGGCTGGGACCGTTGGCGTCAGCTCATTAAGCGGTGGCTGTGGGCAAGGATTTGGCCGAAACGGGTTGCTTGGCCAGCGAAGATGCCACCGGTTGGGTAATGTCGTAAAACGAAAAGGAAAGTCTGTCTGGCCATCAAAACGAGACACGCATAAAATGGCTGTATGGTAGATAAAAAAGAAGAAGTGTATAAATATATATAAAATTTAATTAAGCCACAGGCTGTAAACGCGGCAGAATCGTGTTGCATCATATTGGATGTTGGGCTTAAAGGCGTTGGGCGCCAGTGAATTGGCAAGCCAAGTTCAAGCCCACCAACCAACAAGAGAGGGTGAGGGCCGTAATGAGGCAGCTTTCATTCATTAGGCCCGTAAGCCAAGCCAAGCCGGCCAGCAACATGCTGCAGAGTCAGCAGCAGCAACAGCAGCAGCAGCATCTTCGGGCCTGGCTTGGCTTTTGTCTTTGGCCAGGAAACCACAGCGCGCTCCGAGCTTCAGTCTGCAGCGAGCATTCAGACGGTTTGGTTTGTGTTCAGCGGCCAGTCGACTCAGAGCCCGAAAAAAAACACCCACTGAATATAACTTTAAGCCGTGAAAATTCGTTTCATTTTCTTCCATCGATCGATCGTTCGATCGTTGTTGCTGGTGCTGGTGTGAACTGTTCGCTAATTTGAAAATAACGATTCGAAATTTGGCAATTAAACTAAAATAAAGTGCAACGAGAAAGGGCCAGACAGATCCCCCAAAAGACAAACAGACAGCAGCCAGCGGCAGATAAGCTGTAAACTAATCAAATGAATACAAAGCCCAACACAATAAACCCACAGTAAGGGAAACGTTGGCCATTAATTCGCATTTAATTAGGGTCGGTTTCTGTTTCGATCCGAATCAACGAATATTACAATTTGATTGCGTGCAAAAGACCTTTGTATATCGTCTGGGAGAGAGCCGGAGAGAGCGAGAGTAGTGCGGTGGAGCGGTCCTCATTTGAATTGGATTACGTCGCTATATTGTTGGATATATCTCATTTAGATACACCGTCACAATGATGCTGGTAAGTAGCATATAAAAATCCATAATCGGTACTTGAAAAATTGGGAAAGAATTCCGGGAAATTTAAGGCTGATCATGAATATATAAGGAGCTCTATGGAGTGGAGTGGGGAGAGCACTCAATCTATGAGAAATCACTTAACGATTAAGTGTTTAGAATCATTTAATATCTTTGCAGCCAATAAATGAAATAGTTCTAATCAAATTTCGTGATCAGAGATCAATCCTAATGACATTAGAGTCAATTATTCTGTCAGACAGAGTCGCAGTATAATTAAAAGGTGCCAAAAAGAAGAAAGATGCCCGAAAACAATTTCTATTCCCCTTTGTCTTTTCTCACTGTCCATATCCGAAAGTTGCATATGCCGTATGCAAAATCCCCCACTCAGAAAAAGTTTCTCCATGGCTGCTAATTGAATTACTTCAATTAGTTAAAAGTGAAATATACAGCTGGTTGTCCACGCCCATCTTTGGCACATTTATTCGCTGCGTCGGTCCATCGATCCGTGTGGGAGTTCCGTTCGACGGCTATCGATCCTACAACCTAATCATGAATATATGCATATTCAGTAATTTGATGTGAAGGGTGATTTTGTGACTTTTCGTTTTATTTGGCAAAATCAAATTTTTTTAAAGTCGTTTGCCGAGTCATTTGTGTAATGGCTTTTTAATGCCATTTAATGAATCCATTTCGGTGCTGGACACAACCCGAGACCCAATAAAACAATTTAATTAGCGACATATGAGAGGCATTCGCATTGGCATTCGTAGAGAGATCACAGATGCGTATGCCAGCTACCAATGGAGTTGTTTAACGACCGTTAATCACTCAAAAAGAGTCAAGAGAAGTTGATAAAACCACTAAATGGCGAAGGCTGATTAAGACCGTTAAAAGCGACATATAACGCTTTGACTGTTGGACCCTAAAGTGGCCATAAATGTGAATGGATCTCTGGGTATACTCGCTTAATAAGACCTCTAATCACAGCCTCGTCGGTGATTCAACTCAATTAGTTGGCACACCAGAAAGCGATTGGATTGCTGCCTTGCTGGCAGGTTGCCCAATCGAGCTAGTTACAGGATTTATGTTTTCTTCTGACCCGTATGCAAACCCCACAAAGTTTTTGCCGAACCGAACCGAACTGAACCAAGCCCAAGCCCAAACCCCAAGCATATCCGATTTCAGCTTATGCAATCCACAGTTTATGGCCAAATTCAAATCGACAAGCGACCTGTTCGCCAGCCAAAGTTGAGAGTTTGCTGCTGCGGCCTCAGCTTCAGCCTTCGACTGGACCATGAGCCAGAGTCAGCGCCAGAGTCAGCGCCAGAGCCAAAGCCAGTGACGATACCAGTATGAAGTCCGAGTACCGGGTCGAATCCCAGCCCCATCCTAGTACCAGTACCAGTACCAGTTACAGTCCCATCCCAGCTAGCAAGTCATCAGTGAAGACGTCCCCAAACGCAAGATATGTGCAGATGTCTGCCGTTGTTGACATGCAATAAAATTTCACTTTTCACCATTGCATAATTGCAGTTTGACAATGCTTAAAATTGATTATGCTGCGTTACTTTTCTCTCTCTCTCTCTCTCCTTTTTTCGCATTTACTTGTTTGCCTTGGCAAACAAAACAAAAAAGAAGCTCTGCAGCATTGCAGCTTCCTTGCCCATTTCTGCCCGAAGATTTCACCAGCCCAAAATTAGCCATCGGGTCATAAATCATACAGAGGCAGGCGTCCAGTGTCAAGGGAGGAGGTGTCGAGGCCATTGACTGAAGGATGGTTTTTCGAATTTAATTACAACAACAAATTCAATGAGAAACAAAAAGGGAAAATGTTTCTTCGTCTTTTTTGATGTGTAGGGTTGACTCACCAGAGACTATCCTTTGGGTATGTAGAGACGAAAGCACAGCTATTCCCCAGTCCAGGACTGTAGCTTTAAATATTCGAAATTACTTATACTAACATATATCCAGGATGCGCTTGTGGCTTCAGGCAAATTAAGTGCCATAGAAATCTACAACAATTAACTGGCAAACACTCTCCACAGTTCGCCACTCTCTGGTATCGTATTTTTGAAATAAATAATTTCCAGAGCTTGCAATCTCCCCCACTGAATTTCAATTAGTGTTTTTCAAGTGCCCGCAGGCCACAATTTTCACAGTCATCGATCAGACCATGATGTTTTATTTGCTTATCGAATTTATTGACCCCCTCCTGGCCATTGTCTTAGATTCAGAGTTGGGAGTTTGTAAGGCAAAGAAAAGTAAAAGTGCCACACACTCACTCATGATCGGTGGGGATTCATTCATTCGCTCACAAGATATTCAATTCATGAATTCAGCGAATAAATAATATAAATAAAGTTCAAACAAAAATAAAAAAAAACGCCCGCACACTGAGATCCGAGAGCGTGTACGTACTCGTATATCGTGCCTGCAGGGGCAGATCTGTATCTAAAATCAGACTCTGCACGAAGTTGCGCAATTGTCAAAACTAACGATTTAACATATGATAGATGATGGTGCAGGATGATGATGGATATTGGCGGGTAGGAGAAAACCCCCTCTGCACATCTCGGCACATAAATCAGAGACACCTGAGATCAGTGCCTTACTCCTTACAATAAATACGAGCTGTATATCCTATAATTTGCGATGACACTTGCTGAGAGGCGCGCGCGAGCAGGTGCCCTGGTTAATTGTGGTCATGCAATGCCTCTTAGGAGGAGTTTAGCGCCCGCGTTCGTTGCCTAAGTCTTTTATTTTGTAAGTTGTCTCACTTTTACTCTTGCCCGTTGCACGCTGTACGCCGTACGCTGTACGCTGTCGAAAGGTCAACAGCAGGCCCCATCTAGGCCCCATCTGGCAGTTGTACGCTAAACAGTAAGTGGCACACGACGAGCCACACAGGCACACACACACACACACAATGTAAGCGATTTGCATAATAATATGTAACTATAATAAGTACGTATATATAGACAGGGCAAACAAAGCATTGGAGCTGCGTATAAAAAAAAACATTTACCACTTCAAATGGACACCAGACAACGGTGCAGCAGCCTCATCTTCATACCCCATCTGCGGCTGCAGCCACTGCTTCAGTGCTTCACTGCTTCGTTGGAAGGTAAGGTAAGGTCTTCCTCAAAGACTAGATGCTCGGGCATCGATAAAAGTGAAACCGAAATTACCGAGTACACGGCGCAATGATGCCATTGACATTGCATTTTTGTCTCAACGCGCCCCATTAGATGTACGAGTAAAAGAGCAAAACAAAAACCAAGAGAGAAAAAGAAGATATTTCCACCTCAGATCCGCAAACAATGGGCAGGCAGACATTACGCGAACGCGCCCCGCAAAAATACATAAAAAAAAAGGCAAAAAAAAAACACATTCAAGCCAAAGCCAAAGAAAACAAACAAACACAAATGATTGTTAGATGGAAAAACCTTATAAGAGTAGAGTGTGTTTCGGAAATTTATTGTAATATGCGCACATTGGTAATTTTGTCTTTATTTTTATTATGAAATGCGGCGTGGATAAATAAAAGACACTGCCAGATGGATGCCAGAAAGCGTTGGTCAATCAGCGGAGAGCAGGGCAGAGCTGGCCATTTGGATTTTCACTGGAAGATAGCAGATGAGATGGGAGATGCTGCCAATGTCAGCGAGAGTTTGGCGTGGCGAAAAAAAAAAAACAAAAAACTATCATGGAAACCCGTTTGTAATGGACAGCAGCAGCATCAGCATCATATTATTATTACTATTATGCATAACATCGGCTTGGCAAATTGAATTTGATGCCTACAGAGCGGGCGAAACAATCAAAACTCAGGCCACAACTTGAACTTCGAATGGTTATCATTGATCGGTTCATCAATGGGGCCCCAGCCTGACCTCTGCCCAATCAACTAAAAATATACCAAAAATCTATTGTCTTCGGAGTGGTTCACAGGGCAAACATACGCTACGATCTGCTGTACATATCTGCGAAACCAAAGCCCAATTAAATGCACATAAATATGCAAATAACAGTCTGCAAAATGGACCCTAATCGTATTGTAAACAGCAATGAATTTTGAAAAGATATACCCTCGCTTATAGCGATACGAATATCATATGAATATCTCGTTATTGGTCAATATCCAGAGGCCCAATCAATGCCAATCAAAAGCTCACTTCCATGTCAAAACAGCCTCCATGCGGATCGCATCGGTCGATCACCAAAAGATTAGGTTAATATCTTGACAAAACAATGCCGTAGATCTCGCTCTGGCCAGGGCGCGTCCGCCTCGACATTTGTACACACGTAGAGGTGGGGAGCGGAGCGTCGCATCGTGTGTCGAGTGTGAAATTATGCAAATGCTGGGGGACTTGCTGTCCGCTCTAGAAAGGTGCGTCCCATCGAGATGCTGCTGCTGCTGTGGCTGCGTCTGCGGCTGCTGCAGAGGCCCACACACGCAATTACAGTGGTTTTTTATGAGCCGGTGGACAACAAAGCTTAGTAGCCACAAAGGCAGTTAAAAGCCAATAAAATACTGTAACAAATTTATTGGGAAACAGCGGACGAAAAAAAGACTATCATAGGGTAGGGTAAAGTGGTAATGAAATGCTCGATATGAGTTTTTTGGGTTTGGGTTTTGGGTTTATCAGCTGTCAGCTGGGGCACACTTGTTCTTGTTAGCATCGGCGTTTTAGGTTTTTGGTAGTACATTCTGTTCCATAAACTGTGTCTTAATCATACCCTATTTACACCCTCATCCATCGTTTATTTGGGGCGTGAACCTAAACCAAAAAAAACCATAAAGCATCGTTCAGGGCTTTTTTATTAAAAAAATGTATATATAACACTAATCTTTTGATTACAATTTATGCTGTTGATTTTTATGACATGACACTGCCCGCGGTCGTGGGGATTACAACATAATTTGAACAGCATTAATATTTATGCTGGCCCACATACATTCGGAAAACTCGTAAACGGCAATTTGCACCGACTCGCCAATTGGCAGATGGCACGGGGAATGTATTGGAATGGATTGCGTTATGCGGTGAAGCTGTGTAACATCCCATACCCCCAGCCCCATCCCCATTACCCATACCCATCCAGAGCCAGAGCCAGAAAGACAACTTTCGGGCGGGTTTACGAGTAATATTCGTATTCGGGTCTTATCACACATCCCGCGGCAGCTGCTTAATAATGCGTGTCTGGTGGATGCCACAGCCGTTGGCAAGCAACCGCAGGCCTTGGGCAATCCAATCCTCCTCTGGGTGCACCAGCAGTCGAATGCAAAATGCAAAATGCATCTGCAGAATGTGAAATGTGAAATGTCTGAGGCGAAGCGTGAAATTAATCACACAATCAAATCACACAGAGACCCATATACTCGCGGACTCGCACTCGAGCAGCGCAACTCCCTCCCCCGCACAGCTGACAGCTCGCATTACTGGCAAACGAATATGATGTACCATCTTTTTTTATTGTTCGACTGGAACTGGGTTACCCAGTCCACACCGCCCGCCCTCCCCCCTGCCGGTCGAAAGTGAGTCGTCTTTTGGCTGGTCAGTGGCTTATGCAATTGCCGCTTCTCTTCTCCAGTTTCGGGCCTAGGGTGAGATTTTCTTAAGCTTAGAAAACACTTTCAACCCACACATCACACACCGCAATGCCGCAAATACAATGGCAAATAAATAATATGGACACCTTGGGGCCATTATCCATTGAGTTATTGCTAATTTATTGACGTTGCTCGATTGTTAAATCACTTTTTACACATTTTTTTGCCGATTGTTTTGCGGCCTGCGGCTTTTGCGGAACTCAGCGGCCACTAATATAATTATGTATAATTAAAGGAGTTTTATAGAGGTGCCTTCTGGCATTTTACTTGCTTGTTAAATGTGTATTTACCATGCGAATACTTTCAGCTCCGGCTCAGGCCAGGCCACTCCTCAGAAAATTAAAACGGAAATTTGCGGCGAGGGGAATGGAATTGGGTTGATTATTATGATGATGCGATGAGCTGTGAACTTTTCTATGCGAAGTGTGTAATTCAGCGTTGAATTAATCAGCGCGGCACATATCTGAAGAATTGTTTACAAATTGGGAATATGTATTTTCTGTTGTGTAATTGTTGGCCAGATGGATGGAATCCAACTCACGCAGAGAGTGTAAAAGAAATCATTAGAAATCTTGCAATATAACTTACCCTTTAATTTGATCAAATATCATTTAAAAAATGCCAAGAAACCAACATTAATCCCACACTAAATCATGAATACAAAAGCCATACTAAAACCTTTCATCAATGAAACTTTTAGGGAATTTTCCACACAATTCGAGCAAATATTTACCATTAAGCACTTCCGCAAAAGTTGCATGAAACATTCGTGTTTTCAAGTGGCAAACATGGCAGGGAAATATGTACTCCACCCTCTTCTGCCCCCTCCTCGTTCAATAGCATAAAAGAAGTGGAAATGGAAATGCCTGCTGCATGCAATTGTGTGTGTGTGCGTGTGTGTGGAGGCGATGGAGCAGATTTCCAACTGCCTTCGCCTGACCATTACAATTTATGATGATTACTATTTTATTTTTTTTTATTTTTCCCCCTACGAGCACTATGCAGAGGTGTGTGCTGCTCTCCTCTGCTTCCTCTGGCCAACAAAGACAGCCGGCAACTTGATTAGCTTAACGCCAATGCGAGTATCCCATCCCCAGCCCCAGAGACTTGACTGACTGACTGCCAGACAGACTGTCCATGTGCCGGGCCTGACTGACTGTCCGCCTGAGACTGTCTTAATGCCAGTGATGATGATTTCCATAGTGAAATTGACGCAAATGAGCAACAAAGCAGACAACGCTATTGATTTTGGCCAAGCCAAAAAAAAGGAGCCAGACAGAGAGAGAGAGAGACAGAGAAGGAGAAGACAGTCAAGCGAAAAGCAATGACTGACTGGACAGCCAAAAATTATTTCCCATCAAAGACTTATGACTGGTTTCGGGGATATCCAATTGACTGGCGCAGTCAAGCTGCAGCCATAATGCTTTGCCCTTTGGCAGAACTTGAACTCTGGCCTTGGCATGGGCGGAAGACATTTGCGACGGCTGCCGCTGCTGCTGCTGCTGCCCCTCCAACCTCCATGAGCTCTTCCCATTTAGATGGTGAAAAATTATGGTTATTTTCCCGCATCGCACTTGCCGCAGAAAATGAGTCAAGTCATGTTCAATATTATATTGATGAACATCAAAGGAGAGAAAAGACGAGACGCCTGCGGCTATTTGGAAAGTTTCGGTGCGATCTGGCGTCAAAGGGTGTCTGTGTGGAGTGTTGAAAGATTTAATCACTGGCCGAAGATTAATGATCCCTGGCTGTGCGTTACAATGATTTTCATAATTTTTTTTAGGAGTTCAACCGCAGTGAAATTTCTCCTAGCAATTGTTTATGCAACATCGATCGCATCCTTGAACTTTTCTTTGCTTTTCATTTCAACTGCTGGCGCTGCTGTTGCGCTGATTAAATAATTTCCAAGCCAGCCCAGCCAGCCAAGCCAGCCACGATGCTAAAAATTTAGCCAACAAATGCGAAGAAATGCAAAGTGCCAAGTGGCAACAACGTGACTGCCAGATCCCGATCCCGATGCCGGGCAGGGGCACCCTCACAAACGAAACCCCGAAACGAAACCGAAACCAAATCAAAATCATCACCACAGTCGGCATCAGCATTAGTCTCAGCCTCAGCTTCAGCTTCAGCCTCCATCTCCATCTCCAACTGCAGCCCCAGCGACAGGTGGTCGGATAGGTTTGCTTTCGCTTGCTGCAGCGCCTTGTTGATGCAACAATTAGCCTAAACTTTCGGCCAGGTCCAAACAAGCGTTTCAAGCCAATTTGCAAAATGTTTTGCCACAGCCACAGCCACAGTTAGAGCCGAAACCCAGAAATCAATCGTCAAGCTGTTGAAAATGGGAAATTGTGCAAAAGACGCAGACCCGAACCCAAACCAAACCCCCAACGCAGCCAGTCAGTCGCTGCCCAAACCCACAGATCCCACACAGATGTGATCCTCCTGGCCAGGGCAATGAGTGGGCACTCTTGCTGGCCAGCCCCAGCTATGATTAAGTGTAATGCGTTATGATTTGCCGTCTGCGCAAATGCCGGAAAGATTACACACTCGCGATTCGTTGTGGAAAAGCTAAGGGGTCAGCATGGGTTACCCCACATGCATTTTCGAGCGTGTTGCACAAGTGTATTTGGTCGGGGTGAGTGGAAAATTCACCAGACACTAGAGTTTTCCACTGATGGCAGAATTTGGAAAGATTTTTATATGTAGTTCAAAGAAAGAATCCCTGGGAATGGTTACAGATCTTTGGCCCATCCAAAATTAAGCCAGTGTCGTTTGATGTCACAGACAATTAACCCAAGGGCCCAAGCCGAGACCCAAGGGCTCGGAACCCAAGGTGGCGCCAGCGAACCGACGACGACGACGACCATCAATTGCCATTAAATGAAATGAGGCCTGAAACTTTGACGGAAAATCGCTGCAGCGATTAGGGCAGTGGAACGCTCAAACTTATTAAGTTATTAAATTTGAAGACAAGCCATTAAATCATCCGAGTCCAATGCTAATGGTTCCCCCCATGCCCATCTTTCGATTCTCCCATTTTCAGAGACATTTCAACAGCAGCCTGCCCTGGGCGCTTCTGGTGCTGCTCTTGCTGGCCGCTCTCACGCTGCAGTTGGCCAGCGCCGGCGGGGAGCAGGAGGAGGGCGAGGGCGAGAGTGCCAGCACCGAGAGCAATGAGATCATTCCGCGCGAGGCCATCCAGAAGTTGGACTACTCCGTGCGCCAGGCGCTGCTGCGGGCCATCGACAAGCTGGAGCAGGAGGAGGCGGCCGCCTCCGCAGCTGGCGTGACGGAGAGCGGGGAGAGTGGCAGCCCCAGAAGCAGCGGATCGCGAACGACTCTGGCACGGAACGAGGCCACCACACTGCCATCGCCACGGGAAAAGGACGAGATCCTCGAGGAGAGCACCAACAAGGCGGAGTCGGATTCGGAGCCGGAGGCTGTGGTGCCCACCGTGCAGTTCTACACGGCCACCTTCGACGAGCGGAATGCCCAGGAGCAGCTTCTCTCCTCCTTCATCGATCGCTCCAAGCTGTGGAAGAAGACCACGGTGCTGAGGAAGCCTAGCGCCCTCTCCATTGAGCCAAGGTCCGTGGAGGCGGGTCCGGACAATCGCCAGCTGACACGCAGCGTGGACTCCGGCTCTAGCTCCGGATCGGGGTTGGGGTCCGTGAGCAGCAACGAGATCTCCCACGACGGCAGCCATGAGATCAAGTTCGAGATCAGCAATGTACGGAGGGTGGAAACCACCACAGCGGCAACCACCACCACCCCAACGACGAGTACAACCTCGACGACGCCTCGTCCACGCACCACACGGCGTCGTCCCACAACAACAACCACAACGACAACGACCACAACGACACCCAGACCCACACACAACGAGGACGGGGAGAACATTGAGCTGGTCGACAAGCAGGACATTCGCATCCAGGAAGCGCCACTCGTCACGGCCTTCACGGTGGATCTCGATGAGCGGGGAACAGCGCAAAAGTTCCGTCCCCTGGTGTCCGGGGCACAGCGTTCCAACTATCCGCAGCAGCAGCAGCAACAGCAGCATCCACACATTGGACCCACCATCACCAAGCTTAATGTGCTAGAGACGGAGCCACCGGCCATACCGCTGCCCACACAGTACCCGCCCACCGGCAGCAGTAGCAGCAGCAGCACCACCACCACGCAGGTCAGCACGAGTACGAGCCTCAGCAATGGATTCTCCACCACGCCCGCATTCCTGGCCAGCTCCACCGCCAACTATGCCAAGGTAGGATACCCAGAAGCCGCCCAATTGAAGTCTAATCCTTGAAACTCTTTGCAGCAGGAGCCACTCACCGATCTGGCGGCGCCGCCCAGCGTAAACAACTATCTGATCGAGCGGCAGCGTGCCCTGGAGCAGCAGATCTACCAGCTGAAGGTGCAAGCACAGCAGCAGCAAGCGCTGATCTTGCGCCAGTTGAAGCTGCTGGAGGAGCAGAGCCAGAGCCGCTTCCAGGGCGCACCACTTGCGCAATCTAGCACATTGCAGCCACAACAACAACAGCAGCAACAGCAGCAACAGCAGCAACAACAGCAACAGCAACAACAACAGCAGCAACAACAACAGCAGCAACTGCCCCAAGTCCAACAGCAGCAACAGCAGCATCAACATGGTTCGTTGGAGGCCATTCAGACGCTGCAACCACCGGCTGTGGGTTACTCCATAAGACCTTCGGTGGAATTTATACCCAGCACACATACCAAAACTGTTATTTATCCCACATATCCAATTGAGCAGCAATTGCCGCTCCGCGATGCCGTTTCGGGTCATAAATTTTCCCTGAACAACGGCAATAGCCAAAGTAACTACCAGAAGCTGCCGGGCCCCGCCCCCTCGAATGCAGTGCAGCAGATTTTCCAAAACTTGCAGCAATCATTGCAGAAATCGAATGAAAATTCCATCAATAACAATCTGCAGGTACAGCCCTCGAATCAGTTCAACTTTGCCCCCGCGGAGGCGTCGCACCAGCAGGCACTGCCTCAGCACAGCTTCAAGCAATTCCAACAGCCCCACCAGCAGCAACAACAACAGCAGCAACAACAGCAGCAACAGTTGCTGCTCCCCAGCTACGTGAGCAGTGCTCTTTACCAGCAGCAACAGCAGCAGCAGCAACATAGGGGACGCCAGTTTCGCCAGGAGTCGGGAGTGGGCAACTTTGGCCTGAATTCAAATGTGGAGATCCAGCCGAGCAACTCCTTTGCCACCACCATCGTCAGCCAGCAGCAGCAGCAGCAGCCCAACTCGAATCCCAATCTCGACAATCAGAACTTCTATCGGCAGCATCTGACGCCACAGCTGAGCAATCAACTCCAACAGAATGCTCAGCAGTATCTGCAACAGCAGCTCCAGCAGCAGCAGCAACAGCAGCAGCAGCAACAGCAGCAACAGCCACAGGTCGGCGATGCGACATCCAACATTAGTCCAGGTAATGCACACTTCAAGAGTAGAGAAACGAGCAATCATCTTAGTCAATTTAGCAGCTTAAGAAACCTTGATGAATTGAAAGTAATCAGTAAAGTTTTAGCTCTCAACCATGGGATACCACAGTTCGCCTCACAAAATCTGCACTTCAATGGCGCCTTCTGAGCACTTGCACCACCAGCACCAATCCAGCACCAGCACCAGCCCTACCCGCCCGATGCACCCCACAAAAGGCACAAAACAAAAATGTACCTCCAGCAATATGCACCTCCGTTTCTGGTCCCGTTCCCGTACCCGTACCTGTTTCCTTCCTCCCCCAGAGCCAGATGTCCACCGCCCTTCCCATCCGGTTGAATTAAGTTTTACGTACAACATCTGTGTAAATATTCATTCTATTTTAAAAGTTAAGGATTAAGAACTAAGCAAAATTAAAGCCCCGACCAGGAAGGGCAAGGGTAAGACCAGTGGAGTTGAAGCGAAGGAGGAGGCCATGACGATTTTATGGTGCGGCAATTGGCAGAGCAAAATGTTGAAATGTAACAATTATTTATTTTTTATGTGAATAAAGTTTATCTTAAAGTACGGCTGTGGTTTCAATCAACCATACCCAAATACCAATGCAAACAGTCCATTCCATATTATAAGCTCATTTAGTTGACTTTATTTGCATATTTAGCCCAAGGCGAATTGGCTGGGAAACAGAAGTGGCAGTAGTAATGCGAGAGTGCGCTGCTTTGTGTCCGTAAATGGATCCGGCACAACAATTGGACGAACACTGCCAGGCTGAGAACCTGTGGAATGAAAAACATTAAGAATCCATAGCTTCAGGATATGTTTTACCCTTTGAACTCACCCTCAATGGGGTCGCTCAGAACCCCAGGCTTCGCATGCACAACGGCAAAAAGAGCCACACAAAGCAGCGCCAAACGAAGAAACATGATGATTGTAATTGCAGAAGAATTGCTGTTCTTGCACTGCTGTCAACCTGGTTATGCTGGGCTTTTATACTACCACCTACAACTAATGGTCTAATGACATGCAAATGGACAAAGACATTTGTGGAGTAACTCCAAGAGCTCATCAATTAGCTTAAGCTTATCGCAAAAATGTTTCGAAAGCCTTGATCTAAATAAGTGTCAATCATCTGTAGGCCTTGTAACATGTCTTACGATAAGACTGTTCCATGTGGAAGACTTTCCTATTATATTTAATGTTTCCAGCATATTTTCAAATATTGCTTACACTTTGGCGCCCGATTTTCGACTAACAGCAATTTCCGAGTAGTCGAACTTCTCCCATCTCCAAGTGCTTTCGCTGATATCGTCATCGAGGCAAAGTCTTCGCTAAGCTCAAAAAACTGCAAAATCAGCAAATTCAAAAATAGCCTGGCGTGCATTGCGCGTAAATCCAATTGGGCGACATTTAAGCTTTCAAATGGATAACAACTCAAATATATATTTATAGCAATCGCTTAGTCTGCGTTCAGAAAACAACGTAGCCGTGCAGCAGTCGCGAGTGGGAGTGTGCATCGCGCTGAAAGCAGAACTTGTTTATAAACAACTGCAGAGTGACAAGTGTCGTTAATTGCATTTAAAAACTGCGACCAACATGTGGTCGCGCAGCAGCAGTGCACGGCGGCAGGTCAGCGCACCCGACAGTGATCCCGAGAAGGTATTGAGGCAGGTGCAGGAGCTTAGCGATTGGCTGGTCGCCAATCCAAACGTCAACGGCTGCAATACCTTCGAGAATTTACATTTCTTTCTGCGTACCTCCAAATACGATGTGGAACGCGCCAAGAAGAAGCTAAAGACATTCTATCAGATGCGTGCAGAGCGCACCGAATGGTTCGATAATCGCGATCCCCAATTGCCCGAAATCCAGGAGTTGCTGCAACTGGGCGTGTTTCTGCCCATTGGCCCGGACTCGGAGAAACGGATGGTTGTGGTCATACGGACTGCGGCTCATGATCCCAAGAAGCACACACAGAACAACGTCTTCAAGGTGAGTCACGCAGAACGTGCCAAAATTGCGATTTACACATATTCGACCTTTGTTTTGTATTCCATATAGACCAGCAAAATGATATTGGACTTGCTGTTGAAGCTCGATCCCGATAGCTGTGCTGAGGGCATGGTGGCCATACTGGATATGCAGGGCGTTCAACTGGGCCATGCCCTGCAACTGAATCCCAAGCTTATCAAGCGGTCGGTGGAGAGCTGGACAGCCTATCCCTGCCAGCCCAAGCTATTGGAGTTTACCAACGCTCCGCGTCATGTGAACATCTTTCTGAATACTTTCCGGTGCTCTTGTCTGCTGGCCTTCCTATACATTCCGTAGTTAATTTGAGTGATATTTCAGGATCTTTATGACACCCAAGATACGGTCCCGAGTGATGGTTCGCCGCGAGGGAACCTCTGTGAACAGTCCGCACTTGCCAAAGGAACTGGGCGGCGAGGGTCCGAGCTACGCAGAACTCGCCATTAAATGGAAACGGTTGCTGGAGGAGAATTCCGATTTCTATGTGGAGCTAGACAAATACAAAAGCAAACTCAAGTGATTTAGGTTAACGGGCCGGCGGCGACGACAAAGATAAGCCAGCGATTAGCCAAATACTATAGATTAGGGCGCCTCATTTTCGATGCGTAGCAGTTCGCGTTCGCCCGGCCAGCAGTTGTATATTCCTTAATTCCATACAAATATCATACAAGTCGTACATACTCGTGTATTGTATACATATATCATGTTCATCATGCTAATCTGATTATAAGCTAATCAATTCATCTGGATTTATATATATTTTTTTTTTTGCAAGATATGGAAGTCAATGTACGATACAAAAAAATGTTGCGTAGCCATGGGCTGTATTCATAATATTCTCTTTATTAGTATAAAACGTATCAAAAATGTTTATCAAGTCTACAATTATTATCATTTATTGGGTGCTGTCGAGCGTCGCCTCACAATGCTATTGCTGGGAGGGTTTTGGCCTTACAAACAGTCGATCAGTTCCATCCGATGCACGACGCCGAGCTCCGAGCTATACATATGCGATAGTTTAATAGTAATAAATACATACATACATTTGGGCGAAAAACGATTAAACGCATTGTGTTTGTTGTGAACATAATGTTGTTTGTTTTGGTTTTCTTTCCATAAGCGGGGGGTGTGTGTGTGTGAGTGTGTGTTTGTGTGCGGGTTATAGAAGGCGTGCTGCTGTTCTCTGGTTTTCTCTTTTACATATACATACACACATATATATATATATATAGATAAATATGCTATATATCTCTTAAAGTTACGAGTCACATATCAAAATATAGTAGTTGCTCCATCATGTTCATCATCAGCATTATATTAGCCCGCTATAGTTAGTGTTTTGTATGTTTTGTTTTTAGTGGGACCACACGAAGCACTGAACGAAACTTAAAATCTATGCATAAACGAGGAAATTAAAGAAAAATTAAAGGAAAGGCGGTAACTAACTAAAGCGTAATACACAAGTCTACCAGAGCGCTCCCATCACAAGTCCAATTGCATGCCGATGCCGATACCACCGCCACCGCCAGTGTCCACCACTTGCAGTGATTCCTATATCTGCCGCTCGTCCTTTGCCGTCAGCTTGTCGATGAGCTCCTGCAGCGGGGCCAGCTCGCGCCGCTCGATCAGATTGAACTCTTGCACAAAGAATATGAAATGCTTAAAGGACGTATTCAGATGGGCCTCCTCGCCCAGCGTCACCACCTCGGAGAAGTGCTGATGATAGATGTGGGCATAGACCCTGAACAAACGCTTCAGTATGGTCTTGGCGGAGGTGAGAAAGTTCTTTGGAAACGGCACACCAATTTTCGATGGAAACAGCGTCTCATCGTCCAGCTGGTCCTGCACCCAAGTCATCAGATAATCAATGTACTTGGGGGCGCTGCACTTGATGGGCTTCTTCACGGTCAAACCGTCAGCCCAATGGTATTCATATTTCGGACCAGCCGACATAATGCCACAGCTCTCCTCCGTGCAGAACTCCGTGATCGTGCCATACAGCATGTTTATCTGATTGAAAAAGTCCACAGCTAATGGGGGGAAGGAAAGGGAGAAGGAACAGATGTATGTATGTATAAGACGATTACTAATAATTACTCACTGTTAACGGCCACCCATTCGTTGAGATCCTCGCCGTCGGGCAGAGCCACTGCATTGCGCAGGTTACCGGATCCCAGAGTGGCGGCGGCATGCTTCATAAGATCATATTGATGCGTGCCTTCCGGTATGTTCTTCTTCGGCTTAAAGGTTTTGCTAGAACGCGAACCGCTGCAAATATAAAAGCCGATTAGTATTGGGCCCCAACAACCCCAAGTGGCTGCCACACGGGTGGAGGTGGGCAGAGGAGACAAAGGCCCCCACACCACACAGACCACTGACGAGGAACAAAGAACACAATGGGGGTAGCCGAAGCTTTCTTTGTTGCAGCCCGGGCCTTTTGCGGTTTCGGCTGCACTTGAGAACCATTTTTCCATGAACTTACAACAAAAAGTCCATTGCCATGCAGTGTTCCTGTTGCCTCTGGGGTCTGTTTTGCCTTTCACTCGGGCCCACCAAATTCGTCTGCTGCGTAGCCTGTTCCGGCAAGTGCCGCACCGTTCTTAAGAAATTTCTGTGACGTGTCAGTGAATTAGCTCTTGGATATTCGCACAATTGATTCGAAATAATAATCTACAAAAATTGCTGGCAATTGTGGCAGGTTTTGTGGGCAGGCACAGGCAGTGGAAAATCGGGTAATGCGGCCACTGATGTCGACAATTGGGGCGAGCACAGCTGGTGGATTGTATTCTAGGATCTGTATATTGCAACTTATTATTTTTGTTGTGTCTATAAACGCAAAAATTGTTATAAATAAAAATAAAATTGGTTTCACACACACTGCAGTGCTCTTGTGGTGTTGGTGCAGAGTCCAGTGTGACCAGTGTGGCAGCGGAGCTATCGAAATAATATATCGACTTGACAATTTCCTATTATCGCAGAAAAATATCTTTATCATGTCGATATATTGATTTCGATATATATTTCACATCCATACAACCGCATTTCGGATGTGTGTACACACTGTCATTCGAAACACGTGGAAAAACAACTGTAGAAGAACCTTGCGTGCATAATTTTATTTTTCACCTAAAAAAGGCATATTTACGGCCTAAATATGGTAAATATGCAACTCACAGTCTAATGACACATAGTTTAATGAAAAATGTGCCAAAGAGATAAAACCAGATATAGGGAACTAACCTAAAGCATCGTATCGAGTGGAGCACCCCACCTCCGAAAACACATGTGCTGCCACCACACCATAATTGATTATATTTTTCATTTGCCATTCCAGTCGATCCTGTATGTTCTGTACGAACATGCGGCTGGCTTCTCGGTCTTCTCCGTCAAGGAGTTTGAGGAGGTCTCCATGTTCCTTCCCCAGGTGGAGTCCTCCGTCACGGATTTCGCCAAGTTCAATTCGATTGTGAAGCTGGCTGGCTTTGCTCCCTTCAAAACGGCCATTGCCGCCTTGGAGAACATCAATGCTATTTCCGAGGGCATTGTGCCCCAGGATTTGCTGCATTTCCTTGATGACTTCTTCGCTAAGCTGAAGAAGAAGAAGTGCACGCTGGGCATAGCCGATGCGAAGCTGGGAGCTGCCATCACCGAAGCAATTGGTGTACAGTGCAGCCAAGTTGGTGTCGTGCCTGAGATTCTGCGCGGTATACGCTTCCACTTTGCCAAGCTGGTCAAAGGTAGATCCTAAAATATCCAAGAAATGCTTTCCTTTTGCTTAACCCTTCCTTGTCCTTTTGCAGGATTCACCGATCAGTCGGCGGGTGTGGCACAGCTGGGTCTGGGCCACAGCTACTCGCGTGCCAAGGTCAAGTTCAACGTCCATCGTTCGGACAACATGATCATTCAGTCGATTGCCCTGCTGGACCAGTTGGACAAGGATGTGAACACGTTCTCCATGCGGATACGCGAGTGGTACTCCTACCACTTCCCAGAACTGGTCAAAATTGTTCCCGACAACTACATGTTCGCCAAGGCAGCCAAATTCATTAAGGACCGCAAGAACTTGACCCAAGACCTGCTTGAGGACCTTGAGAAGATTGTGATGGACTCGGCCAAGGCACAAGCCATCATTGATGCCGCCAAAATGTCCATGGGCATGGACATATCCATTGTGGATCTGATGAACATTGAGATGTTCGCAGAGCGAGTTGTCAAGCTTTCTGAATACCGCAAAAAGCTGTCCACCTATTTGCACAACAAAATGAACCTGGTGGCTCCCAATCTGCAGTCGCTGATTGGTGATCAGGTCGGTGCTCGCCTCATCTCGCATGCCGGCAGCCTGACCAATTTGGCCAAATACCCAGCATCGACAGTACAAATTCTGGGCGCTGAGAAGGCGCTCTTCCGCGCCCTCAAGACCCGCTCTAATACCCCCAAATACGGTTTGATCTATCACTCTTCGTTCATCGGGCGGGCTGGCCTCAAGAACAAGGGACGCATCTCGCGTTTCCTGGCCAACAAGTGCTCGATTGCCTCCCGCATCGATTGTTTCCTGGATCAGCCGACCAGCGTGTTTGGCGAGTCCCTAAAGCAGCAGGTCGAGGATCGGCTCAAGTTCTACGAGTCGGGAGATGTGCCGCGCAAAAACATTGAAGTCATGAAGGAGGCCATCGAGGCGGCTGAACAAGAAGCGGGCGCCAATGGAAATGCGGCTCCCCAGTCTGAGAAAAAGAAGAACAAGAAGAAGAAGCGCGCAGCTGGCGAGGATGAGACCGAGGCGAATGGCTCCAGCAATGGCAATGGAGCTGCCGCCGCCGATAATGGCAATGGCAACGATGACGGGGAGCCCAAGAAGAAGAAGAAAAAGAAGAACAAAAACAAGGAAGCCGTGGAGGCGTAATGACCACAGCCCCACCTCAACATTCAGCTTAGTTTTAGGTTCCCAATATGGTTTTACTTTATACACATTTTTCTTCTGTATTTTCATTTAGTCGCCACTTAAATTTCAATAAACAATTATGTACTCGGGGTATTCCCTCAGAAAAACAACCGAATGATCTCACATCACTACCCGACTGGGAGCAGTCCAACAACAACTTAAGAAAAACAATAGTCGAGCAGCAGAACAAGTATTTTGTTAATGGATTCGTGAGTCTCAAGCTGAGCATAGCCGAGTCAAGCCACGATCCTAGTCTCGTGTCGAACAGCGCACCACATGTATTTTGTTTTAGAATTCACCGGCATTCTCTTTTGTCGTTGGGTGGCGTCGGTTGTCGAAGAATAAATCCCGAAGCAATAGTAGCTAGTTGGGAGGAAGGTGATTGTCGTGCTAAATTATTGTTTTCAATTGTTTTATATTTCATATTTTGTTTTACATACAATTTTTATATACAGACACATCGTAACTTTAACTATTGCTAAAAATTGTTTGATTTCATTATTGGTAGTATTTTTTTTGTTTGTTTTGTTTAACAATTTCAATGATGGATTGGATCGATCCGATCGATCGTTTGGCCGTCCGGTCCGTCCAAGAGTGTTGTGCTAACATATCCATTTTGGTACAACCATTTATATTTCGTTTCCTTTCTGTATTACTTATTGCATTTAATGACAACATTCATTCAAAAATTCCGAGTGGACACATGGGACGGATGTAGAATTCATATGTGATCGTGATCGTAGGGTTAGTATCGTAAGGAAGGAAGGACAGGGCCAGGGCAGGGCAAAGATTAGAACTGCAATTTGTTTAACAATCAATCTAGAAACAAACACTGTATGCTGCATACAATTAATACAGCCAGGAATAGGTGTGTTGATAGAAGACATATATAGATGGCCTCGTTTAGCGTGGAAATGTGCGGAAAGTGCGCAGAAGGAAGGTTGCGGATGTGTATAGAAGGGAGTAAGTTAATTAAGCTAAACAATATCATTGAAACAAATCAAAGGCCGACGCGCTGCCATTGTTGTTTACGTTATTATTATTATTATTGCTGTGATTCTGTGACGGCTGCTGTTGCTGCTGCTGCTGCTGGAACGCTCCGAAGTTGGCAAATGCTGCTTGGTTCTGTGGAATGTTTGACTGCTGTGGCTGCTGCGCACCAAACAGATTGGGGCTGGTCAGGGGCGAGAGGCCGGTAAAGCCGCCCCCGGTCGTCTGCACATTCAGCGGCGCCTGTGTCTTGGCCGGACTCTGTGTCTTTAAAGCATTCATCGATAGAGCGGGCGCATTGGATTTGCCCGTTTTGCTCATCAGCAGATTGTCCAGATCAATGTTGAGGTTACCGGCCTTCAGATTGCCCGACCAGGTGGCACCCACATTGGCTGCCTGAGCGGCGGCACTGATCGGAGCCGGGCCACCGCCATTCGTGGTGTTATTATTGTTGGAGATGGACATGGGCTGGAGCAGACTATTGCCCGTGACGGCAGCAATGGGCGGCAACATATTGTCTGCAAAGATCGGATGGAATATAGTCAAATGTTATAGTGTTTGCCTCATAGAATAGTATGAATATAGGTCGTTAAAAAAAGAAGCTTTTGTGTATGTGTAGCTGTAGCTGTGACTGTGGCGTCGAATAGAAGTGTGTGTGCGAGACTACTGACTGGATGATGTGATGTGTGTGATCTACTACTGGAAGCATTGATGGAGCACAGGCGCGTGCAAATTACATAAACAAAAGATACGATAGATAGTTCTCGTACTCGTAACTCAGTTACAGGTTGTGCTGCTGTACGGTTGCTGCTGCTGCTCTAGATTGATTGTTTTGTTCAGTTTTGATCGTTTACCTAGTGCGTCCGCGGCTGCGGCTGCGCCACAATGCCCGGTATATTGAGAAATGCTTTTCGCAATCCAATCGATCGCATCGCATCGCAATTGAAGGAATGTTGTGTACATACAATATGTATGTTTTGTTTTGGTAACGAAATCATATCCGATTTTGTGTGTATATGCATATATGCAGTGTGGGAGGAAAGTAAACAAATAAATAAAAGAATAGACATAGTTGAAATGAAATAAATCTGTTGATCTGTATATAGTACCTGCGTTGCAATTGCCTTAGGTTTTTGTTTTTTTGTTTTTTTTTTTTTTGGTTTGGCAAGCTCCGGAATACATAAAGATAGTTCCAAGAGTTACACATACATAAATATGCTATTTATATCAGCTTACAACTACTATGAAATGTTAAAGGACACCGTGTTATCAGATGAATACTCTGTATATCTGTTTTTGTTTGTATATCTAAGTTGCTGCCTGCTCCATGGCCGCTGTATCGAAGAGCTTGTAGCATGTGCTCAGTATTTGTTGGGCCAGGTCGCGGCACTCATCGGAGGTCTCGCCGCCCACCAAGGGCGAGCGCACGAAGTCATCCAGCCATCGCTGGAGTTCGTTCAGCGACTCGGCAAAGTGCTGGGTCAGCACCTGGCTGGGCGTGGTGACCAGAGCGATGCCAATCAACTGCAGCGTGGCCGCACGCACTCGGGCCTCGGCATTGAAGCGCACAAAGGCGCATAGATCGAAGATCTCGCGTGTCATCATCGGCAGCAGCGTACAATTCTGCGAGCACATGACCAGCACGGACAGCGTGTGCAGCAGATTGACCAGCACCTGGGTGTCAATGTTGTGCGCAATGTCCTCGTACTTCACGTACAGCATCTGGCGGGTGCGCTGACCACGCACCAGGCTGAAGAAGAAGGTTCCGGCCACGGTATGGTATGGGTTCGCCCGCTCCTGTTGCCGCCCCGATTGGGTACTGGGTTTGCTAAAGTACCGACGTGTCTTTGACCGCAGGCGCTCACGTATGATCCGCTGGGCGGCAGCCAGACGCGCCGCTGGACTGTCTTCCTCGTGCTGCAGCTGAAATTTGCGCGGCTGCTTGGCCGCTGGCGGCACAATGTCCAGCGATACACTCTCATCTGTTTGGTTAATGTCGCCCGAAATTTCCTTGGCAGCTGCTGCCAGCACCTGAAGGATCAGGATGCGCACATTGGCCGCATAGCAGGAGTTGTCTGTGTGAAACTGTCTGCACAAGTACTCCGCACAGGGGCCGGGATGGGCGACACAAATGGCCACGCAACAGTTGAACTGCGTGCGCTCAAAGTTCTCGAAATAGAACTGCATTTCCAGGGTGATGAACAGTCGGATGAGGTCCAGGGCCAGCTTGGCATCGTGCCGGGCCAGCTGGCCGCGTATGAGCTGTTCGGCTGTGCCCAGAGCGCCCTCAAAGACCTGATAGTTATCGCATTTGGAGCGAAGGACCTGCAGCAGGTCTAGCAGGAACTTGGGTCGCTGCTCGAGGGTGTTGGAAATGTCATTGGACATGTCGTACGGCTTCAGGCCATCATCATCATCGTCCGAGTCCAATGGCGGCTCATCATCCGAGTCCAACTGCATTTCGAGATTCTCTTTTGCCACCGACGGTTTATCCTTCGGTTCTATTGGGCTGTGAACGGGTTTCTTTTCTTCTAGAGTGCCCATGAATTGTCGCAGATGTGACTCCAATTGCTGGACATGCTCTGGACTGGGTCTTTCGTCCAATTCGGACTTGCGGGGGCACTCGAACAGAGCCAACTCATCGAACTCCCCAAAAATGTGCCATTCCCGCGTCTCACGCATGAAATCGTAGTTAAAGCGCAAGCGATCCTCGTCCTTGCAGTCCGGCTGCTCCATAAAGTTGAACAGCAGTTCCACTGTCTTCATGCCCACATGCCGCTGCAGGGCATCCGGCGACTCCAGATGATGGCTCAGTCCGTCGTGCAGCTGCCGCTTGCTGTCCAGACCCACCTCCAGTCCCTTGAACAGACACTTGCCGGACAGCACGAGCAGCTTGGATATGGCCAAGTGCTCCTGGCCGCTCAGCTTCTGCAGGGAGATGCGCTTCGACCAGATGCCCAGCAGCTGGTTGAAGAGCACCTGCAGCTGGGCGGGAGCCACTACATGCAAGTAGGACACCAGTGGGAAGAGCTGTTTATTTTCGCTGGGCGTCCGCTGCAGGGGCAGCTTTTGCAGCAGGCAGTGCTTCCAGTGGGGGGCGGACTCCAGGGCAGCAGGTCCAAGCAGCACATAGAGATTGAGTTGGGCCGAAAGGGCGGACTGAGCGACCTTAAGGCAGGCTGCAGGCTCCAGTTCAAGCAGGATGCATTCGATCACTTTTCGTCCGCTGGGCGCCACGGCATAGTCCTTCAGCACACGCAAGAGATCCTCCAAGGTGGCGGCATCATGGAAGTGGTTGATCAGCTGCGAGAGCAGCCACGAGTACGGCGACAAGTCAAAGTATTCCGAGCTTTCCTCGCACTGCAGCACAAAGTGCAGGGACCGCAGCCACTGGCGCAGCAGGAGATGTCCATAGCGAGTGGGGGCGTACATCTCCGGCAGCTGGCGACCCAGTCGGTTGGCCACCTCCGCCAGCAGTCCAATAATCAGCTGAATGAACTGCCTCACCTGGGCATCGTGCTCCTCCACCAGCCTCTCGGGTATCACCTTAATGGTGCGAGCAAAGCGCTGCATCAGCACCGCCCTCTGGCGCGAAATGTGCAGCAAACTAACGGCCAGCAGGCACTCATCCTGCAGCAGGACTCCGAAGAGAGAACTGATTGTGCCCGGCAGTCTATCCAGCTGCCGGTGCAGCGTCTCAAAGGCCATTTGTGTATACGGAAAGCTGTGATCCATCCGCAACAGATTGAGGACATCCAAATCGCGCGTGGGCTCTGGCCAGTCCGGGCTGAACAATCCAACCAGCTGGCTCAGCAGAGCCGAGTACTCGCCATCGGCCACCACCAGCGCAGTCCAATCGAATGCCTGGCGATCGAGACCCACCAGCTGCTCGGGCGTGGCATATCCAGGCAGGGCATTCAAGCTGTGCAGTCTCTGCAGCGTGGCTGCCACCAGAGCGGCATCTGATGAGCTCTCAACCTGCCCCAAATCATGCAGATCTTTGACAGCCTTTGCGAGGGCCTGATGCACCCACTCCGGCGGTGCGGGAAGCGGCGGCGCCAGCGACTGCTGGCTCGTGGCTGTCAATTGCATTTTAACAGCTGCTGCTGCTGTTGCTGCTGCTGCGAGAGAGAATGAGAGAAGAGAACGAGTGCATCCGATTGGAATATGTTGCCGTTTATGTGTGTGTGTGTGGTGTGGAGGGGTGTGTGTGTATGGTGTATTTGTGTGGGGTGGAGGGGAGGGGAGCCCGAGCTGGAGATAATGGGCTCCAGTCAAGCTCCAAGGCGCGCGCGTCGACATGCAACGTTTCCAAAATACTCGCGTTCATACTCGTACGGAAGATCCTAAGCCTATGCCTAAGCCTAATCCTATGCCTAACTCTAGTCTACGTCTAACTCTTAATCGAAAGTACTTTAAAACTCACCCATTGGCATGCTTTGGTGTATCGACAGATCCCCCAGTCCAGCCAGAAGATCTGTGGCCGTTCCCGCTGTGGCTGCTGCTGCCGCTGCTGGCGTCGCATTGAACAAGTCAAACGAATCGTTCGCTGGCGTCGCTGTCTTCAACAGATTGCCATCCAGCGCCGAGGTTGATGTCGTTGAGCCTTGGAATGCGGCAAAGTCGGCAAACTCATCATTGCTGGCCGCCGGGAGTATGCCCGTTGACGGTGGCTCGCTGACGGGAGCCGAGGAGCTGCCCCCAAATGCAGACGCAAAGTCCCCGAATTCCTGCTGTCCGGCTTCCGGGGCTCGTGGATTGAAGTCGTCATCGTCGTCCACAATGACGGCGGCACTGTTCAGTGTCTTCTCTGGGGTTGTGGCACAGGTCTTGAACAGATCATCCAGCAGATCATTATTGCTTTGTATATTGTTGTTCTGGATGTTGCTGCGGCTGCTGCTGGGTGAGCCGCCGCCCATTAGATCCAAGCTGGTGGGTGTGTCGCGGTGCGTGGGCGAGTGTATGCCAGCGGCGCTGCTCGGCGGCTGCTTGCCAAATGTGGCAGCCGCACCCAGATCGATCTTCTTCTGCGATAGCGCCGGCTTAGCCGAACCGGAAGTAGCCGCTGCCGTTGCCGAAACCGGCTGCTTGGCCACTGGCGAGCTGACGGCGGTCTTGGCTGTACGAATGTTCATGTTGAGGTTGGGTGCTTTGGTGGTCTCGGTGGCCACTTCGGCGGGACTTGCCCGATCATTGTAGCGATAGTTGCGTCTGCAGGAGGAGTCCAATAGTTAGAGGCTGTCTGTTTGATTGCTTATATGGACATTGAACACTTGCCTGGGACTGGGGGAGTCGCTGTCAGAGCCCTCGCGCTCGCCATCGTAATGAGTATCTTCATCTTCGTACCGATCCCCGGCGGTCTTATCAGAGTCTGCAATTGGACCATCAGTAACTGTTCGATTACCCATCGCATTGATTGATGATACTTACACCAATTGTCTCCACGATTTGTGCGCCAATCTCCATCGTTGTAGCCACCACCACTGCCACCGCCACCGCCACCGCCGCCTCCACCGCTGCCACCGCCTCCACTATAGCCGCTATATCCACTGGAGCCACGCATGCCCATGGCATCGCTGCTCATGCCAATGTACTTGTCCTTGTTCTTTTTCGCCTTTTTGCGCTCCTCGCGCAACCGATCATCATCCTGAATGAAGTCTATAAGCTCTCGTACCTTATGCCTAACATTAATACCCTGATCTTTGCCGCCCTCGTCGGTGAAAGTGTAGTTCTCCAACGAGCGCAGATCGTAGATGTGCTCCCGCGATGATGTCACCACGCGCTCCGACCCATTGCGCACCAAATAGTTAAGCAGGAGAAGACTCTGTAATTGGCGAAATTAATCCAGATCAATCCAATTGGAGCATGCAAAACGGACTGGACTCACCTTGTAGGTTCGTCGCCAGTTGGTCTTGTTATCCTGCAGCATGCGCTTCCACAGCATAGACATGACTTCCGGGAACGTCTCGTAGGAGAAGGTGGCGTAGGCCAGCTCCTGCATGAGCGGCCCCGTGGGTCCCCAGGGATCATCGTTGGTGGCCTCCCGCACCTTGCCCTCCGTCTCGGTGTAGTTCATCACGACATTGGTGCTGCGAGAGGAAAGGCATGGAGTGGAGGGGGTTGGTCATTGGAAAACTTAAGATATATGATGTGGCAGCTTAAAGCTGTTGCGATAAGCTGAGGCAAACATGGCTTCGGTATGACACTCGAAACGTGATGGGAGCGCGGCAAGTGTTAATTGTCGCAACTGGGCCAGAGGCCCTTATCAATTTCTAGATAAGCCACAGAGCACCCACCACCCAGTCTCGCAAAGTGCTAGCCGGAAAAGTAGTAGCCCCCCCCCACAATGGCACTGTGCCTGCAACTTGGGTTCACTTATGTGGAACGGAAGGGCAGGGGGAATGGGAAACGATCGCCACATTTGGTGGACGGAACACACACATTCGTGCCACCCCCACCCACAGGTGTGTGGGCACACGCAAAGGGCCAGCCAACAGAAAGTAGCCAACAGAAAGTAATTAATATATTGATGGCAAAACAGAAATTTCACTGGAAAGACATAGGCGAGAGACTGGGGACTGGAACTGGAAGTGTTAACACAGGTGAAAATATATGTGCTTCTGTTATATTTGGGCAGCGCAGCGGAAGGCAAACAAAATGTTTTCTTGATAAAGCATCACACACACAAACACACATCACATTGCTGGTGCTGCTGGCCTGTGTATGGGGGGGAATGTCTTTGTGTTTATGTGGCTGCGAGTCGAGCTCATTTCGGAATTACGAACAACCTTGAAAGCAGCAACAAAAACGGCCATAATCCCATACCAAAAATGCATCTTGAATGACTACTATTCCCCATAAATTAGGCGAATGTCTAAACCTATTTCCCCTTTAAGGCACGAAAATCAAATATTAGCACCTGTCCGCCTCAAGTGTAAATGGGGTGGGGGTGGGCCTATTGGGCAGGGGCGTGGGAGTGTCTCCTCCATTTACTTTTTTTGTACTCAAAGAGAATGTTGTACACACTATTCTGTTCCATTATCTTGAGTGCATGTGTATGTACCATCATTATCACTATGCTATCTACACAACTTACACTTTGTCCGCCAATTCGCGCACTTTCCACATGCTTATGAATTTATCAACCATTTTAAAGCAATTTTATCCACTGGAATTTTTCACACAATCTCGGACTTGGCTGCTGGCTGAAAAAAATTCAACTACAGCTCGCACTCGAACTCGTTTTCGTTGTTGTTTTTCTGGTGTGTGCAACTGCTAATGAGATGGGTTTTTGCATGGAAATTTCGCACTGTGTTTACTGCTGCTCTAGGTGCTGATCTTGCGCACAACGCGTGCAGTTTCCGACAAATTTAAATAAAATTTAAACCAAAATTAAAATCACAGCAGCAAAATTTTTGGTGAGCTGTCTTTCAGGGCTGCAAACTAACAATGGAACTATCGATCAATGGCTTGTGAATTGTGCGATGGATCGATACAAAAAATGGACATCGTCATTTGAGAGAAAAAGTGGGATTTCGAAGTCTAGAAAATTAACTTAATTAAACTTAATAGGATGTGCTGCTGTGTGGGAAAACCAATCTCCTGATTATTTAATTAGTTCAAAAATGTTCGATGGAAATGTCGATATATCGATTGTGCTTGGCAGCCCTGGTTGCAGCACTTTACAATCAGCTGCCGCTGCCGTCATCTGCGATTCTCAACGTTTTATAGGAAAGTTTTGAATAAATAGTCCAAATATTAAATGAAACTAGGCTGATTTTGCGGAGAGTATTCATAATTATACAGCTTAGCGCCTGCTTTTGGCCTAGCACAGCTCTGCCATGCTGGTTTTGCCTGAAAAAAATGTAAACAAAAAGGTTATGTAAACTTTCCTTGGTTTTGCAGCGTGAAGAGTGAGATTCGTCAGATTGAGATTGGGAGCATAACTGAAAATGTTGGGACTACAACGCTTTGCCGGAAGTATTGTCAACCAGATATACCGCCGTGCCGCCTACAGCAGCAATGTCCGGTCGGCAAGTGGTCCTCTGGCTACGGCGGCCACTGGTCAGGGAACCGAGGTGAGCGAGACTGAAGCTCGCACGCCGGCAACGGATGCAAAGAAACCAAAAGGTATGTCGTGCGTCCAATTGGATTGATCTAACCAGATCGAAATCAATTACAGGCCAATTGGTTGCTGCTGCCTTCGAGTCGCTGCGGAACGAGAGCCCAAACGATGACAAGAAGACTCCCGCCTCCAGCAACATAGATGAGCGCATTGTCAATGCGAAATCGGTTAATGGACTGCTGGCCATCACGGAAAACAACAACGCCTTCTCGCGCAAGCATGCCCTGAGGATCGTCTCGATACTGGCCGAATGGAGCACCGTTGACCGTGTCAAGATATCCGAGTTCGAGAATGACACCAGATTCTTGCGCATCTGCCGCATGCTGGGCCGCACCGTGCCCAAGAATGGCGCCGGAAACAACAAGAACAGTGGCGATGTCAACGGAAACACCAAACGGATTTCCGGCTTCCGGACGGACGATCTGAACACGGTGCTCGGCGTGGCTGGAGACGATGAGGCGGCCAAGCTGATTGCCAGCATCAGCCTGCCCCAAATGGTTAAGGTGATGAGTACTTTGGCCCAGCGGAAGCGACGTAGCACTCCGCTGCTACGCTCTCTGGCCTTCAACATAAGCAGCGCCTCGGAGCCGCTGGACCTGAAGCAGTCGGCGGATGTTCTCTATGCCATGTCCACGCTGAACTTCCAGGACTCGGTGCTGGGCGCCAAGGTCTGTGCTGATGTGCAAGCAGCTCTGCCAAAGAACGTGGAAAGGTCGGCGGTAGTGGGATCCATACTCACCAGTTTGGGCATTTTGCGCTATCGAGATTTGGGTTAGTCCATCTCATAAATCTGTTGTGCTCTATACTAATAAGTCCTATCTGTTAGATATACTGGAATCGCTGACGCAATGGCTCGTGAAGAACAGTGAAATCTGCCGGCCTCAAGATCTCAGCGCGTACTTCCTCACGTCGGCTTTGCTGAATTTCAAGAGTGCCCTGCTCGATGATGTTAGCAATAAACTGGCGAAATCCATTGTACGGGAGGACTTTACCAAGCAATCCGAATGGTTGAGCTATGTCTGGTCCCTGACCATGCTCGGACTGGTGGAACACAAGCACCTCGATTCGGTCTTAAGGTGTGTCAAAGTATATAAAATCAAAAAATGTTTCCCTTAATACTCCGATTGGGTTACTTTCCGCAGTCCTGAATTCCTGGAGAAATTGGAAAAGGACAAGTCCGGCCTGACACCCGTCTCCAAGATGAGGCTACTGAATCTGAATAGTTATGCGCAGCTGTTGGCCACAGATTACAAGGGTGTTTTGCTGCCAGCTGATAGTCCTGCCTACCAAGTGCCCATGGCCCATACGAAGACGAAACAAATTCTGGTAAATGGCATGCTTGATGCACTCAAGAGCCTGCTGCCGGCCAATAACCATGTACAAACGTCGGTGGACAGTAAGATGGGCTTTCTTATAGGTAAAAGAAATATTTTAATCTTCAAACTCTCTTCTAATCGAGTCCACTTTCAGATGCGCTTTGTCACTTTGATGCCAATAGAAATCCCCTGCCTCTGGACAAGGAGAATCCCAATGCAATTAAGTAAGATACAGTACATTTTAATGAAGCATATTGGCAGCCTATTAAATCGTATTTCTAGGGTGGCGCTAATGGTGATTGACTTCCATGACATTTGCCATGGCACGCATCGCAGTGCCAGTGGAGTGACCAACCTAACGTTCGATCTGCTGGAGAAGAGTGGCTACCAGGTCATACCAGTGCCGTACAATGAGTTCAGCACCAGCGACAAGCTACTGAAGCGCGTTCAGTATTTGGATGCAAAGTTCAAGGCGATTGTTAGTAGCAAATAATTGCAATTGTAGTTTATTTAATTTCCCTTGTAATTTTTAATCAAAATTGAAATTGTTTAAATTTTGTAAATGTAAAATTAGGCGCTGAATTAAAGGCTAAACAACATCTGCCTTTGGAATGTTTATTAAACGTTTAATTTAAGCGATGAAATATCTATATAATCAAGTACACATAAGATACGTTACACTGCATCCAAATTGCTGGTGCGCTGCTTATTCATGCCCACCTTCCACCACTGGCCCGTCTCCTGGAACTCGATGGCCACGGCTGCCAGCGTTTGGAACAGACTTCGGGCCAACATGTGACGATTGCTGACATGCAAAACGAACTTCGGGTCGTACACCTTATCAATGTCCTCGATCTTGTAGTGATCCCGGGTCTCCCGCTCAGTCAGACACACACAATTCCATGGGGCCCAGTCGTCGCTCTTGATCCAGCGCGGCAATCTAAGTAGGGAGTCAAGATCGGAGCATAGATTTATTGATGGGGAGACTCACCTCAACTCGTTGAGATTCTGCGTCTTGCTGAGTGCCGAGTGGCCATGCCAGATCTTGTCAATGATATGTCGCACATCGTCCGACTGCATCACAAAGGCAAAGGATGTGGTGCACTTACGCTTGCGCTCATCGCGTTGTATGCACCTCAGAATGGATTGGTACACCGTGTTCTCTGTGGCCGTTAGCTGAAGAGAGAAGAACACTTTAATCATCAGACAGAAATGAGGATTGGATGGAGGATTAACCCACCTTTAGGTAGTAGCAACTCTTGCAGGTATCCACATGGCTCTGGCGCGTGCGTATGGCAAAATCCTTGAATGCCTTGACCTTCTTGCAGACGATGCACATGCGCGAGGGAACCCCTGCGAAAGCATTTTACTCCTTAGAAGTGTTCGATTCGATGGACCCTTGGCTACTCTACTCACTTTTGTTCTGCTCGCTCTTCTGGAACTTAATCAGCTCGTAGAAGAGAATGTTTTGGCGCTTGCGCAGAATTTGCACATCGCTTGACGTGGCATACAGCAGCAAATTCTTCTCGCGATCAAACAGATCAAAGAGCTAGAAAAGGGCAACACCAAATAAGCGGAGTTAAATGATTCTATGGGTCACAGCCAAACCTCGGGAAATTCGGGAAAGCAGGTCTCCTCCATGAGTATCTCCATGACACGACGTACGAGGGTCAGGCGTACATCTCTTGTCAGCGGCACTCGTAGATCCTTGTAGACCTCGGTGAGGAAGCGAACGCGCTGCGTGCTCAGCAAGTCCATATGGATCTTGCAGTCCTTGTAGCCAATCCATTCGATTGGTTTGCCCATCCGCTTGAGCAGCTGATCCTTGCGAAAGTCCTCCATGGCCTTGCAGACGAGACGACGCTGCCGCTCCACCCCATTCAGCAGTTGGATCTCCTTGTCCAGAAGAATGTTCACCTCGGAGATGCGGGCAGGTCCCTCGTAGTTGGCCGCAATCCGCTTCAGTTCGGCCCGCTTCCAGCGACATATTTCGGCATACAGCAGATCGAAGTCATCCTTGGAGCGGGGGAACTGCTTGATCGCCAGCTGCCGATCCACGCGCTCCTCCACGCACTTTTCGTATCGAACCTCCTCCTCCTCGCGATTGCGCACCAACCGACTGGACAGGAATCGGATTCGGATCAGCTGGGAGCTCTTTGGGGTCGAATTTTTGGGGTGTACTCACCGATACTCCTTGGCGCGAATGTGGATGTACTTCCACAGGATCCAGCGCCGCCAGTTGCGCTGTATGAGCTGAATCTTCTCCAGCTTTCGCTCTGCACGCTCCTTCTGGGCGAAGGTCTGGTATTTGCCAGGAACGATGGTGAAATCGTTGGCCGCCGACACGTACAGGACATTGATGCCATCGAGATGGCATTGCACCGACTGCTCATGGGCTGTGTTCTAGAGGGGATTTGCAAGGGAGGGATTTGCGGAAACAGATATAAGCCACCGCCTGCCGAGCAGTTCATTTAAAATTTATTCCACCCACCAGAGTCTTTTCCTTGGGCTCCCAGGTCTGCGTGTCTCTGGAGTAATAGCGCCTGGCCTTCCACTTGTCAAAGTAGGGCCCGGTCTGGGAGAAGGCATCCAGGTACTCCTTGCCGCTGTTCCTGTCCCTGTAGCCGCACAAAAAGGGCTTGACGATGGCAGCATTCACAATCTCCACCACCACGTTCTTGGGCTGGCCATCCTCCGTGTCCTCGCCAGGGATGTGGACAGTTATAAAGTCAGCCAGGCGGTGTTTGCTGTGGGAGTTTGAGATCTGCAGGATGAGGATTCGCATTGAGGGGGAAGTCTCCCGTGGTATACTCACTCGTAGTAGACATCCAGATCCAGCTTGGGCGCAGGCTCTTTCCCAATATTCTTGGGCACGAGCAGTTCCAGCTGGAACTCGTGTATTCCGTACTCATCGAACTTGGTCGAATTGATGGGCAGGGAGTCGCACAGTGGACGATTCTCCTGCCTGAGCACCAGCAGCTGTGGCTCCACCTCGAACTTGCGCGATATGTCCTGCTTGACCTCGGCCAGGGTCATGCAGTTGGGATAGACCTGGGCCACGATATCCGTATCCGTGATGTGAAACTTCACCGTGACATTCTCCAGCTCCACGCAGCACTCCTCCGTGTGCTCCGACTCGGTGCTGTTTGCATCGTAGGCTGGGGCACAGCCCGCCGGCTGCTTGGGTCGCTCCGAGGGATCCACATTCAGATGCACATTGCACACAAATGCTCCGGGATACTCCGGGACACTCATCTCTCTGCTCTAACAAAATATATATACTTTTTCTGCTTTTTGTGAATATTCTGGGTGGCTTAACTCTAATCGGAAAACTGCCTGCTGGGATTTGATTCCAGCCAGACTGGGGGACTGGGTCACAAAGGGCTACCCCGGGCAACGAATTTGTTGAATGCCGCTGCTAGGCGCCCTGTTGTGGCAACGCACCAGGGCCAGGGCCCAACATTCTGGCCATAGTTCAGGTTCAGTGTTCCCCCATCCCGTCCGTTCAGTGGCGCAGTTTTCTCACGCATTCGCATCAGATTTCCACGAGTGAAAGCTTCCAATCATCTAATGATTCGAAGCTGTCCAAATCCAACGGGCAGGGCACTACAACAATTTGCATACAAAATTGTTTTCTAATTGCCCCAATTTCAGTTCAGTTATGAAATCTTGTAAATTGCCCCTGGGGAGATATATTTTGCCCTTGGAGACAGCGCAGATTCTTAGCTTTATAGAACCCAAAGCAGACATGAGAGTTTAGGTTCTGTTTATTAACTTTTAGCTACAAATAAAATCATTAATCCAATGCATTTAAATTTTAGCTGAAAGTGTATTTGAAGCCTCTGTTTCGTGGCTATTTATTTGTTGCATAACAATGAATGAACATTCGGAACTTGGTAGAGACAACGGTGACAGTAATTACTTTTACTAAATGGATTGGAAAGACTGCCAGGCCACACGTGAAGACAATTTGATGATGATGATGTCGATGCTACTGCGCTGCCGATGTCGATGCCGATGCTGATGCGGAAGCCGGGCTAATAATGATGGTTAGGCTATTATATCATGATCTACGTATGTATACAGATATCATCAAAATTAATGGCGGCTCCGCTTAGCCAGAGCTTTCTTTCTCCCCAACGAATGGGTTCGTTCGATTGTGACCCAAATTCGGCAATATTTCCGAGTGCGTATGGGAAATATGATCCACTTAAAAGGTTTGGCCAAAAGCTGCTTATAATATTCGATTACCGCCAATGAAAAAGCACAATAATTGTAAAATTTTTTTTTGCTAACTAAATTTATTAATAAATAATGTTTTTATTGTAGTAGAACTTGGACTTAAGATTGAGGGCAGTCAGGGCGGACTTGGCATCGACATGGGCATGGGCCACCTGCAGTCGATGGGGACGTCCATTGAAGTAGTAATCCTTGTGGTGCTGCACCCGCAACAGTTTGCTGGGATAGCTGGGATAGCCCAGATTATTGTGATCCATCAATGGTTTGCCCGGCTTTGGACGGTCTGTGGGGCTCTGCTTTGGCGCCTCCGTCGTCGTCGTCGTCTGTGTTAGCGGCGTCTGTGTTTCCTTTTCCAGAATGATGGGTTTGATTTTCATGGGCTGATAGTCCAGACCGATGCCGGGTATATGACGGAAGGGCAGTGGGGGTACGGGTATATAATAGATTTTCGAATCCTTTTTCGTTTTTTTCGTCTTACTGCCGTTCTTGTTGTACTTGCGAAGGTTCAGCGGCTTTGAGGTGACCACATAATCCATATACACATTGTCCAGCGATGGTGACTGCACCACAATACTGTTGGCCAGCGGGCCCCCGGAGTAGCGGTAGCGGCAGCGGCACCACCCTCCAGGCCACTTGACATCAACTTCTGTGGCAGCGGCGAGGGGGCTCTCATGTGGTAGGAGTAGGGAAAGGCCTGCACCAGACTGGCCAACGCAAACAGTGCCGTTAAGTGTAGCAGCCGTGGCGACATGCTGCAAAAAAAGAAAAGAGAAGCCAAGAGAGTGTCAAGGTAAAAGACAATGGAAAGTGTTCGACCCAACACGCGCGCGAACTGCTCCCTAATTGTTCCAGGTATTTGATGGATGGTTGGATGGATGAAAATCAAAACCAAAATCAAAACCAAAAGCCAACACCCGAATTCGAATAATAATCAAAGAGCGATTTCTGCAAGTCACATGCCAAAGCCGAATAATTTAATAATAAAATAAATTGTCTGGGCGCATCAAAGCGCAAAATCTTTCGCCTTTACATTGTAAAGTTTCTCACGTTCCCCACACACACACACACACACACACACACACATACACATACATACACACACATATGTACTGCGACTACACTCTCGGGTGGGTAATTTTCGTTTCGATTTGATTTAAATGAAAGCATTTAATGCACGCTAATCAAAGCCTCTAAGAGCGACGCCAACAGCGACGCCGACTGAGCAATTACGCTAATGAGCGCGTCGAGCGCCATCTGGCGGGGCAGATTTCAACGCTTCAGTGATTAATGATGAGCCTTTAAAAAAAATAGATAAATAGATACAACAACAAAAAAAATAAATTGATCAACCAGAGAGATCCAAAAAAAAAAATTGAAAAAAATCTAAAATTGAGCAGACAACAAGCTGTCGGCAGCGCTGGCCTAAACGAAACACCGATCGAAATCGGAGAACAAGCGGCGGGAAAACACGGTTTTCGGGGCGTAAACGTTTAGGCGCGCCCCCCTGCCCGGCCTTACAGATTCTGCGAAATGCAAATATTTTCTAGACATTTGTCTACAAATCTGTCTGTGGCCCAAAGCGTTTTTCGCCAAACTGAACTGATAGATTGCAGAATGTCTAGGAATGTCTAGGAATGTCTGGGATGATATATGATCGCTGGACCAATAAGAGAACAAAGAGCTCATTGGACCACACACACAAACACACAGACAAGCAGATGTTGGGGAAAAGCTCATTACAATTTAATTGTTTCTGTTAGATCTCCTCCTAATTCCTAATGGTCTGTGGTTCACACGAGCCCTGTAGATCGCTTCTGTCTGGCGAAAATCTTGATTTGTCCACATACAGACTTCAATTATCTAAATTATTGTGTGGCTTTTGCCTATATCAACACTTATGCATGAACAATATTGCCGCCAAGGTCATGTCCGTTTTGGTGCCAATGCTATTATGTGTTCCCATCATGATTAATCATGTCACCTGGCCCATCTACCGCTCTCTGCTCGGTGAGCAGTGAAAGATGAAAGACGAAAGACGAAAGACTTTGGCAACGAACTCGAGTTGTCGATACGGACGGGGACGTCCAGCAATTAAAAGCGTATTAATTTAATGGACTGCTGCCAGCTGTCAAATGCAAATGCAAATGAATAAACCCTCCACACTCCACTCCATCCATTCCATGCCATCCCATTCCATCCCATCCTCTATGGGCATACGAGATTATTTGCATCTAAAGAAAAAACTTACTTTAAATGGCTCTGACTGCAGCTGCTGGTTTGTACTGGCTGAGTAATTGCTGATGCAGTTGATTACGTATTTTCTTTAATTATATTATATTGACTGTAAGGCGGCGATTAATTTATTGCCCAAGTGTCCTTCCTGCTACGAGAGATGATTGTTTGTCTTGTTTGGCTTTTCTCTCTGCATAAATTATGGAATTTGTTCTATCACGTTTTTTTCTATATTTTTATTTTAACGTTAATATCACTTTAAGCATTTAATTTATAATCTTTCACGTATTTTATATTTTCTGCGTCGATTTAAATTTTAAATTTTCAACCGCTTACTAGCACTGCGTTGCGCGCGCCTCGAAGTGCGGCAAATAAATGAGTCTGCGGACTGTTTGTAATTTTTCTTCTTAAATCAAAAATCAGCCGGCCGGCCGACGTCGCTGCTGCTGCTGCTGTTGCTGCTTCTGTTGCTGCTTCTGTTGTGGGGCGACAGCAACTGGAAGTGTGAGCCGGCACCGGCACAACTTTTATTGTGTGAGGTCCAAAGCGATGCCACATCTAACTCTAACTAGTTGGCTACCAGACAGACGCTGGCAAATTATCTTTAGTGGATGGATGGTGGAACTGATCTTCAGGCTACAAGGGGGTACAGACTGGATGAGACTGTGCTGTCCCTCGATCCTCTGTGGAGAAGACGTTCCAAGACGTTCTTTAGATCTGAAGAGCGACCCATAAATTTGCCAGTTTATTGTTTGTCCACTTACTGTTACAGTTGGCGATTGCACTTTGTGGGTTTTCCAGACTCTTCTGTCTTTTTGCTATTTGCTTGACAAATGTAACAGGGGAGAAAATTGATTCATCACTTCCCTGGGTCTGCGGCGGCAGCATTTGCATATCACGACAGGAAAGTGTCAGTACGCTGGACGCAGCAGGAAACCCAATACCACTTGACCAGTCCAGTCCAGTCCAGTCAGTCAGTCAGCTTTCGATTGAATTACACCTCAAGTCCAGCAACAGTGTTACGAGTACGAGTACGAGTGAGTAAAGTAGCTTCTTCTTCTGCAGAGGGTCTACGGTGTGGGGTCTGGGATCTGTGCTCTGGATTCCATCTTCTTTGCCTTTCCAATATTGTGAACAAATTAGTTACAAATGAACCTACGACAACAAAGGCCGTTGAAGGTAACACGAAGCCCCCGGTTGAGGCAGGGTTGCGGGCTGCGGGTTTTGGCTTCTTTTCTTTTTGCAGTTTTTGCTCTCTCATCCTTTTTATACCTATTGCTCGTATAATTAGTACAAGGTTATGTTGTCTTCTGGTTAGTTTCAGCTGCCTTTCTACTGATTAAGTTAAGAGATATGCAGCTGTTGTGTTTGCCTACAGATATGGGCTTCATATTTCGACTCTACTCTACCAAGCTATCAAAAATGATTCATTCTTGCTGCTTAATGTGCCTCCGATAGGCCAAATCCCTAAATGCTTCTATTAAACCCTATTAGCCGATTAACAGGTATATTCATGGTCGACTATTTATCATTCCTACATCTTTCTCTTGCCCATTGACAGGCCAGCGCAAGCCACAACCACCAGGTGCCCCCTTCCCCACTCTCTGGGCTCTGTGCGTGTGGCGCTTCGAGGGTAAAGTTTTTGCATTCATCATAATTTAATTGGCCAAAGGCCGAGGGACGACTGGACGTCTCCTCTGGCATTTTCTAAACACTTTTGCGTGATGTGTTGACGCTGATTGAGAAGTGTTGGCTAAATGGGGGAAAGAAAACAACAAAAAAAAGCGAGCTCTTTGAGAGAGAGAGAAATTCTTATGCGACCCAATGAGTCCGTATGCAGTCTACGCCGTAAATCAGTCAAATTTGTCATAATTTATAGCGAAATTCAAGCAAAATTAGTGTTAATTATATCACTTCCCCTATTTTGGACAAGGTTTTATGTGCCTTTTGGGCTAATTAAAACAAGTAAAAGCAACTTCCACTGCCAAAGAGAGCTTATATAAAAGCATTTCCACTCGAAGCTGAGCAACTTTCCCATGTCCGGGGCATCTTTCACCTTTCAGCTACGGAAGCCCACAGAAATCATCTCATTTCAGAGACACTTCAATACTCGAGACTCGAACAAAGCAAAGCAAAGCAAAGCAAAAGCAAATGACATAACCGCAAATAGTACTCGTAGTACTCGTAGCACTCGACTCATCCAAATAAAACAAATTGTGCGTTTAGGTACGTTCTCGCCCATGCCCAGCCCTGCCCTGCCCTGCCCCTACACACTCACAACAACATTGCTGATGGATCCGAACACTTTTAAATATTAATTAGCCTTGGCAGCGCTCCCCTCTAACCCCTCTGCTGGCCAATTACTCTGCCCCTCTCTACACTCTGAAGTGTGTGTTGAAGTGCGTAATGGCCGAGCTACCGATGGCTACAGATACATATCTGCCAGATACACGTTCTCTCGGATACAGACACCGATATAGTAGGAGTGGAGTGAGCCAACTAACTGCACGCATCTACGGCCAGAACGCAGCCCCATCTGCAGCCCCATCTTCAGCCACATACTTACTACTCGGTACTATCCAGCATAATTGTTAACGATTAGACAACACAACGCAACACAACACAAATCACGAACAAGCTGTAAACGCCAAGTATCTGCATCTGTGTCGTCTCATTTCTGCTGCGAGCCTTGTGTGAACCGAGCTTTGGAATTATTAAGACTAATATGTTTAATGCTGACGGAAGCAATATAGATAGATAGATGGCCAAAGCACGGGGCCACCACAAACGAGACAGCTGTGTGTAAATTAGCCCGCCACCCCACAACAACCCCACCAAACCCAAACCCAAAGCCAACTCCGACTACAACTCCAACCCCAACCTCAGGCAAAGTCATCAGCTAGACCCACGTCTGGACAGAGTCTCGGTTCCAGTCCCCCGACGCTTTGGCATGAATGACATGACAGACACACACTCGTGGCTGGGTGGCTGCTGACTGCTGGCTGCTAGCTGGTGGCGCTTGCGTGTTTGGCTACTGAATTTTTAAGCATTTTCAAGCGGGTTCGCCGTCTGTCGGAGGCTTCATTTACATGGCCAACGTTTTAATTAGCGGCTTAGAGGCTCCCAGATAGGGAGACAGGGCGCAGGAGATCTCCCAGATCCATTTAGATGAATGGCGGGAACACCCACAGTCCGATAAGTCAAGATAAGCAGCCGGCAAAAGCGGCATACGACGGACGACCGGCAACCGGCGACCGGCTTAAGTCCCAACGATTATATATTGCCCAATTATAGCAAATCTTTTATTGCCGATAAATTCGCAGGTTCATTAAACTCGGTAGGCCCCCCTGCTTACCCCTTTTTTTCTCGTTAACTGACTCAGGTGGCATCAGGTTGGAGGCACTTTGCGCCTTTGTTTGGTCTTATTTTAGCATTTGTTTTTGTCATTTGTTGTGGGGTGTTTGATCCAGCAGATCGAACCCATGCCTCCTCGCTGCCAATCTGTTTCGAGGAATGCATTTGGAATGAAGTTTTATGATGCAATTCCAACCATCTGGATATGTCCGTGCACCGATGGCATTGCATTGCTGTGGCTGCTGCGGCAATTGTGGCATTTCTGAGTAAGCCCCTGGATTGGGGTCAGGCTGCCTGCACGTTTGCATTGACTTTCATCGAAAGTCAAATATTTGTAGATCGCAAAAAAGGAAAAGTGTAACGAAAGGAAAATACAGCTACCAAAGCAAGCAGCAACCAGCTACCAGCAACCAGCTACGAGTACCACTGATTGTCAGCCACAAAATTCAATATTTGCTCATCCGTTCCCGAAAACGTTTGGCGTATTTTTCGGTGAATTTTGTGAAAGTGCAAAGGGGGTCAGTGCCAAGGGGGCAGCTCGAAATGGGCGTTTTGATGGCAGGCACTGGAGCATGAATGGGGGCGATTGGTTATGAACTGAAGCCGACATTCGAGTCAAGACTGTTGGCTACCTATTGAGTCACAACGAAAGCCAGAGTCAAGTGCTTCGAAGAAACTGTGCGAGGGGATTCCACAGAATTGTACTCAAGGTTCAGGCCAAATATTTCGCTTTTCCAGCTACTTTTCCCAGCCTCCCACAACCGCCTAACGATTCGCGGTCTGCATCTCACTTGCCAGATGATTTTTACCCGCTATAAACGAAAAAAACAAACAAACAAACACAGAAAACTTTCCAAGTGTCTGACAATTAGAGCAAACGATAGTTGTACGGATTCATAGATCGTTAATGATGGTATGGTAGCTTTAGCTTTATGGCCTTTTCCAGTGGCAGGAAGATTTCAGCACGTCTCCCGTCAAATGGTGGCACGAAAATTCTTTGGCCGTCTTTTTCGCCTTTTCGCTATTAATGATCGAGAAATAAGTTTTATTAATTGAAAACCAGTTGTTGGCCAGTAAAAAGGAAAAGCTAACGAAACAAAACATCAGCAATATCCCCCAGATCTCTGAGATTTGTTCGGGTACTCTACTGGATCGCATACTTATTGTAAAATAATTGTAATAAGTGCATTAATTAGCCGGCGAGCGGACGAGAAAGAAATCATTGGAAATGGAGTTAATTGCTCCGGTGGCTTTTATTGTTTTGGCCCGCCACAGAAACGGGCAAAAGCCAACTATTATTTTCAATTGGAATTTAATTTTTTTTTTTCGAATGGTCATTGTTTGTTTTTTGCTGGCCTAAACGGCCCCCAGAGTTTTTGCGAATTTTATTTCCATTATTTCTGATCCCATCTTGCGCGACCTTGAGAAGCACAGCAGAAGAAGCAAGGCAGACGAGGCAGTGTCTTAATGGCTCTGAAGACACACTTTGGGCGGTCGGGTCGGGTCGGGCGGGACGGGCCCTTTCCACGCTCAATGTCAATAAACTTAATTTCTGGAGAATTCATCTGGTTGAAGCGCGGCGAGGTCTCCCCCAGCCCAGCATCCTCCACATCCCGTCGCAGAGAGATCATCCAATGCCACGATCGGACCGCAGCGACACTTAAGCTGTTATCAATGTATCTATTTCCATTCCGTTTTATACTGCTGACTGGCCATTATTGTCTCTCATCTGCTGTCTCAGCCGTAAAACTTTAATTTCAATTGAAATAAGATAACCATCTCGCCTTCCAGGGCGGCCCCCACGCCACTCCACGCTGTGTCACTGTTTAAATGGTGCACATTGGTTTAGCCGGAACATGGTTTATTTTTACTTACCAGTAGCATATCTCACTGATATTTAATTATAGTTTCACAAAATAAAAGAAAAAAGAAGATTGTAAAAAAAAAGATTCCCGACGAGGATGGGATTCGAACCCACGCGTGCAGAGCACATTGGATTAGCAGTCCAACGCCTTAACCTCTCGGCCACCTCGTCATATGCGGCCTTGGCAGACAAATGCTGATTTGGTGCACCGCTTTGCCGGTAAAGCAACAGCTCCCCCTACCACATAGTTCTTATCATC